AGGGCCCAGACCAGGGCAGAAGGAGGGGTATCTGGGGTGGGGCCCACATAGCAACTTTGCCAGGGCCTGTGCCTTGTGGGTAGGAGTCTTCTTTAGCAGCACCCCTCCCAGGACTCAGAAGAAGTGGCCCTGGTGGGAAAGGGGAAGGAGGAGAGGGTCTCTGATAGCCATGTCTTCAGCAGTCCCAGCAGCTAGGGGCCCCAGTGCACAGGGGAGGAAGGAGGGCTTCTGAGCTGGCCACTCTGACTTGAAGAAGCTTCTTGCCCTGACCCCTGGAGATGGCTCCCTAGCACATTTCCCCTCTCAGGAGGGTTCGAGTGTCCTTCAGAGGCAAGGGGGCATGGTAGGCTCAATCATGGACTCCCAGTCCTGGACAGCCCCAAGCTTGCCTTCCCTACTCACCACCAGGACCCCATTGGTGATGACTTCAGATGCGGGCACCTGGCTGCAAAAGATGATGGGCTCATGGGACATCTGGCTCCCTTCGAGAGAGCTGTTACTCTAATAATGTGACTAAAGCAGCTGGAAGAGCCTGGGGAGCATGGCCAGGTTTGGGTAGGAGTGGGCCTGTCGCCAACACTCAAATGGGTGTCTGGACTAGGACCTTCCCTCTCAGGCCAGGTCAGGGCAGAACCTGGTGACTGACAGCCGGAGCTGTCCATGATTCTTGGCGTAAATGAGAGGGCATGGGCACCACCTGGACTCACCTCTTCTCGAGAACAAATTCCACCTGCAGCTCCTGTAAGTCCTACATGAATGAAGCAAGGAAGAGTTCATTTTCAAAGAGCTCGGAAAGCATCAGAGACCATCCCTGCCCCCTACCCTGCTCAGCTCCAGGGACTAGAAGAGGTGACTGTTGTCGTGGCTTCTCGTGGGCACAAGAGGGGGAGCATCTTCATGAGGAGCTTCATGCATTCAAGACTGTCTGCCAGGCCCTGTTCCTGACACTGAGAGTTTGGTGGTCGCCAAGCCAGACAAAGTGCTCTGCCCTCAAGGAGCTCACATTTTGGCTCCACTCAGGGAAGACATATTTGAGGGGAAACCTTTGTAGGGTCAGTGGTGTAGGATAGAGGAGGGTCTGTCTTGGAGGCCTGGCCTGTGCTGACCTCAGTGCCCTGTGCCAGACTTCCTCTCCTTGAGTTCAGTTCATTGCTGGCACAGGTGGGGTGGCTCACCTGGTGGTTGAGTAGGAAGGTGTGTCTGTAGGGTTGGCCAGGCTTGAGGCTCCTCAGGTCAAACAGTAGCAGGGAGAGCTGGTCACTGTCCAAGATATCCTTATCATAGAGGGTGAGCTCCAGAACATTCTGGGAATGGCAGGTGAGAGATGGGAGCCTGAGGCAGGGCAGGAGGGCAGACAGCCCTCTCCCTCCACTGCCCGGGCCCTTTGCTGGCCCTCACTTTCACAGCACCGTGGACCTGGTAGTGGAAGGTCTCGTTCCACTTGGGGTCACTGCAGTTGGCCACCATCCTTGTCCGGGTGGGGCTGGAGGACGCAGTGGGCAGGCACAGCTGCACGTAGCAATCGGCTTTGGACACTGCAGGTGGGATGGGGGAGGGGTTTTCATCGTCTAGCTCTTATTGTTGGAAAGGTTCCCCGGAGAAGGCTGGGGCAGGAGGGGAAGGAGCTGAGGGAGGGACAAGGAGATGTGGGGAGAGCCAATGTCCTTAACTCCATCTGGACTGGTTACACCTCCCTTTCAACTGAAGCCTGTAGTGGCCAGTTGAAAAGACCACATGGCCGCACAGACCGTTGAGTAATCCCCTGAAAGGACCTGATTCGGGCAATGACGTCCCCTTCCATGGTGACCATTGGTGTGGAAAGTGGCTGGAGAACAGATGCTGATTTCTGGCAACAGCGGGCCTCAGCTCAGTCAGGATGGTACTGCCCCACTTGCTAGACTCAAGGAGGAGTCCGAGGTCTGCACAGGCCCCCCCTCCAGCCCCTGCCTGCCTGCCCCGGAGCTCCCTCACTGGGGAGGACTCCCTCCACAGTCAGCACTACCCCTCTGCTCCACACCAAACACACACACACACACACACACACACAACTTCAAGCCAGTTCCTGCTGAACTCTGGGGAGGCTCCAGGGAAAGGAAGGGGAGAAAGGGTGGAAATGGGGGTCACTCACGCAGATCTGTGCCCTGGATATTTCTGGCCCTCAGCACCTTCACCTGGAGGTCATAGTATGGGTGGGTTTCCTGCTGAAACAATAGGACTCTGGAACTCAGTTCTGGGAAGCTGGGTGGGGGGCCTGATCTGCCCCCTGTGGTGGTGCCCAGCTCAGGCTTCCCTCGTCCCCTCACAGAGCAGCAGCCTGGCCCAGGGTCACTGAAGTTGCTGTGCCTGGGACCTGAGAGGCCTTGGGGCACTGGGACACTCGGAGTTCAGCATGTCGGTGATGAGCCTGGACTTTGGAGTCAAGTCATGCTGGGTTCAAATCTAAGCTCCACCATGGACTAGCTGAATGGCCTTGGGCAAATTACTTGATTTCCTCATGCCTCATTTTCCCCACCTATAAACAGGGGTTTACAATCCCATAGGGTTGTGGTGATTTTTAAATGAGAAGTTCTATAAAGTGGCTGGTATTAGTGCTTCGTATATGTAGCCATTGTTACTAATTACGGATGTGATGCACCACAGATGGGCAGCTCCCCTCACCTCTGTACTGCTGCTAAGAGCTTGGGAGCCTAAGTGAGAGCTGGAGGAATGCACCCCGGAGATTAAAGATCAGAAGAGAAAGCCGTGACCGACCCCACCCGCCAGCTCACTGACGAAGGCCACACCCCCAGGAGGCTGCAGGTGAAGGGAAACCAGGTGTCACCCAGCTTGTTCTGGTCCGATGAGTCCCTAAGGAGACATCCTGGGCCCAAGAGAGGTAACAACAGACTGCACTCTCCTGGGAGTGAGGCCATCCCCTCAAAAGCCCAGCAAGCACCTTCCTCCTTACCCCCTGGGGCACTCTACGGCCAAGCTGGGGCATCCTGGGCAAAGCCAACAGCTGCAAGTATCATGGGGGCGGGGAGGGGGATTATTTCCAAAAGCCAAGGTCTTGGCCAACCTCTTTAATTTAAGCTCCACCAGGTTGGCTAGAGCAAACTGGTCCCAGCCCAGATCAGAACCCAATCCCGGGCTGGCCTGTCTTCACAGGGCCCTGTGCTCCCAAGGCTCCTGCAGTCCACACTTCCCAGGGAAGACCAGGTACTTTACCCGCCAGTGCCTCCACTGAGGTCCCCTCTTCTCTCTCTTATGCAGCAGCACTGCCCCCAGGAGGGGCAGCCCCTTGCCTGCCAGCCACCTTGGCCAGAGTACCCAGTGCATGGCCAGGCAGCACGGTTCTCGGCTGGAAGCCTGCTTTCCAGAGCCACCCTGCTCTCCTCTGGCTCCACTCACTGCTAGCTCAGGTCTGACAGGAAATGTTGAGGGTGGAGCTGGCCACTCCTGAGGACTCAGGGTTGGGTGGCCTGCTGGGGCTGGAGGTGGGGTTTGATGTGCTCCAGGAAGTGACTGGAGTCCAATTCCCTTACGCAGGAGACACTTCAGTCCCTTTCCAAGAGAATGAGGAACTGGTATTCTGGTTCCCAAAACACGGCCCCTGGTTATCATGGGGCTGCTTATGGAAATAGATACCTGAGCCTCACCGCCTAGATGATTTGATTTCGTGGGTGTGGGTAGAACCCAGGTGTTCCTATTTCCAACAAGCCTTCTAGAAAATGCTGACACAGCAGGTGCTGGGGATGGAAGGCAGGAAGTGCTGCACCGGCCTCGTCTCCTCCAGCTAGAAAAAAGTCCTAAAACCGTCTGCCCTTCAAGTCCCACCTTGCCCACAGCTCTTAAGCAGAAACATGAAAATCTCTGGAGCCAAATGTGTTTCCCATCTCTTGTGACATCCCTCATTTATTCATCAAACACTGACAGTCTGCTGTGTACCAGACTTACACTAGGCCTTGCAACCAAAGGTGAGGAGGATCCATCCGTATCCTGAGGAAATTCACGGCATCCTGATGGCTATGTGGCTTTTGCCCGAGGCCCTCTTCCTGGATCGGTGGATATACCTGGATGGTCCAGGTAAACAGGTAGGGATATCATCAGGTGGTATCAGTACCAGTACGGACAGCTAAAAAGCAGGCCTGCCTATCCTTAAGCTCCTGGAGATAAGGCTTTAAAGAGTCCTCTTTTAGGGCGCCTGGGTGGCTCAGTTGGTTAAGCGACTGCCTTCGGCTCAGGTCATGATCCTGGAGTCCCTGGATCGAGTCCTGCATCGGGCTCCCTGCTTGGCAGGGAGTCTGCTTCTCCCTCTGACCCTCCCCCCTCTCATGTGCTCTCTCTCATTCTCTCTCTCAAATAAATAAATAAAATCTTTAAAAAAAATAATAAAGAGTCCTCTTTTGATCATCGTAAGCCTTAGGCTACAGATGGTACGTGACCATCTGTGGACCACAGCCGTCTGGATGACAGAGAAAGGCAGTTTCCTGAAGAAAGGATCTCTGGGGCAGTGACCTGTTGGGAGATAATTTCTGTTCGTTAACCGAAATTTAGTCATCTCCACTTTCCTCCCCCAGGCCTGAGGTGGAGATTGAAGAAAAACAACATCCAAAAAAGAGGTAATTCAACTCCAAAATGAACCCTGTAGTCGTTTAGACCAGAACCTCCTAGAAAAGAAGGGGATGACTGCATTGGCCAGGCCCCAAGGGGAGGGCCCATTTCTGCTTAATTTGGAACAGAGAGCCAAGACCTGTGCTGGGGTCTCAGAGATTGCCAGAGTACCCCCCTGCTGGTGGTTTCTAGGCACAGTGTGTGGAAGATCCACCTCAGGGGGCCCCGAGGGGGGGCATGGAGTTAGCTGGGGCACACAGAGCAGTCTGGCGTCCCATGCTCTGGGCTGTACGACACCGTCTCCTGGAAGTCACATGCCCTGTACCTCAATAAATAGAGAACTCAGGATGACCACAGATGGCTAAAGATGGGGACACAGGACCAAACTGCCTTTTTGGAGCTGGACCAACCTTTCTCAAACATCCTTGGGCCCTTCAATCCCACCAAGTCCACACCTTTCATGACTCTCCCAGTCATTAGGAGCTGCAGGAAGAGGCATGAGGCCCTACTATGTGAAGTGCAAGGGGAAAACAATCGGGATTAGCTAGAGTTCCAGGGTGTCCAACAGAACTTGGTGAGGCTGGAAATGTTCTACACGCACACCGTCCAACCATCAGCCGCCAGCCACACTAGCTGTGCTGGATGGCACAGATTGAGACAGACAGGACAGAGGTGTCACACTGACTTTTTTTCTTTATCGTTAATTGGCTTATTCTCAATTCTTAGCTAAATCATTATCTCCTGTTATTTCCATCAAACTTCACAGGAAAGGCGGGGGGAGAAGAGACTCACATAGGCTGGTTTCTTGCTTTCTGATGTTTATTATGAGAGATCCTCATGAGTCATTACAGAGCTTTCATCTCTAGCCTTCTCCATACCTCCAGAGAGGGCAAAGAGAGCCTAGGGAAGAAGAATGGAGTCTGGGAAAACTGGGTCGTGTATGTATTCCAGAAGGAAGAAAACACACGTTCTTTATTCTATTGCTTCAAACAGATGTGCCACACAGGTTGTGGGAATGGAAGATACAAACACAGAAAGCCGGGAAGACAGGGTTTGCGGGGCGGGGTGGGGCGGGTTCCTGCTGCACAGAGGGCTGGCCTGATGACTTCACTGCTGCTCCCAGGGGAAGCTCCTTCGAGCTGGTGCAAACAGGTCCAAGGGCAGCAGGGCTTCTCGTGGGTTGGTATGGCCAAGTGGGACACAGCTCTTCCGAAGCGCTGCTCTGCCTTCCAGACCTGAGCAGAGTCCCTGTCTGGGTGTGTGATGCTGAGGGCATGCACTCTGTACTTCCGAACCCTCCCTGGGCAGTGTGCCTGGGAGGCGCCTAGTCTACAACACCCACAAGGCGGCCTACGACACAGACCCCACATGGCGCGGTGCTGTGGTTTACAAAGAACCAAGATCTGTCAAGGCCAGGCTACTCAAACACTGTCAGGGCCGGGCACCATCGCCCACCCTTCCCACCATTAAAAACACAGAAGCATCAAGACTGAGTCTGCAAGACCCCAGGGAGGACAGGATGCAGGGCCGCTCTCCCCGTAGGTCTGTGGCCTGCTGTGCTAGACACTCCTTCTGTGTGCCTCCAGTGCCCTGGGCGGGGGGGGGGGGGGGGGGTGTCTCCCTGCCCCCTACAAGTGCTCCGGGGATCTGGCGCTGAGTTCCTTCATAAACCCGTGTGCGGCTGCCGCGGCCACCTCCCGCGCGCTTTCGGCTGTCCCCGGGCACCTCACAAGCATGCCCGACCTCCCATCCCCGTCAGCTCCTGATCTGATCGGTCGTGTAACAGAGACCCCCTACCTACAACAGGCCGGCGCAGTCCTCCAACCCCTGCACAACAAAGCTGGAGAAGGACGGCCAGGCCAACCGTGAGGTAAGCGGACGACACTGGCTGCAAAGAGAAAGGTGCCAAAGCACAAAGCACTCGGCTCACAGAGACCAAGCAAACCTGTCCTGGGTGGCTGGTGGGTGACCCAGGAAGGGGGGCCTCCACAGGTGTCTGCCTAAGAGGTCATATGCCCAGTGCAGGCCATCCTGAGAACCACTGTCACACTTGGCCCCAGGGGAGGGAGGACGACGCTCCCCTAAGCTTCTAGGCACAGAGCTCTCAGTCCAAGGAGGACCTGTTTACAACATACCTGACAATCAGTTGTCAGTGTACCCTGGAAACTGAGACTTCCTCTTGCTTCTCATTTTACCTTAAGTATTAGTTATCCCCGGTGTGGGGAAAACGGGAGACAAAGCGTGGGGGGAAGCAGTGAGGGGAGAGATAAAGGAAGAAAATCAATAGTGAGGACGAAACGGAGACTGAAACAGGACATGGTGAGCGGGCAGAACCCGGGGGACAGGGGCTCTGGCGGCTACAGAGAAATGACTGTCATCACCTGGAGAGCCAGGGCCGGCCCGCATGGCAAGAGGAGCTCTAGGAAGGCTCTCCTCCCAGGCTCCAGGCCACCGCGCAGGGGGCTCCACGCCAAGTCCTGCACGTGTCTTAAAAGAAAACTCTGCATAAACAATCTCAGGGTTACAGACACTTGAGACACTTTCCTTGTTCAGGTGATTGGTGTGCAAAGGCAGGACAATGGCCTTCCCCACCTCCTCCCGTCCAAGCAGGTAGTAAATTCTCCGAAATTGCCTGCAACACAATAGTATATAAGGTATAGCTAATCTCTTTTTTCTATCAAAAAGCTGGTAACACCAGACCGCAAGTCTGATAAACTCAGAGATGTTCCAGGGCTCAAGGTAGCCAGGAGTGTCCAAATGGGGAGACACCTGGTGGTGGAAGCAGCCTCCCATTCCTAAGGCCGGTGCTCCTTCCCTTCTCTGGGATAGCCGACTGTCCATGAGAAGAGTCCCTGGCATGCTGGGCTCAGGTGTCAGCCGGGTTGACCTCTTTGGAACAGAAGTAGTGCACGACCACTCCGTTGGGGTATCTTGCAAATGCACTGTAGAGAAGGAAAACGGCTCAGGAGAGAAGACCACTTCCTAGAAAAGGTGCCTTACCCAGGTGCCATCCCAGAAGTGACCCACCCTAACCACAAGGAACGGCCCGCCCCTAGGGTCTTTTGGATTTACACAGCCACCATCTCTGTCAAATAACCAAACAGAGCATGAGTTCCGTGAAGTTTGAAGGCATGGGAATATTTCTTATTAAGTCATCAATGTGAAATACAGGGCAGATGGAGCAGATGGTTCTGCTCATCAGAACAAGTTTTTAGGCTAATTCTAACAACATCTTTCTAAAGAAAAGGATTCTTCTACTCACGTAAGAAAAAGGACAAAGCACCCTACTTTGCAGGCAAGGGGATAGACTAGAGCATATGCTTTAAACAGAATGATGCTGGCTCAGGATTTTACTCAAGTCATGAGGTAGCAGATGAAAAGATCTTTTTCCTCCTTCACTGGCACACCCTAAAAGAGAACTTTCTCCCACATACAACTCCTACACACGCACTGGCTACATCACAACGTCTAGCTGCCAGAAAGGAAGGGCTCTACAGGCACGCCACACACTGCAAGTCTTTAAATCCTCAAAGCTAAGCCGCAACAGACAACACGGACTGCTCTCTGGAAGCCCAAGAAGTAACAGTGGCCGAGACAGCAGCCATGCTCTCCCCTTCAGCTAAAGGGCAGAAATCCATCCTGGGCATGACCCACATCACAGCTGAGGCTGCATAGCCGTCGAGGAGGCTCACCTGTTCCCAATCTTCTTCTTACACACCATGCAGACCTTCTCCTCCGTGATGATGCATTTCACCTGCTGGTGTAAAATCCGCTCTTCCTGGACCTGTGAGAGGACAGCGACTGGGATGGAAGCCTCAGAGTCCGGCACACAGAACCGAAGGCAGAGGCTGGAGCTGTCTCACCCCCCCAGCCCCCCCAGATGCCTCTAATGGAAACCCTTGCAACCAACTGTCAAGTTGGTTATGACATCAGTTTGAGCTACAGTGTTCAAGGAACACAAAGCTCTGCTTTTGTCTATGGGGAATATGTGGTTAACTGTCTCATACTAAAAATACAACCCCATCCTAGAGTTTGGAAGGTTCATACCCTCAGAAATTCTGCATGGAGAAGGTTCTTGAGCACTTGATTGAACCGTTTTTTTTGTGCATTTTCTTCCAAGACCTTTTCCAGAAAGATGCGTATATCGTTAATCTGAGTGTTTGCTGGTAGAAGGTTGATGGCCTAGGGACAGGAACAGAGATGGGAACAGGGTGAGACAGAACGGGAGTGAGCCTGAGGAAAAGTCTGAAGCCACACAGCTCTCTCGAACCCCAGTCCCTTTCTCTGTCCCCTCCTCTCACTCCTCTCATTCAGTGCACCCCTAAGTGCCTCCCATCTCCCCAGAAGAGCTCCTGACCTTGGTGGTGTCCAGCTTGCTATGGTGCAGCTCAAGGACCTGCAGGGCGGCCTGGAGGTTGGCTTGTGGCTCCAGCAGTTCCAGCTTGATTGGTCCCAGGCAGTGAACACTGGGGGGTGACAGGTACATCCGGAGCAGGGACAGATACACCTGTCTCATACAAGTCACATACGTCAGGCTGGCAGTAAGCCTCCCAGAACCCCTCAGCATTACCACACCTAAAAATAAGAGGGGTTGGTCTCTAGTAAGAGCTGCCCTGGAGCACATAAAATTCATCATTTTTCACATTTTAAAAGATTTTGGTAAAGTCAGCCAACTGAAGATGTTAAAAATTAAGGACTGTTTTTCCTGAGACAAAAAAAATCAAATGCGTTGTGTTTGTTAAGCATTATACTGTCGACAAAATGCTAACACTGCAAAATGACTCAAAAAGATCCCTCCCAGGAATCTGGATTTGACGCTGTGACCCCGTCACATTCTGGCAAATGAGGATTAACCTGAGCTGAAACACCATCTTTCCTACTGGTACTAGTAACACAGGGTTTCTCAACCTTAGCACTCAACAGTCTGGGCTGGCTAATTCTTTGTTGAGGCTATCCTGTGCACTGTTTAGCAGCAACTCTGGCCTCTACCACCTAGATTCCAGTTACCCCGACACCCCCAGGCATGACAGTCCAAAGTGTCCAGACACAGACAAATCCATGTGCATTCTAGACAGAGCACATGAGTGCACCTCACTGCAACCATTAGATGCTCCTCCTCAACAGGCTGACCATAGAACTTATACAAGCTGGGACTCTTTTAAGTAAAGGGGCAGGGGTGCTACTAATCATCACAAGGATGACAATAAGCCAGAACCATCCCAAGCAAACAGGATGTACGGTCACCCTGTCTCTCCTCAATACACATGTGCAAAATCAGTGATCTCAGCAACTCCTACCAGTGTTACCTGTGGCCGCCCCAAGGGGGTGAGGAGTGCTGTGAGGGACAGTGAAAAGCACACATGTTCCCTGGGGCCAGTGTCACTACTTACGTCTTTGCTGCCATCTCTGTTTTGGTCGTAATGCTTGTGGCAGTACCTGCAAGGGAAAAAGTGGTGAGACTAGGCCAGAGCAGCCATGTCGAGAGAGAGGTCATCAATTCTGCCTGCGGGAACAGCCTCATGAGGGCTCCGCAATCGGGGGCCAGCACGGGAGGCAGAGTGGAGGGGAGGCAGCTTTCTGAACCTCTCCCACTTCTCCTCTGCCTCTCCTCTCTCTGAGGGGCCTGCTGTCGGACTCGTTGGGCGGACTCATTGGGCGGTGCGGTGGCAGGGTGAACGTACTCCTCGGCCATCTTTGTGTCCTTCAGGATGTGCACGTAGATGAAGAGCGCTTGCTCGTGCTTCCCCATGCGGCCCAGCAGCAGTGCGCGCTCTTCTAAGAGGCCTGCAAGGAGGAAGGAGTGTGAGTAACCCTCACCACCACTGTGTGAGCACAGGCCAGGGGCTAAGCTGTTACACAACTGGGTGAAACTATTTGTATTACTTGGGACTTTTTCAAGGAGAAAATTGCTAAAATTTTAAAAAGGGCGAAGGGAGCTATTTTAGAAAGTACTTTATCCCATCTTTTTTGTGATCACTTCTAAACTGGGAAAGAACGCTCATCCAACAACCAAGTGCATAATAAGCGCCCACAATGTGCCAAGCACTCCAGCTAAGGAAACACTTGGGCTCTGCTCCCCCGGAGTTTATACATCAGACAAACGTGTGTCTTTTTCAGACAAATTATGCCAGATTACAAATATTGCTAAATAATGAACTTGCCCAAGAACATGTACTGATGCAATAAACAGGTTTCAACCTGGCCATCAACTGCCAGGTGGTTCACACCCAAAAGAGACTCCTCTCAGTCACGGTACAAAAGCGAATCTTCAGATGGGATAGAACAGCAGCCCTGGCCTGAAACATGGGGCTTTTTCCAGCCCCAACTTTTGGGAAGAGTAGGGAACTGGGGAAAAGAGAAGGATGAGTTTTTGCATTACTTTCCGCTGAAGTGGCTTCTGGCCATGAGCCAGACACTCACCATCAAAAGGAAAGTCACAGATTAGCCGGCCTGGATCATAGTAGCCAGAAATTTCCAAGAACATAAGGAGCTTCCGTCGGTATTCTCCCAGCTCACCATCTTCCTCTCCAGCAGGAACTGGAGTTTGGCCTTCAAAGGAAACCAAGCTCAAAATGAAACGATGCTGTGGGGCAGCAATGTGGGGTCATCAAGAAAAATGAAGGGGATGGGGTTCAATGATATCACCACAATGATCAGAAAGGGCCTCCAGAGTGGGTTCCAGTTGGATTTTTCTTAGTTTACGGTCTCTACACGACCCAAAACATCAGCTTGAGAAACAAAGGAAATCAAGCTACACAGACAAGCGCTCTTGTAAGCAAACCTGTTTCTTATCAGCACAGCTGTCGTCTTGCAGACAAATCTGTTCCTTCCCCCTCCCATATGGGCGATGCTCAGCAATGCCCAGATCCAGACAAGAGCTCTTGAGTCTCCCATGCTGGCTCACTTAGCTGCCCTGGCTCCTCTGAGGAACTTCCCACCCCCCTGGGCCCACAGAGAAGAGTAAGGTCTGCTTCTCTGTGCCACATGGCACCCTCGGGTCCCAGGTCACCTCTAAGGCCCAGGGCCACCTGGCTTTCTATTAGAACTGGTACCTGCAGGGAAGGACAGGAGATACTCCTTCATCAGACCTTGCACCTTCTCACAGTACAGCTGGATCAGGCAGTTGTGGAACCGAGAGCCTGTCTCCTCCCAAACGTGGATGACATGTTCCTGAGGCAAGACATGGGTCTACCTGGTACCCTCTACGCTGTGGCCCAGCTCTGTCACCCCATCTCCCTCACATTTTTAAGGCCCAACAGGTCCCATCGAGATTGTCTCCTAAAATAGCTCTTCTAAAACCACCAGGAAATTTTGGAATACAACCCAGCAACATCAAGGATTATTTTCTTGATTTGCAATCTAAGCTCATTCATTAATTTTGTCCCATAATCCTCTAAACTCTTGCATCAGCCCACGTAGTTACGGTTACATAGTTGCATTCCGGTACTTAAAACCAATTTGGTTGTCCTGTGGTCACGGATGAATCTGAATGGCCATACAAATGTGGCTTTGAGATGTTTTTCTTGAACATCATTCTCTTTTATCCCTCTGTACTTTACCTCGATTTAGAAGGCATTCATCAAAGGTAACATTTCCAGCTTGACTACCAAGATCTTTCTTCAGAGGAGGCAGAAATAATCTTCTTTCTTACATTTCTACCAATCCCCAAGTGACACAAACCCCAATCTGAATTGCCGGATAACTGCCCCATGCGGCCCTGGATCCCACATTTAAAGGTTTTTAGTTCAGACCAAAAAAAGATCTTACCAGATAAGGAATAGCCAGACCCTTAAAATTCTCCACTAAGAAGCCAAGCACTCGGTCACGTGGCAGAGACTCCACCTCCGGGAGGTCTTCGGTAAAGATCTATGGGAACAAACCTGAGTTCCAGCAGCAGAACCATCTGACTGCAGTGCTGCCAACCACACACCTGCACACACACACACACACGCACACACACACAGTGGAGGGTCAAGTGGACTGCTGAAGGGGGAAGGGTCTACCAGATGGCACCTTAGCTCGTGTGACAGACTAGGTCACGGGTGCTGGTCTCCTGATGTCTGCACAAGGCTCTCTCCACCACATTATTACACTGTTGTCTCCTCTTTCCCGGACTACTCCTCTGAACACCAGAGAAACTGCATGAATCCTACCCCCACCACCCCACTGTCCTTAGTCGAATCAGGACCCAGCATGGGACTAGATAAATCCGAGAGACCCCTATGACCTACCTTCAAGCCATCCTCTGGGAAGTCTCGCAGCACCCACACCGAGTAGGAAAAAATCAAATGCAGGTTTTCTGTGCCTGAGAGGGAAAAGATTCGTTGACAGGTGAAGCCCACCCTGGCCACAGGACTGAGAAGGCAGGTGCCCAGGTTGCCCCCGAATTTACTTTCCAGGGAAGATAGTCTGTCCAAGCACCAGTCACTTAGGGCTGCTTGGCCCTACTTGGCTGGCTACATGCCAAAGGGCTGTCACAGTTCCACCATGGGGGTACTCTTACCCCAACTGGAGAAACAAAGTTGGGTGAGCACAAGGGAGGTAGGGGACTGACCCGCCGGAATCAGAAATGGACAGAGATCAAGTTCATTTGAACACAATCCTTCCCCACTTCCCTTTCAAAAGCTGGACTTACCCAAATGCTGCAGATACTGCACTGTCCTCTCGTGGCCTTTCAGAGGCGAGTTGGCCTTCTTGGACTGGTCCACCAGCACCTGCAGAGCTGGCCATGAAGCGCCCCCCAAAAAAGGTCATTAGCCTCTTCCAGGAGGCACATGCCCACGGGAGAGTTATCGTACTTCAGTGGGTTTCCCCTCTCCCCAGACAAGAGACCCTCCCAGATTCGAGAAGCCCCTGCTCCGGCCACCTTTCTCATGGAGCCCCTTCTTCTCGTAGAGGATGATCAGCTCGCTGTACTTGTGCGCCTTCTTCAGCACGTGCTCGCTCTCCTCGATGTGGCAGTGGTTGTTCTCCAGGCGCAGCAGAGGGGCCACCAGGGCCACATTTGTCTGTGGAGGAAGCAGGACTTCCGTGGCAGCCGTGTCGTGAAGGCGCACCCCCACCCCGTCCCCCTCCTAGCCCAGGCCTGCTTCAGGCCAAAAGGAACTGAGGTTCTGAAAAGAACCCAAGCCAGAGAAGGCCAACCGGCCTTTATCAGGACTACAGGGAGTGGCTTTCACAGCATTATGCTCTTTCACACAGCAGGTTTTCACGTGCCGGAGGGGAGTGGGGGGCAGGCGGGGATACATTCAGGAAACACTGTCCCTGTTTGCCCTGTAGCACCAACCCCAGTCTTACCAGAGAAGACCAGCCCACTGCAAATTCTGGGGCAGTATCTTGCCTTATCCTCCTAATTCTCAGAAGCTCAGAGGTGTCAGGTCAAGGCTAGGTGGTACCCATCATCAAAGATTTCATTCTTACTGATGGCAGTTACCCCAAAGTAGCCCTTTCCCAGCTTCAGGGGACTGGGGAATTGTGGGTACCAAGTGCTTGGAGAACTCACATGGAGGTAGCACTTGAGCAGGGTGGTGTCAATGATTTGCAACAGCTTCTTCTTGGATTTGATGGTGGGAGTGCCTTCCATAAGCGGGGAGGTGCTAGATTGGTGATCAGAGTCATTCAGCTTCTTCACCAACTGGCTTCGTTTCTGCCAAGACCCGGAAATGTGGGGTTAAGGCCAGGACTAAATTATCCTTATCACCTGAGCTACCAGGTAATTCCAAATACCGCCAACACAGCTCACACCTATCCACCCTGATCTCACATTAGCATATAATCTTTATCGGGGATCAAAAGAGATGAATGCCAAATTGCCACAGATCCAGTTTATGGGTACAGATCCAGTAACAATTATTTATCGGGTAGTTACTACACACCAGGCACCATGCCAAGAACTTTATGTCACCCTATTTTAAACCTACAACAAATGCAGACATTATCATCCCTGCTTTACAAGAAGCCAAGGCACAGATAATTAGATCTCTCACAAGCAGCTGAGGCAAGTTTCAAATTAGGATCTAATTCCAAAGCCCATGTTCTTTTATTAAAAAAAAAATCAACTTTCTTGAGGTGTAACATGTAATAAAATGTACCCTTTTAAAGTATGAAATCCATTTTGACACATATGTACATGCATATAACCACGACCCCAATCAAGGAACAGAACATTTTCTATCACCCCAGAAAGTTCCCTTGGGCTCTTCTCAAAGAGTCCCACCCACCTCTGACACCAGGGATCTGATTTTGATCACTAGAGATTAGTTTTTACCTATTGCAGAACTTCACATAAATACAATCACCCAGGTTGCACTACACTGTGTCTGGCAATGCCCTTGGTCTTAGATGCTCCACCATCTCTCTGGCATAGCAGCATCAGTGTCAGCTAACCCACACATCCCAAATGTCAGCGGAGAAGTCCAGGGAAAAATGTGTGCTCGGAGTCCTAAACAAAGACACTGGCAATAGAGGGTTTTCTTCAATACCACAGGCTTAGGAGACATTCTGCCCCGGGAACCTTCTTCACTTGACAAACCACATGAGCTGTGCAGGGTGCAGACAGACACATGTCTGGGTACCCCTGGAGCCCAATGTCAAGGAAGTGCCGAGGCTACGCATGCCTGACCAGACCTGTGGGACCTTCACTAACCCAGAAGCAGGCGGCAGGTAGCTGGCTTACAATTTCCCGGCAGTCTTTCTCAGTGCCTGCCCAGGGGACCCCTCACAGAGGTCTTCACAACACCTATGGGGAAAAAAATTTACTAAGTTCTCGGACTGGGTGAGTGCCCAGAAAATAAATAATAGCCCTTTGTGACAGAAGTTTGTGGTGAACAGTCTTTAATGGAGACATTAATTTGAGTGTTCCCTTGAAAATTTCACTTATCTCTCCATAACAGTAAACTGGAAAAAAAACAAATCTACTCCCTCTTAAAAAAAACCCATGTTATAGAAGAATATTTATTGACAGAGAAGGATTTTCTCAATATACAGCTAAATTTTTAAAAAGTAAGCTATAGAACTTTAGTTGATATCCATTAGCAATAACCCCATAAATAAATTTTATTTTTATTTTTTTATTCTTTAAAGATTTATTTATTTGAGAGAGAGAGATTGAGAGATCAAGTGTGCAGGAGCAGGGGGAGGGGCAAAGGGAGAGGGAGAAAGAATCCTCAAACAGACTCCCTGCTGACCGCAAAGCCCAATGCAGGGCTCAAACCCAGGACCCCGAGATCATGACCTGAGCCAAAACAAAGAGTCAGCCGCTCAACCGACTGAGCCACCCAGGGGCCCCAATAAATTTTTAAAAAACCGAATTCATGAATACATATCCAAGCATACCTCAGAGACATTGTGAGTTTGGTTCCAGACCACTTCGATAAAGCTAGTATCTCAATAAAGTGAGTTAAATTCATTTCTTGGTTTCACAGTGCATACAGAAGTTATGCTTATGTGTAAGTATGCTTATGGTAGTATTATGCCTAACAAAATAATGTATATACCTTAATTTAAAAATACTTTATTGCTAAATAATGCTAACCATCATCTGAGCTTTCAATGAGTTATAATCTTTTGGCTGGTGGAGGGTTCTGCCTCGATGTTGATGACTCAGGGTTCGGGTGGCTGTGGCAATTTCTCAAAATAAGACAAGGAAGTTTGCCACATCAATTGACTCTTCCTTTCAAGAATGATTTCTCTATAGCATGCGATGCTGTTTGATAGCACTTTACCCACAGAACTTCTTTCAAAACTGGAGTCTACCCTCTCAAACCCTGCCACTGCTTTATTAACTATGTTTATGGGTAATTTTAAATCCTTTGCTGTCATTTCAACAGTCTTCACAGCATCTTCACCAGAACTAGATTCCATCTCAAGAAACCACTTTCTTTGCTCTTCCGTAAGAAGCAACTCCTCATCCAGTACAGTTTTATCCTGAGATTGCATCAAGTCAGTCACGACTTCAGGCCCCACTTCTCATTCTAGTTTTCTTGCTATTCCCACAACATCTGCAGTCACTTCCTCCACTGAAGCCTTGCACCCCTCAAAGTCATCCTTGAGGGCTGGAATCAGCTTCTTCCAAACTCCTGTTCATGTTGATATTCTGACCTCTTCCCATGAATCATGAGTGTTCTTTTTTTAAATTTAAATTTTATTAACATATAATGTATTATTTGTTTCAGGGGTACAGGTCTGTGATTCATCAGTCCTTATATAATACCCAGTGCTCATTACAACACATACCTCCACAATGTCCATCATCCCGTCACTCCATCCCTCCAGCCCCCTCCCCTCCAGCAACCCTCAGTTTGTTTCCTATGATTAAGAGTCTCTTATGGTTTGTCTCCCTCTCTGGTTTCGTCGTTTCATTTTTTCCTCTTCCTCTACAATCCTCTGCCTTGTTTCTTAAATTCCACATATCAGTAAGATCATATAATTGTCTTTCTCTGATTGACTTATTTCGCTTAGCATAATACCCTCTAGTTCCATCCACATTATTGCAAATGCCAACATTTCAATTTTTGATGGCTGCATAATATTCCATTGTGTGTGTGTGTGTGTGTGTATATATATATATATATATATATATATATATATATGCCACATCTTCTTTATCCATTCATCTGTTGATTGACATCTGGGCTCTTTCTATCATTTGGCTATTGGGGACATTTCTGCTGTAAACATTGGGGTGCACGTGCCCCTTCGGGTCAATTACATCTATATCTTTGGGGTAAATATCCAATAGTGCAATTCCTGGGTCATAGGGTAGCTCTATTTTCACCTTTTTGAGGAACCTCCATACTGTTTTCAAGAGTGGCTACACCAGTTTGCATTCCCACCAACAGTGTAGGAGGGTTCCCCTTTCTCCGCATCCTCACCAACATCTGTCGTTTCCTGACTTGTTAATTTTAGCCATTCTGACTGGAGTGAGGTGGTATCTCATTGAGGTTTTGATTTGTATATCCCTGATGCTGAGTGATGTTGAGCACTTTTTCATGTGTCTGTTGGCCATTTGGATGTCTTCTTTGCAGAAATGTCTGTTCATGTCTTCTGTCCATTTCTTGATTGGATTATTTGTTCTTTGGGTGTTGAGTTTGATAAATTCTTTATAGATTTTGGATATTAGGCCCTTTATCTGATATGTCATTTGCAAATATCTTCTCCCATTCTGTCCGTTGTCTTTTGGTTTTGTCTACTGTTTCCTTTGCTGTGCAAAAGCTTTTTATCTTGATGAAGTCCCAATAGTTCATTTTTGTCTTTGCTTCCCTTGCCACTGGAGACGTGTCTAGCAAGAAGTTGCTGTGGCTAAGGTCGAAGAGGTTGCTGCCTGTGTTCTCCTCAAGGATTTTGATGGATTCCTGTCTCACATTTAGGTCTTTCATCAATTTTGAGTCTATTTTAGTGTGTGGTGTAAGGAAATGGTCCAGTTTCATTCTTCTGCATGTGGCTGTCCAATTTTCCCAACACCATCTGTTGAAGAGACTTTTTTCCATTGGATATTCTTTCCTGCTTTGTCAAAGATTAGTTGACCATAGAGTTGAGGATCCATTTCTGGGTTCTCTATTCTGTTCCACTGATCTATGTGTCTGTTTTTGTGCCAGGACCATACTGTCTTGATGATTATAGCTTTGTAATAGAGCCTGAAGTCTGGAATTCTGATGCCGTCGGTTTTGGTTTTCTTCTTCAACACTCCTTTGGCTATTCGGGGTAATCATGAGTGTTCTTATGGAATGTAGAATAGTGAATCCTTTCCAGGTTTTTTATTTATTTGGCCCAGATACAGAGGAATCATTACCTATAGCAACTATAGGCTTGTGAAATGTTATTTCTTTTTCTTTTTCTTTTTTTTTTATTTGCGAGAGAGAGAATGAGAGACAGAGAGCACGAGAGGGAGGAGGGTCAGAGGGAGAAGCAGACTCCCCGCTGAGCAGGGAGCCCAATGCGGGACTCGATCCCGGGACTCCAGGATCATGACCTGAGCCGAAGGCAGTCGCTTAACCGACTGAGCCACCCAGGCGCCCCGTGAAATGTTATTTCTTAAAGAAGACTTGAAAGTTAAAATTACTTCTTGATCCATGGCTGCAGAATGGATGCTATGTTAGTATGAAAACATTAATCTTACTGTACATCTCCATCAGAGCCCTTGGGTGACCAGGTGCATTTCAAATAACCAGTCATATTTTGAAAGGAATCTTTCTTTCTGAGCTGCAGGTCTCAACAGTGGGTGTAAAATACTCAGTAAACCATATTATAAACAGACGTGCTGTCATCCAGGCTTTGTTGTTCCATTTATAGAGCACAGGCAGAGCAGATGTAGCGTCATTCTTAAGGGCCCTAGGATTTTCAAAATGATCAATGAGCATTGGCTCCAACTTCAAGTCACCAGCTGCATTAGCCCCTAACAGGAAAGTCAACCTGTCCTTAGAAGCTTTGAACCCAAGCACTGACTTCTCTTCTCTAGCTATGAAAGTCCTAGTTGGCATTTCCTTCCAACAGAAGGCTGTTTCATACACTGAAGATCTGCTGTTAAGCGGAGCCACCTTCATTAATGATCTCACCTAGATCTTCTGGAGAACTTGCTGCAGCTTCTACATCAGCACTTGCTGCTTCACCTTGAACTTTATGTCATGGAGACGCCTTCCTTCTTAAACCTCATGAACCAACCTCTTCTAGCTTCCAACTTTTCATCTGTAGCTTCCTCATCCCTCTCAGCCTTCATAGATTTGAAGAGAGTTAGGGCCTTGCTCTGGATTAGGCTTTGGCGAAAGGGAATGCTGTGGCTGGTTTGATTTCTACCCAAACCACTAAAACTTTCTCCAAATCAGCAATAAGGCTGTTTCATTTTCTTATTCATGTTACTGATGTAGCAGTTTTAATTTCCTTTAAGATTTTTTCTTCTGCATTCACAACTTGGCTAACTGGCACAAGAGGCGTAGAGTTTGGCCTATCTTGGCTTTTGATATGCTTTCCTCGCTAAGCTTAATTATCTTTACTTTTGATTAGCAATTCTTCCTTTTACTTGAACACTTAGAGGCCATTGTGGGGTTAATAACTGACTTAATTTCAAAATTATTGTGTCTCAGGGAGTAGGGAGACCCAAAAAGCAGAAGAGGCAGGAACAGCCAGTTGGTCGAGTAGTCAGAACACACAGACATTTATTAAGTTTGCCATCTTATATGGGCACAGCTGGTGGCATACCAAAACAATTACAACAGTGACATCAAAGATCAATGATCACAGATCACAAAAATAAATACAATAATAATGAAAAAACGTGAAATGTTGTGAGAATTACCAAAATGTGACACAGACACAAAGTGAGGAAATGCTGTTGAAAAAATGGTGCCAACAGACTTGCTCAATGCAGGGTTGGTGCAAATCTTCAATTTGTAAAAAAAAAACAAAAACGCAGCATCTGTGAAGCACAATAAAGGAGGTGTGCCTCTAAAGGTCTAGAAGGACAACACTATAATGTTTGTTACTTTTCTCTGGGTGGTAGGGTTATGGGTGATTTGTACTTTTGCTTTATACTTTTCTATGTTTGCCCAGTTGCCTGCATAGAGCATGTATTTTTCCACAAGTATGTATGTTCCAAAAGAGTATTTCAAAAAACTTATTTTCTATCAACTAAGATTTATTCTTTTTAGTTCCCAGAAGAGCTTAGTGTAAATTTACCAGAAATCAAGTACGTTTCCTGCTATCAAGATTTGGCATCAAACAGCTCAATGGTATGACTGAGCAGGGAGATGGAGGAGAAAGAAATGTGCCCAGCCCACCATGACTTCTACAGCATTCATTTATGGAATGCCTATGGAATTTGAGAAGGCCTGCCCTTCTCTGCCACAGAAAAGAGGTACTGGAACTCCCAGGTAAACTCTTCCACACACCTCTGTATCATACCTACCTGTGTCAGGTAGTCAATCAGAGCTAAGTGTGCCTTCTCCAATTCAGCCCCCGAGAGCACAGGCAGCGGGTTAGGATACTGCAGCTGCTTCCTATAGTCTGTGGGCAGCAGGTCCGGGTACAGGCCCATCACATGGGTAGGATCTACATGGAAGGTAAACATGATTCCCCAGAAAGGAGCACAGCAATTTAGGGACCAGATAAAACAAGACCATTACTAAAGCAAAATAAGTTCCAGACTGATTTTTTTAAAGATTTTTTTATATTTCACATAATCTCTATACCCAATATCAAGAGTCGCATGCTCTACCGAATGAGCCAGCCAGGCACCCTCAGACTGATTTTTTTTTAAAAATTGACTCCAAGTTCATAAAAACTCAATGAGCTCTATACTTCTATAGTTTGAGCACTATTTATATGTATATTTCACTAAACCATTACAAAAATGCTTGACTCTATCTTCCAAGCCGTACACAAATACACATATGCAGAATTAGAATGGAAAATTTATGAATTCTCTGAAAGTGGAGAAGAAAACATATTCCAAGAAAATATTGCTAAGATATTAAAGTTGAAAAAAATCAATAGCCTTAAAAAATAAAAGAACTGTATGTCAAAAAAAGAATTATTACCAAAACAAATTACTATTACTAAAACAAAGCCACACAATAGGCTAAGGAATATATTCGCAGCATATATGGCAAGAGGCTAATAAGTTAATTATATAAAACATAAATCGGTAAAAAAAAAAAAGATTTCATCTGATAAACAGGCAAAAGACATGAACAACTGACAAGAAAATAATATAAATAAGTGGGAAAACATTCTGCTACATTAAGAATCAAAGCAATACATTTAATTAGTAAAATTAGTAAAAAAAATTTTTACATGATACTACCCAGTGCTTGCAATATTATGAGACTGAATCACTCTTACACTGACTGCCAAGGCAAAAATACTCTACCTCAATAAGGAAAAAGGCACTTGGACCCACTAATCCCACTTCTAGGAGCTTACGCTAAGAAAACAGTCTAAAGGCGGGGGGGCGGGGGGGGAGACACATCTGAATAAACAGGTCATGTAATGAACATTATTTGTAACAGTGCAATTCTGGAAAAATTGTGGAATTCCTTCAGCAGCAGAACTACAGTCTATTCAACTAAGAGACTATAAGGCAATCATTACAAATTGTAATTATGAAGGGCACACAGCAACATGGAAAAACAGTGTAACAATTCTAAGTAACAAAAACTATAAAAGCATATACTGTTATGATTATCATTACATTGAGATGTACACATGTGAAAAAGCTTGGATGAAAAAGAGACGAAACGAGAGTCAAGGCTAGATCTAGAGTAAATTTTTTTTCCTTTAACACTTCAATAAATATTTTGTCCCAGCATTACTTTATTTTCATTAAAATTAAAAAAAAAAAAAAAGTTGGAGGACCAGGAGGCCATGTCCCTTCTAGAAGGAGCTGAGCCCCAGGCAAGCAGACCAGAAGAGAAATGTTACCCAGCCTTGCCTTGAAGCCTCCAGAACCCACATCATCCCCAAGAAACCTTTGTCTGACCCCGGTATTTCTGCCAAGCTAGGAAGACTGTGTTTCCTCAAAACCTGAGAACCATGATAATGTGAAACAGACACTCCTGGGAAGCTGAAAGGGACAGCAGGCGGATCTGTGTGGCTGCCACACAGAAGCACAGGCTGAGGAACGCAGACAACCACTGGGGGCCCGGAGTGAACCCACCGCCCTCGCCTAGGCTTTGCCAGGCTCCCGCACCACTGTGTGTGTCTACAGATGTGGCTCTAATCACATCGCTCTACTTAAAACCTTGTGATGTCACCTGAAGCCTACAATACAAAGTCCAAAGTCCCTTGCAGCACTCAAGGTCCTCTGAGATTTAGACCCAACATCTCTTTCTCATATGACCTATCAAGCACCACCAACATCACACTGGGCTGGGGCTCACAGACCCTCAGCCACCACTGAGTCCTCTTGCCAACCACCCTTCCTTTACACTCTGCTTTTCCTTCTATCTTCCAGAGCCTGGTCACCTCCTCTTGAGACTCCTGACTTACTTCTCCACAACCCTGGAGATGCTTATTCCAACATTTCACTGATGGTTTTACATGCAAGCGCTCTGTGGCCATATAAGAGGTCTTATTTATCCATGAAGCTCAAGATCAAAGGTAGAGCTGGCACTGACATCGCTTATCTGATTTGCCTTTGGCCCGCATGTTCACCAAGTCCAGGATTATGCCACACATTGAATCCCCAGTAATACAGACAGGTAATTCACAATGGGATTATATTCCTTATGCAGAACAAAGGATACAGATCAACTATGCTCTAGCCACATGGATCTGGCTGCTCCTGGAACACACTAGGCAGCATTCCAAACTCACCACCTTGGCACTAGCCATTCCCTTGGCCTGCAGTGCACCTGCCTAGACACCTGCCCGGTTCATTAAATAGCTTCCTTCAGGCCCTAACTTCTCAGAGATGCCTTCCCTGACCATTTTATCTTAAATTGTAATCCTAATTCCCATCTTCAGTACTCCTTATCCCCATTCCCCTGCTTTATTTTTCTTAGGATTTACCACTTCCCAATATATTATAAATTTGCTTATTTATTTGGTTGTCTGCCCCCTCTCCAACAGAATATAAGCCCCACTACCTGGTACCCAGAATAGTCTCCAACGCATGGTAGAAGCTTGATAAAATTTTTATTGACTAAATAAGTAACGAATATAGTATCTGAACAAATTCAATAGTCTAAGGCTCAACTTCAAGATCTAAATATGGGTTTCAAGAAATATAAAAACTGGGGCAACTGGGTGGCTCAGTCAGTTAAGCGTCTGCCTTTGGCTCAGGTCATGATCCCAGGGTCCTGGGATCTAGCCCCAAGTGGGGGCCCCTGCTCAGTGAGGAGTCTTCTTCTCCCTCTTCCTCTGCACCCACCCCCTGGCTTGTGCTCTCTCTCTCTCTCAAATAAATAAATAAAATGTTAAAAAAAAAAAAGAAATATAAAAACTATCTTATTCACATTCTTGCCATTCCACACATCCTGCTCAACCACCAAGACTCCAACAAAACTCCATGGTCTCAATGCAGTGTGTCTTCTTATCAAGCCCTTGTGCAAATACCTATAGTACTTACGTTTCTATCTTGCCTTAGAGCTTTTTATGTACAAGTTGTAGGTTGCCATAAGGAAATAATCTAAAATATTGGTTCTTAAACATTTTTAGGATCTAAGACATCAGAGGATGTGATCAAACATACTAATCCTCTCTCTAGAAAAACCCACGTATGAAAAAAATTTTATATCAAGTCTAGGGTGGTTCACAAACTTGATAAAGTCTACTCACAGGCCCTATGTCCCCAGTGGGAGCAGACAGAGCTTCTTTCTCACTCACAAGGGGTAGAAATAGGCCACCCTTATAAGAAACCTATCTGTGGAACACAGTAAAGTGAGAGGCAGGAAAAGCAAACCTGGGCCCAGTCCATCCTACACTAGGGGGATCAAAGGACACTGGGCCTGGCAGTATGACATTCCAGCTGTCTGAGACTATTCTCTGAAGCCCGGCCTCCCTCTGGCTCAGAAGAAACATCCCTCTACAAAATTTCCTTTTGCTCCTATTCCATGCCTCCAAAAGCAGTCTTCTGACTTGGCATCCCAGGTATACTCTGTTCTGCTACAACCTGAGTTTCTTTCATATGAATTAGTTAACACAGTTCATAAGTGGGATAATATTATCATTATGAGGCAAAAGTTGTGTTGGGGGGCACCTGAGTGGCTCAGTTGGTTAAGTATCTGCCTTTGGCTCAGGTCATGATTCCAGGGTCCTGGGACTGAGCCCCGCATCAGATACCCTGCTCAGCGGGAAGTCTGCTTCTCCCTCTCCCTCTGTGCTCTCTGTATGCTCTGTGCTCTCTCTCTCTCCAGTAAATAAAATCTTATAACAACAACAACAAAAAGTTGTGTTGATTTGTATGCAAATTTCCCCAGCTTGTTAATGTTTTAAAGTGACCAGGCAGGCAAGCTTCCTCACAATTTTTTTTTTTTTTAAAGATTTTATCCCTTTATCTGACAGAGAGAGAGACAGCGAGAGAGGGAACCCAAGCAGGGGAAGTGGGAGAGGGAGGAGCAAGCTCCCCACGGAGTAGGGAGCCCAATGCGGGACCCGATCCCAGGACCCCGGGATCATGACCTGAGCAGAAGGCAGACGCTTAACAACTGAGCCACCCAGGCACCCAATCTTCCTCACAATTAAAGAAAAAGCCTTACCTATACAGGGAGACCTAAAGAAAAGAACTGAAACAGAAGTGACCTCTTTTACTGCAAGGAGTGGCTGGCTAGTTAGTAGCTTCAAAATCCACTATACTTTCTATTAAGTTAAACCACCTGGAAAAGCTGAGAGTAAAAATAAAGCAAAGATGTTCCCCCCACATTCATTTTTTGGGGGGTCTCATAAAGAAGTCTATACCCAGGATCAGACTTTTTATTTTGATGAAACTAGTTTCTATTAGAAGCAAATATTCTCAAAGATTTGTATCTCAAAGGAGAAAGCATAGCCACAGAGTTCAAGACTGCAAAGCACTACCATGCTGAGTACCAACAACAGTGGGGATTTAACGTTAGTAGGACAGCTATTGTTTTAATTAGTGTTCCACTTACCAAGCTGCCTATGCCTTGAGTGGTCTGCCCCAACCTCATTTCTCCCATAAGCCCTGTTATTTCCCAAGAGTATTTATTATAGAATATAAGGTTTTCCAGGACCACATTCAAGGCCTCATAGCAAAAATGCCTGCACCTTGATATACGTACAGAAGAGTGCCTTGGGTGCCATGTATGAATATTCTAGCCACTGGAAAGAGATCTCACCTCTCTACTGTAAGTAAATAAAGGGATATTAGAAGTCTGTGTTTATGGGTGAGACCAGTTACACAAGATAAGGACTGTAAATATATAACACTGTGACCACCCACAAGATCCTGTGAGGCACGAGGATCAATTGAAATGAGCAGAAACTAGTCCCAGTTTCAGATGTCTAGTACCATTTCTCCCATCCTTTCCAGTTTCCCCTCCCTCTATGAGGTCCATCCAAGGCCAAACCCACGTGTTACCTGTGCCAAGCTTAGCAAAGACCTGCATAGACTCATCAAAACGCTTCTGGCAGAAGAGGTTGAAGGCATACAAGTTCTTGATGTGATGGATCTGTTGCTGCTTTTCGCTGTCGGAATCATCTTTCATTTCCTAAGTAAGAGAGTAGAACAGGTAAGAGCGCATTCATTCAACAAATATTTATTCAGTATATACTAGGGATCAGACAACATCATAGGAGGTCCGCATGCCAAACTGTACAAGAAAAGCCACGTGGCACCTGCCCTCATAGACTGTCCTGACAATCTAACCACAAGACTGAGAAGAAACTCTGCAATTAAAATGTAACAGCGTTTCTACAAAATATCTGAGCAGCACCCCTGAAAACGGTCAAGGTCACAAAAAACAAGGGAAGAGTAAGAAACTGTCATACAGGGGCGCCTGGATGGCTCAGTCGTTAAGCGCCTGCCTTCGGCTCAGGTCATGGTCCCAGGGTCCTGGGATCAAGCCCCGCATCGGGCTCCCTGCTCAGCGGGAAGCCTGCTTATCCCTCTCTCACTCCCCCTGCTTGTGCTCTCTCTTTCACGGTGTCTCTCTCTGTCAAATAAATAAATAAAAAATACTAAAACAACAAAAAAAAGAAATTGTCATACATCAGACAACACTAAGGACACAGACCAACTAAATACAATGTAATTTCTGGATTTGAAACTAGAACAGAAAAAGGGCATTAACTAATGGAAAAACTGGTGAAATCTGAATAAAGTCTAGAGTTTAGTTTAAAAACACAGAAAAATCAAAACTAAAAACACGGTGAGTGAGGACAGAATGCAGGGCATTTAATGTCACTGGCACAGCTGGGCAAGGTCCTGTTCACAGTAAGAGCTAAATTAATGCAGCTATTTATTATCTTTGTTTCTTCCTTATAACCTTTTATTCCCCTTATATTCTTTTTAACCAATCTTTACTACATTTAATTTCTTCCTTCAAAATTTTTTTCCATTTCTTCCCTTCTTTTCCTTTCCTATTCTGTTGCCATCACCCCACTCCAGACCACCACCACAGGGCCATACCCCGTCTAAGCCCTCTTGGTGCTTTACAGGTTTTCAGAACCGGCACAGCCTTCTTCTCTAGCTTATTCCCAGATGCTCAAGCATCACCCTCCACTCCAGTCAGGATGAGCTCCAAGCCATTTCTACACTTGTTTTCACTTCTTTAACTTCCTCAGGCTCTTCCTCCTCCCTGTTTCCCCATCTGATCCTGATCTCACCTATTCAGAAAGGGTCCAACCCCGGGATGTCCTGTCTAGCCCACAGGGAACTGTCTGTCCCCTGGCTAAAATTTTGCTCCACATTTTGTCAATGGCAAAGTTTAATGTGTACTTGCCTTCTGAAAGTTTCATGTATATTCTTTGACTTATTTAAATAAAAGACAGGTTCCTAAAGAGCTAAGATGGTATCAACCAAACTTCTTTCATCATAGCACGAACACCTAGTAAGTACAAGTCTAGAAAAGAGAAGGGAAAAATGGAAACCCACTTCCACCTTCTCTACCAAAGATTAAACACACAACCTGCAGCAGGAAGATCACTAAAAACACCCAAGACCTTCCTGTGAAGAAAAACAGATACTAAAAAAGCTATGTGCTGCATGACACCCTTTAATGTTCAAAACTAAGTAACATATTCAAGCACACATATATATGTAAATGGTTAACAAAAAACAACCTTTTAAAATTTATTAATTCCAGTGTAATTAACATAGTGTTGTATTAGTTTCAGGTGCACACTGCAGTGACTCCACACTTACATACATCATTACAAGGGCACGCCTTAATCCCCAGCACCTATTTCCCCCACCCCCCACCACCTCCCCTCTGGTAAGTTAAGAGTCTGCTTTTGTGGTTTGTCTTTTTTGTCCTTTTGTTTCTTAAATTCCATATGAGTGAAATCGTATGGTATTTGCCTTTCTCTGACTAATTTCACTTAGCATCATACCCTCTAGCTCCATTCATGTTGTTGCAAATGGCAGGATTTCATTCTTTTTTATGGCTGAATAATATTCCATATTACTGATTTATATATATATATATATATATATATATCAGCTCTTCTTTATCCATTCATCTATTGATGGACACTTATGTTGCTTCCGTATCTTGGCTATTGTAAATAATGCTGCAGTAAGCTTAGGGGTACATATATCTTTTCGAATTAGTGTTTTTGTATTCTTTGGGTAAATAGCCAGTAGTGGAATTACTGGATCATATGGTAATTCTTTTTTTAATTTTTTAAGGAACCTCCATATTGTTTTCCACAGTAGCTGCACCAGTTTGCATTCCCGCCCACAGTTCATAAGGGTTCCTTTTTCTCCACATCCTCGCTAACACTTGTTGTTCCTCGTGTTTTTGATTTTAGCCATTCTGACAGGCGTGAGGTGTATCTCACTGTGGTTTTGGCAGCTCCCTCCCCCTTCTGTTTATCTTCTGATATCTCCCCACAGTTTCACGACTCCCCACGGTTTACCTTGCCAAAGGCAGTTGCTTTTCTGCTTGTAGAGATCCAGATATATATTCTTACATCTCAGGCTGATTTTTCACGGGTGTTCAAAATGGTTTGATAGATATCCAGCTAAATTCTGGGGACTAGTTGAAACGGGGTCCCCTTCTCTGCCATCTTGCCTTCACCTTTCATTGTGGTTTTGATTTGCATTTCCCTGATGATGAGTGATGTTGAGCATTTTTTCATGTGTCTGTTGGCTATCTGTATGGCTTTCTTTGGAGAAATCTCTGTTCATATCTTCTGCCCATTTTGTAATTGGATTATTTGCTTTCTGAATGTGCAGTGTTACAAGTTCTTTATGTATTTTGGATACTAACCCTTTATTGAATATATCATTTGTAAATATCTTCTACCATTCCATAGGTTGTCTTTTAGTTTTGTTGATGTTTTCCTTTGCTGTGCAGAAGCTTTTTATTTTGATGTAGTCCCAATATTTTATTTTTGCTTTTGTTACCCTTGCCTGAGGAGATATATCTAGAAAAATGCTGCTATCGCCCGTATCAGAGAACTTACTGCCTGTGTTCTCTTCTATGATTTTGATGGTTTCAGGTCTCACCTTTAGGTCTTTCATCTATTTTGAGTTTATTTTTGTGTATGGTGCAAAAAAGTGATCCAGTTTCATTCTTTTGTATACTGCTGTCCAGTTTTCCATATCATTTTTGAAGAGATTTTTTTACCCATTGTATATTCTTGCTTCCTTTGTCGCAGATTAATTAACCATATAATCATGGGTTTATTTCTGAGCTATTCTGTTTCATTGACCTTTGTGTCCATTTTTCTGCCAGTACCATACTGTTTTGATTCCTACAGCTTTACAGTGTATCTTGAAATCTGGTATTGTGATACCTCCCCTCCAGCTTTGTTTTTCTTTCTCAAGATTATTTTGGGTATTTGGGGTCTTTTGTGGGTTACATACAAATTTTAGTACTGTTATAGTTCTGTGAAAAATGCTCTTGGCATTTTGATAGGGATTGCACTGAATCTATAGATTGCTTTTGGTAGTATGGAGATTTGAACAATATTAATTCTTCCATTCATTGGCATGAGCTATCTTTCCATTTGTATCATCTTCAATTTTTCATCAATGTTTTCAGAGTACAGGTCTTTCACCTCCTTGGGTAAGTTTATTCCTAAGTATTTTATTCTTTTTGGTGCAATTGTAAATAAATAGTTTTCTTAATTTCTCTTTCCACTATTTCATTGTTAGTGTATAGAAATGCAACGGATTTCTGTAGATTGATTTCGTATCCTGTGACTTTAGTGAATTCATTTATCAGTTCTAGCAGTTTTTTGGTGGAGTCTTTTGGGTTTTCTATATATAGTATCATGCCATCTGCAAATAGGGATAGTTTTACTTCTTCCTTACTGATTTGGATGCCTTTTATTTCTTTTTGTTGTCCAACTGCTGTGGCTAGCACTTCCAGTATTATGTTGAATAAAAGTGGTTAAAGTGGACATCTTTATCTTGTTCCTGACCTTAGGGGAAAGGTTCTCAGTTTTCCCCATTTAGGATGATATTAGCTGTGGGTTTTTCATATATGGCCTTTATTATGTTGAAGTATATTCCCTCTAAACCTACTTTGTTGAGGGTTTTATCATGAATAGATGTTGTATTTTGTCCAATGCTTTTTCTGTGTCTACTGAAATGATCATTATGGTTTTTATCCTTTCTCTTATTGATGTGATGTATCAGGTTGACTGATTTGCAAATACTGAACCACCCTTGCAACCCAGGAAGAAATCCCACCTGATTGTGGTGAATGATTTTTTTAATGTACTGTTGGGATTCAGTTAGGAAGTATTTTATTGAGGATTTTTCCATCTATGTTCATCAGGGATATTGACCCAGGGATACTGTAGTTCTTTTTTTGTAGTATCTTTATCTGGTTTTGGTATCAGGGTAATGCTGGCCTCAAAGAAGGAATTTGGAAGCTTTCCTTCCTCTTCTATTTTTTGGAATAGTTTGAGAAGAATAGGCATTAACTCTTCTTTAAATGTTTGGTAGAATTCACCTGTGAAGCCATCTGGTCCAGGACTTTTGTTTTTTGGGAGTTTTTTGATTACTGATTCAATTTCATTGCTGGTAACCAGTCTGTTCAAATTTTCTATTTCTTCTTGATTCAGTTTTGGGAAGTTATATGTTTCTAGGAATTTATTTATATCTTCTAGGTTGTCCAATTTGTTGGTATATAATTTTTCATAATATTCTCTTATAATCCTCTTTGTATTTCTGTAGTGTCAATTTCTCCTCTTTCATTTCTAATGTTGTTTGAGTCCTCTCTTTTTTGATGAGTCTGGCTAAATTGGCTATTACCAATTTTGTTGATCTTTTCAAAGAACTAGCTCCTGATTTCATTAATTTGTTTACTGTATTGTTTTGTTTCTATTTCACTTATTTCTGCTCTAATCTTTATTATTTCCTTCCTTCTGCTGGTTTGGAGTTTTGTTTGTTGTTTTTCTAGCTCTTTTAGGTGTAAGGCTAGGTTGTTGATTTGAGATTTTTCAACAAGAAATACATTTTTAAAGGGCACAATAAACACAAATTTAGGATGATGGCTTGTCTGGAGGGGAGGCAGAAGAATGAGATGGAGAGGAACATATAGGTTATGTAAGCTATTTTTCTTGGGTAGGATGGTGGGTTCATGGGTATTTATTATTTTAAAAATGAAAATAAAATAATTTAGGGCAATGCATGAGTGACAAAAAAATAAAAATAAAGTAGTAAGATGCTGAAATTAAATGCCCCAAGAAAAACACAATCTTTATGGGATATTAAATATTTCTAACTATTAAGACTGGATTTTTGTTTTAAATCCAAAATGTATATATCCAAGATAAATACTGCCCTTCAAAAGTATCTATCAGGGGCACCTGGGTGGCTCAGTCGCTAAGCGTCTGCCTTCGGCTCAGGTTATGATCCCAGGGTCCTGGGATCGAGCCTTGCATCAGGCTCCCTGCTTGGCGGGAAGCCTGCTTCTCCCTCTCCCACTCGCCCTGCTTGTGTTCCCTCTCTCACTGTGTCTCTGTCAAATAAATAAAAAAATCTTTAAAAAAACAAAACAAAAACAAAAAACAAAAGTTATCTAACACATGTGACTATAAACATAAATTCCAAAATTTATGATCACTGCTTTCCTCTCAGAAATAATTTACAAAATACTCTAAAAACTAAGCTTTTTAAATATTATCTTCATAAAAATCTCTTCTCTTTTACTAAATTAGCACTGTCTAGTTCAAGGTCTAGGATCAGAATGACCTTTGGTTGTTTCCTAAAATCAAATCCACTCTCTACAGACAATAATCACCACTGGGGATATTTAAAAGAATAAGACAAGTCTCAGAAGTCAGTCTCCACGAAGTGTGTTGGCAATGAGAGAACCGCCAAAGCAAAAGCATGGGCACTACTTGGCTGTGAACAACATTCCATTCTAACATTCAAGGAGAGTGGCAGCCATAAATATAAGAGTGCAGCCCCCCAATGCAGCAACTCGAGGTGGTTTCAGAAACCTGAAGAAGGCCTGCTTATCCAAAGACAGGGATCTACTGTTGAAAGGAATTCTGAAAAGCCCTCTAGTTGTTGCATTCAATCAGACTATAATCTTACATTATGACTGTTCTTTTATTTTATTTTTTTAGGATTGTTATTTTAATGCTTGTACTGTCTAATTTTTCAAGGCTATTAAATTCAAGGCTATATCATATCTATTAAATTATTTTATTGTCTTCTAAATTCTAGGAGATACTATTATTGTAATTGGCATTCATTCTACATTTGACAGATAAACCATCTGAAAAAGTGAAATTATTTAGAGTTATATAGGTATTTTATGGCAGAGTCAGACCCTGAATCCAAGTCCCTTAACTCGCAGCTCTGTGCTTATTTTACCAGTCCAAACTAAATATAAACATCTAAACCAAAATCACTTGCTTTGGAGAACAATGAGGAAGGCAGACTCAAATCCAAATCTCAGAAATAGTACTTACTGCGAGTTGTAGAGCCAATTCAAACTGCTTGTCCTGGAGAAGCTGTTGGATTTGGGTTGCCATGGGGACAGGAATGAGTCTCCAAACAAAATGATTGCTGGCCACATAGATAATGTTTGATCTGGAGGCAGGAATAAGAATATTAGCAAAAGAGCACAGGCTTTATGATGACACAGGTGATTTTAAAAGTTCTGCAATAATATGGCAGCTATAGTAAAAAAAGAAATTCCTTACCCTCCCGAGGTAATGAAGCGGGGCCTTTGCAATTCAATGCTCTGGACCAGAAGCCTTGGTTCAAATGTTCGGATCTCCACATATCGAGGTAAAACTGCAACGATGTAGGGAGGCTGGTGCTCTGTACAAGAAAGAACACTTTGAGTTATAGATCTGGTCTAAGGCTTTAGGTTTACTGATTGCTTCAGTTCCCCATTTCTAAGCTGCATTCAGATGGGATCTCCAAATAGTCCACTACTCAAATACCAAGCCAGGATCCTACGCTGTGGTATCCAAAGGGAAAAAAAAAATTTGTTTTGTCCAAGTGACGCTAAGAGAAATCTCGTGCACAAGAAGGATGCATCCAGCTTTGCTGAGAGTGACCTGATCCCACTCCTACCATCAGGTGAAAGCTTCACCTGCTCCCTTTCTCATCAGTCACAAAACCAAGGCAGAGAAAGGGCAGCTGCAGCTGCCCCTAACAATGCATCAGTGGGAGAAGGTTACATGACCTCTTCTTTCATTCTCTTGGGAAGGGCAAGAGGAAGGCAACTTCTTTTTTCCCTAAAATGAGGCTAAAGAGAGTTCCACATTTCTGGCAAAGGTTATTGTTGCTTGAGATTTTCACAGGGAAAAGATGCAAAACTCCACTCGATGCTTAATGGGTCACAAAGAAAACAGCTGGTTGGCATTCTCAGTGTGGCAGTTTTCTACCACTTATATGAGGTCCAATCATGGAAACAGAAAGTGGAAGGGCCAGGGGAGGGAGAAAAGGCTTGTTAATAGATACGGAGTTTTACTGCTGCAAGATGAGAAAGTCTTGAAATCTGTTGCATGGACAATGTGAATATGCAAAACTACTGAACTGTAATAGAATGTAATGGTAAAGATGATGATAGATTTTGTTTTGTTTTTTTTTTACCACAATTAAAATAGAAAATTTTTTAAAGGGAAAAAAAATAAAAATTGAACCACTAGATGCATAATTATCATATAGAAACTTAACCTCAAAGACTATATTCATAGTTTCTTAGTGTGGCTAATTTGCTATGGATTTATTTTTGTCATTTATTTTCTGACAAAAAATTTTTCATAGTATATATGCAGTTTATACAGTAAAAATTTTAAAGCCAGAAGGGAACTGGCCTAATAGTTCCATCACTTTGAATGCTACTGCTGTTACTATGCTAGTATTTTTCATCTTCTAAAAAAATTAAATTAAAAAACATGTTGTTTGGTATTGGATTTTTTACTTCTCTTTTTATGCTGGCCTCATTCTTAAAAACTAGTATAATCCCCTTTATTGTTAATCTGTATAAATATGTAAAATTTCTCTCTCCTTTAATCTGGCCCACTTTAATAAGGGCTAATTTAATAAAAAAAGGTAATCTATAATAGAAAGGCTTTTGGTTGTCATATTATATCATGGTCCGGTCTCCCCAACTCTTTGACAACAGAGTTGGTCTGGATCTCTGTATCTTCAAAACTTGGCAGAGTGGCAGGTATACAGCAGGCGTCTAATAAATGGCCGACAATGACAGTGATTCATCCATTCAGCAAGCATTTCCTAAAAGGCTATGTTATGGGCCCTACTCCAAGTGGATCAAGACATACGTCCAGAGCTCACAGAGCTCCTACACAAAGGAGACAGACGACTCACTGCATCCAGTGGGACAGTGTGGGGGCCATGACAGAGAAACCTGAAAGGGCTTTGGAAGCACCACGGGGGAAGTGATTCACTCTGCCTGCACATCGGAGAAGACTTCACAGAGGAAGTGCCACTGAACAGGGCCTTGTCACGTGAGCAGGACAGTGCTGGGCAGAGAAGAAAAGAAGAGGCAAGAGCACAGGTGATGATGGCTCGGTGAGGGGAGTCCAAGACAAATGGAGTCTGGGTGAAGTGGTTCAGTTGAGAGCGTAAGTAAAAATGAAGTTTAAAATGCACACCACTGAAGAAGTTTAGTCTTTGTCCTGTCAGATGGTGGTTCTCCTACCCTACCTAGAAAGAACGCCCTCTTCCTCCCTCAGTATGTTAAGGCACAGAAACGTTTTTGAGAAACACTGCCAAAGGCACTGGGCACTAACAAAGGTTTGAAAACAGGAACTCTCACACTAGGGAATAGGAAGCATAGTTCAAGCATATTACACACATCTTCATCAATTCTACCGTAGGGAACACAAGCGCCCCCCAGAGCACCATGAAGCTTTTCATGAAGCTCTTAGCCCCTCCAACTTGTTAATATACATAATCTTGGGCCTTACAAAATACTGTCCTTTTGACTTTTCTTCCTTCTGATCTGTTCATCTCTAACCACCACCAGAATAATTACCCTAGAACATGATGCTTTTACCAAACATTCTACCAGTTGGGAATCTACTGGCATCTCAGACCTTTGCATGGGCCTCTAACAACCGGCCCTACCCTTATTCCTCCGTAATTCACACCACCTGTTTTAACCAGGTCAGTCTCTGTAATGCTCTGTCACAAATGAGCATTTCCAATCATTTTTCGAACTACTTTTTTCTGCCTAGAATGAAAGGAATTTTTCTTCAAGCCAAGTCCTAAACTCCCTGCCTGGTCTAGTCCAATCTTACCTATGTAATGAAACTTCTTACTGGCAAGTTGAACTTTCTGAACGACTGAATCTCAACTCATCCAATTTAACACCTTAAGCAGTGCCTTGTTTTCTCTCTTTATCCAAGATGTTATCCTTACCTCCCCAGCTAGAGTCTTTAAAGATGGCATGTCTGTATGCCCCACTCCACAGCAGTAACTATTTTTAAAATGCTCACTCTTCTGACTGAAAATGAATTGCTGCGAGGGTGGTCACACACTTCCAGGCAATACCACTGCTGAGAGCCGGAGGCAGGGTAGGAGCAGAAACACCTAATGTGCCAGCCAGAGACTTACATCTAAATGCAATCTGCACCTCCAAACTACAAAACAACAGAAGCAATAACCACCACGTCAAAAGCACATCAATACTGAGTTACATGTATTACAGGAATAAAGAAAGAATTGCCACTAATTTCCAAATGTAGTCTATCTGGCAGAGGACACAATAAAACCATTACAAAGAAGGTAAAACAAAAAGGACTCAGAAGTAATATGGCAATAGACAATCACTTCCTAAAACACATAATTCTGTTTATATTTTTCCCCCTCTGGGGCAAAACCTGGCTTCCTACAAAAATCAGGATATCGCATTTTTAATAACTTTAAACACTTGTCTACTTCTAAGAAGGGGAACTGAGAGTAAATGACATTATAAACCACAGTCTGTGAAAGCCATAAACGGAATTCCATTCTGCAAGGATGACACACAACCCCGGCCCACAGTGGGAAATGGCCGCTATGGTGGTCTCACCCATGGCCACTGGTATGTCTGTCCAGTTCAAGGCACATTTCTGTGTGCAGATCCCCTCCTCATTGAGCACCACGGTGAGATCATCCTGACCCACAGCCACTTTTCCATCCGCCAGAGGTGCAACTAATGGCTCCAGCTGTTTTCCTGTTGGAAAGAGCTCTTTGATGGACCCTTTTCCATCCACCTATAGGAAGACACAAAGTGAGTCAACCAGCGTTCTCTTGCTAGAGGCATGAACACGGCCTGAAAAATCCAAATAAAACCCCGAACCTACAGAAGCCAATAATATTCCTTGTTTGGCATAAGGAAATATTATGGAGTTTGTTATGACAAATTTTGTCATCACAACATAGAACCAGTTCTCTTTTTCTCTAACACAGAGACAAGCATCTAACCTGGCAACTAACAATGTCAAGTGCTGGTGAGGATGCAGAGCAACTGGAACTCTCATTCGCTGCTGGTGAGAATGCAAAATGGTACAGCCATTTTGTTTGTTGGCTTCTTCTAAAGTTAAATATACACTTACCATACAACCCAATAATCCCATTCCTTAGGCACTTGCTGAAGAGAAATGAAAACTTCTGTTTACACCAAAACCTGTACGCAAATGTTTATAGCAGCTTTATTCATAATGGCTAAAAATTGGAAACAACTTTGTCCTTCAACTGATGAATGGATTAACAAACCATAGTACATCCATACCATGGACCACTACTCAGCCATAAAGAATATAATGACACACACAATACAGATGGATGTCAAATGCATTATGCTAAGTGAAAGAAGCCATATTCAAAAGGCTACATACTGTACGATTCCATTTATATGACATTCTGGAAAAGGCAAAACTATAAGAGATGAAGAACAGATCAGTGATTACTAGAAGTTGGGGCATAGGAAAAGAGGTTGACTTCAAAGGGGCAGCATGAGGGCATTTTTTGAGTGATGGAACTGCTCGGAATCTTGATTGTGGTGGTGGTTACGTGACTCTAAGCATCTATTGGAACTGTACATCAAAAAGGATGAATTTTACTGTCTGATCTAAATGAATAATTTTTGAATAGCTCGGGCCAAACCAAGATTTCCCACGCTCAAAAAGAGGGTGGCAGCATTCAAGATAGTCAGAGGAAAGAGAGCCTACTCTCCAGCTTCTGGCTCTGTATCCCCGGCCCTCACAGACTTCTTTCAGCACCTATAGGCCTCACTGCTACTCTGCTCATCAGTCAGCTGGAGAGGAGCGACTCCTCTATGAGTTTGCAACTCTGATGCTGATAAAATCAGGATATTCCAACAATGTAAATATAGAACAAATATACTAACTAGATAAATAATGAACAGCTACCACGGTGGGGAGTAGGGAAGTGGGGAGAAATGGACATGGGGGAGAAAGGCTTCTAGAATTGCCAAGTCTGGAATATGAGAGGGGTATAAGGCTAAGGAATTTGGATTATTCTATGAAATGCATGGTATATCAACCTATTCTACATACAGTATGCGTAATGGAGGAGAAAAACCAATGTCATGGATATTTACCACTTAGGTTAAGAAAAAGAGGTTATAAAACAATGTGTATAACATGCTATTTTTGTAAATAGATGGAAGCTCATCTACCGAAAGTTTAACGGTGATTATTTCTGAGTGAAGGGATTATAGGTGATTTGTACTTTCTTTATCTTGCTTATTGATATTTCCTTATTTTTTATATTAACATGTGGCTTTTGAAATTTAAAAAAGAAGTAAAAATAATTTTAAAAATAAATATACTAAAAGATTTTGGGTTGCAGGAAACTCAAAGTCTTAAAAATACTTAAGTTAATACTCGGGGCGCCTGGGTGGCTCAGTTGGTCAAGCATCTGCCTTCGGCTCAGGTCATGATCCCGGAGTCCTGGGACCAAGTCCCACATCGGGCTCCCTGCTCAGCGGGGAGCCTGCTTCTCCTTCTCCCTCTGCCTGCCTCTCCCCCTGCTTGTGCTCTCTCTCTCTCTGACAAATAAACAAAATCCTTAAAAAAATAATACTTAATACTAAAATTAGTTTATAATTCCTGAGCACTGAAGCCTTAAGATGACATTCCATGGTAATGCTGCTGAACGGAGGCAAGCAGCCCTAATTATCTGTTCCAAAAATTAGATACAGGATATGGATAATTCATCATGTAGAGAATTGAGAGTTGATGCTGACTGGCATCAGACATCTATTTGTAGAGACGCTGAGAAGCATAAAAAAAAATAACCAAACATACAAACACAAACCCTGTTATGCCAAAACACCACTTAAGGCAGTCTCTTGACCTGTAGTTCAAATCACGTGATCCTATCCCCCAGGTAAATGGATGATATATGCAAAAGAATAAGTTTTACCCTTATTAGGTAGTAGTCTCTCTTGAAACCCACACAGATAGAATTTTCGCACCAGGCCATGGACTTGGGCACATCTGGTACACTAAAGTCCCCCTGAAGAAAGAAAGCAAGAGTTCAAATGGAAAGACGTTAAAAGAAAAAAAAAAAAAAACAAAAACAAACTATGACTTTCCTGTTATTCTGCCTCCACTCTGCAAAATCACCCTCATTCTCATCTAAACACAAGTCTGTAAGTGCAAGGCCAGGAAACCACCTGTAACAAAAATTTATGTCACCCATGAACTGGATGACTAGATGCCTTTAGAAAAGGTGAAACCCACTTTGAAATAAACCAGTCTGTATAAACGATGCAGAACTGGATTACCACTGCCTCTGAAGACCAGGAGACTGACGAGTGGCGGTGAACAGGCTCCCCTGTACTCACGGCAGAGCCTTCATCCGGACAGAGCTCCAAGACTGAAGGCCCTGACCTTCAGTATTACTGAAGAGGAAGCCTTTCAAGCTTTGGACTTCACCTGCAATTCATGGAATTCCCTGTCCTTCCAGAAGTAGAGCTGCAGCTTCTTTTTCACGGCCACACACATCCGCAGCACCTCCTCACCGGTCTCTGTGTGCTGGGAAGAGACACCCGGAGCAAATGAGGGTATGTATGCGATGACTCCATAACTGAGTGACACCTAAATTCAAGATTTTCTACCTTGAAATGGCTACTAATCTGAAAATCCCCTGTAATACAAAGTCACCCTTGCCAGACAAACTGAATAGAAGAACACCATTTTTCTAAGACATTCTTAGAAACAATAGGCTGAGGAGCACTTCCTCCCCAAGGGCTGCTAGCCAAAGACCCCAACCCCAGCAAATCTCTAGGACATTCAAAATTCACACAGGAAAATCCCAGGGCAGGCCTTCACCTATGTAACCGCTTACTCCTTTTTTTCTTAAATGTTTCTCACTCATGGCTGTCAATACATGCTGGTCAGGGATCAGCATGTGTCAGTGGCCATTTTCAATCTTTTAAGGAGGGAGGAGAAGAGAAAGGTCTAAGCATAAAACAATGCATTGTCGATGTAGACCACAAAGGCTAAAAAGTGATCTAAGCTGAGTAGAAGGGTAAGGCAGATTTTGAATAATGTAAGGATGATGAATTGGCACAAATAAGAAATGTCTTTCTCAAATGACCAAAAAACCCCTATAGAGAAAGAATACAATAATATGTTCAGAACAAGGTCAACTTAATGCCCCATTGCTATGTTCGTGATACTGGTTAAGTCTGGATTTCCCCACTAATGGTTTGTTCATGGCAAAGGCTTTTAATCGTGGGTTAGTTGGTCTGATGCTCTAATTAGCACAAACACGGGGAACCCAAATGTTTCCCCTTCAGACCACATACAAAGGGGGAAATTTCTCTAATACAATCCAAAATCAAACACTTTCTCTGGAGTCTCTGCTGGGTTCGCATATCAATGTTATTCTTCCCACCTAATGGTAGGAATAATATAAGAAAGACCCTATTTATTAAAACATGAAGTCAAATTTCATCTTGCCTACACTTACCTGGAGGTCACATGTGAACAGTGAGGCTCCCTTTGCCTTTGAAACCGTAGTGATTTGTTGAAATGTCAGTAAGTCATGGACATAAATGTTATTTTCTGTTTGGAAGGAGGAATAATAACAGTATAAATTATCACAATTCTCTACACACACAAAAATAACTAATGATGAGAAGAACCAAATGGTAAGTGTTGGTTGAAGATGTATCTTCGGTTTCACTAACAATGATTTATTCTGGCCTATTATCAGAATTACATTACAAAATGTTAGAGGTCACTTTTGTTCCTTTAAATTCGGGCTGGCTGAAGCAGAAGAGCTCTCTCGCTACCAAAGCAATCTTACACTCTTTCTCAAGTCTGGAAATTCGTGATGCAATATTTGTACAAGAATAGACTCTCAAAGCTACTTCCATTAGGAGGCCTCAGCGGAAGAAAGGAAATCCTCTGTGGATTTGGTACAATCCCATGGCAAGGATTTCTTTTCTGGCAAAGCAAGCAAAATAATTTCACTCGGGCCTCCTACCTAGTTTTACTCCTGAAGATTTAGTTACTTTAAATGTTTCTCTCTCCACCTAGAAACTTAGTTTAAAATGATTCTACCATCTTGGCCCTGGGCTGAACAGTACAAAGCATGAGGCAAGTTTCCAATCCTCTGTTTGTTAAGAAAAGGCCTTGCTGGCTGCCTTCAACTGAATCTATGGCTTTTCAAATGAGGCCTGAATAGTCCGGCCTTGATGTGTCTCTCCCCTATCTCTTGCCACTCTGCCACTCTCCACCACACTTCCTAGATCTGGCCAGACTCCAGGGCCTCTGCTTAAAATGCTCTGCCTTCCTCTCTCTTCCTGTCAAAATCTTAATCATCCACTAGATGATGTTGTCTTTCCCATTACTAAGATCCACAACATTTTTTATAAATTTCCACTGTAACTTACCACACTGTATCATGATTACTTTCTGTCATTTCAGTCTTCACAATCAGAACATAAATTCAAAGACAGAAACCATGTCTCATTCAACTTGGTATCCCCAATGCCTAGAGCAGAGCTCAATAAATATCTGCTAGATGACTGAATAAATGAATGAATGAATGAATGACACTCCATGGAGAACAGAGCTCAAGTTTATGAGGGATGCTGTTGCCTTTAATACCTGTGTACCCTGCTGTGTCTGGTTTGGAACAGGTCAGTTTCATTGTCTATCAAATTAACCATAAAGAGTGATTAATCAGGTCATAGCTTTTGTTTTTCGACACAGGAGATATAACTGCAACCCCTTTTCTTACCTAACAAGCTGACCAGAATCTTAAACTGGGAAACCACATGGATCTAGAAAAGAACAAATCATTAGACTCAATTAAACATTTCCAACAAGGCTTAACAAATGTTCATTTAAGTACAGTACTAAAAAGGGACTGAAGAGTCTATGCCAATGACAGGGATCTGACTGATATTTATGTGCAATCGCAATTTCTGCTCATTATAGAGGATCTCAGGCACATGATGGATGAACCCAGATCCCTGAATAAATGGGAGAACAGACAGCAGAAGATTCAGAGTTAATAAATAATGTTATCAAAGTTCCAGCTTTGACAGGGTCTCATGGAAGTCAAATATTCTTGTAGTTACCACTATCACTGCCTACCTGCTGAATCTTTTTGGAGAAGTTTTTATTGGATTTCTCTAGTGTCACTTCAAACCTGTTGCAACCTATGGAAAAGAAACAAACGTTCACAGTTCCAAACATGTAAAAATAACCACAACAAAAAACGCTGCTCCACATTCCTGCAGGAATCTAAAAATTCCTAAAGACTGGAAGCTGGAGATCTACACTAGACAGCTGTCTTCACTGAGTACAGGAAGCTGCTTTCAATTCCAATTTTAGAACAGAGGGTTTCATGCACCTTCACTTGGCATTAGCAGAAAGAATCATACCACAGAAATTCACTGAAGCTGCCAAGGTACTTGTGAGTCTGAAGGTCTTATCCTATAAAACAGTACCTTGGCTAAGTGTTTGTAAAAAGTAACAGTCAAATACCAGAGCCCAAGCAATGAAACCCTGCCCAGAGCATCCTTAGATCTAGACCAACTAAAGCCCAGCAGCTACCCTATGTCCTGCATCATGGGACACAGCAAACGGTCAACACTATCCCCTCAGCTAAAGCAATTTAATGCATCTACACTTACTGCTGCTCTCAGGAGATGCGACATTGGTTGGCACTGTTACAAAAAGGGAAGAAAGTGACATACCATAAAAACATGTGATGCCCGCCTTGTGGAGATGACAAAAACATTCAGCCTCAAAAGTCACCAAAAGGTCAAAAAGAGAATAATCATCATAATAATCACAGCAGTTATCACAAACTAACCAATAACTAAGTGCCACATTCTGGGTTTAAAAATTTATATATATTCCCTATAACCTCACAACTACCCCCAAGAAGTCAGTATTATTATTCCAGTTTCATATGTGAGGGACCTGACTGGTCAAGTAGTTAGGTAGCCATCAGGGAGAGACAGCCCAGAAGCAAACTTGGGGCCGACTGTAAAGCCCGTGTGCTGAACCGACACCCTGCCACCTGCCTCCCAGCTTGTGAAGAGACTGTTCACACTGCTGACCCCAAGCTGCTCCCCACAGCTAGTGTGGTCCATGGCTCAGAAGTCTGTGGAGCGTCTCCGAGGCAACCACAAGGGCCTATGCCACCAAAGCTGGTCTTACTTCTTCCACATGTCCCTCAGCAGAGGAGATGAAGGGGCTCTGGAGTTGCGGGAAATTCAGAAACATGCCCTCTATTCTGCCATTATATTTCACAAGAAAAAAAAATTCAGCCACTTCCTGCTTGATAAACAGTTCTGTATCTGAAAAGGGCTTTATTATTACTTCCAACAATTCTCTTCATAAGTAGAATTATCTAGGACTGAGATTCTCAAACTTCGTGGTGTCAGGATTCCTTCACAGCCTTAAAAATTATTGAGAATCCCGGGGCGCCTGGGTGGCTCAGTCGTTAAGCGTCTGCCTTCGGCTCAGGTCACGATCTCTGGGTCCTGGGATCGAGCCCTGCGTCGGACTCCCTGCTCTGCCGGAAGCCTGCTTCTCCCTCTCCCACTCCCCCTGCTTGTGTTCCCTCTCTCGCTGTCTCTCTCTCTGTCAAATAAATAGAAAAATTAAAAAAAAAATTATTGAGAATCCCAAAACTCTAACATGGGTTGTAGTTACCAATGTATACCACAGTAGAAATTAGACTGAGAAAATTTTAAAATGTATATTTATTAACTCATTTTTAAATATTAGTGAACTTAGTTTTGACCTGGTAAACCTTCTGAAAGGATCCTGGGGACCCCGTGGGGTCTACAGAACACACTTTGAGAACCACTGCTCTAAGGTGACGGCACCACTGAAGTAAACCTGAAACTGTTAAGACATCTGATGTGAGCTAATCTAACACCTCTGTTTAAGAGAGGAGTAAAATGAGGCCTAGAGGCATTTCTGAGCCCAAAGAAGATGACTCACATCTGATCCCAAGTCCCCTTAATTCCAGCCTCTCCATGACATCTTATCATCCTCTCTCTTTCCTCAGAAAGACAGTCTGGTTGCAGCCCTATTTAGGTTTGGAATATCTCAAACTTAGAAACCAAGTTAGTTCTATGGCTGATTCATGGAGGCCCAAGTCTATTTCTATTTCGGGCCATAAACAGGCGAGAGCTGAGCCAGAACTGAACTGTTCTCTAAGGGTATAGGGAGAAGTCAAGTTTCTGATCAGAGCTTGATTCCCAATTGTCTAAGGCCGGTGGCACTGCTACTGAAGTTACCTATGCAGAAATTGAGCCCCAGGAATTAAGGTCTCAAAAGTCACATGGTGAACTCATCACAGGGCATGGAATAATCACCACCAAAGTTCCAAGTCAGATTAGCACTAATATTACCAGTTTGAGTCTATACTGTGTTGAGATTTACTCTTATAGTCTAGTTTTCAATTCCCTACCATTTATATAGCAATGACCTATCAAACAAATCACGTTACCTTGGTATTTAGTATTTGATGCTACAAAGAACTGCTTATCTACTGGAGTAAAGAATATTAAGCTCTCTTATCTCCCTGCCCTGCACAGTATCTGAGCCTATGGTGGATAGTCAAATCATGGTTGTCAAATGCTGAATAAAATCCAAGGCAAGCTTAATTTTTAAATTATAGTCTAATAGGTGTCACAGAATGGAAATATTCTGGCCCTGAGAACTAAAAATTTACAGCAAGGGCAAGCAAAGTACTGCCCCAGGGCCAAATCCAGCCCTCAACATGTCTTCATAAATAAAGTTTTGTTGGAACACAGACACGCCACTCCTTTGCACCCAGTCTATGGCTGCTTTTGGCTAAAATAGCAAAGTTGGTAGTCACAACAGAGATCTCAGAGCTTACAAAGCCTAAACTGTGTTTATTTTTTGGGCCCTTTTGGGAACAAGTTTACCAACCCGATTTAAAGGAAAGTTGAAAAACTTAGAAATGAAATAACACCCTCTGCTTTGACTTCTGGTTTCTCTTTCTGACCAGGTGCCTTCCTCTTTCCTTATTCCACCAGTGATGGGTAGTAGAATAGGTCCCCCCAAAATATGCCACTTTGGGATAAGGATTATTTTGAGCTGAAGGGAACTGAGAAGAAGCAGATAAAGAAAGGCTCTCTCCCTACCTCTAATTTTGCCTAAAAACAGAACATACATTTACAAAGGTGTCCGTCCTCCCCTCTCTACCACGGACAGAATTTAATCAGCGGAGACAGCTCTAGACCCTCATCAGCCCAGAGAGGACACCAGAGCAATCTATAAACAAACTTTACTTACTCATCCTTATTCCGTTAGTTCCCCCATGTGTCTGCCTTCTAACAATTTGCCATCCTAGAAACTCAAAGTCCTTTTCCTTTGTCTTATCCCTTCTCTAAAAATTTGTTGTTCATTTGTTAAGATGTTATACAAGCCCAAATTCCAACCACCCCTTTGAGTTACCCATCACTGAGTGTTCCCATGTGTATGTGTAATACACATGTAAATACACTTGTTTGTTTTTCCCGTTAATCTGTCTTTTGTCAGTCCAATTTACTTACATGTTCCCACCCAAGGAACCTAAAATGGGTAGAAGGAAATTGTCCCCACATGCCCTAGAAAGATGTCCTTTTTTCCCATGTTACCCTTGCTCCAGGCTCCACTCTTACCTTAAGCTATTTACTACAGAAAGTTTATTGGGTTGAAAGTTATGAAATTTATTTTTTTCTAATATAGTCAAATAATAACAATTTCATACGGTTTAACACACTCTGGCATTAACAGATTTCTCCAGACTGGAGCTCCAAGGTATATTATCCAAACACATCAATTTTCCATAAAGAGAACATAGAAATAAAATCACAAAACGGAAGTGAGGTGCTTTTTCCCCCCAACAGAGGAAACCCTAACAAAATAAATTTCAAATACTTTAGTTATTATTCTACATTTTTACTGATGAAGTCACATTTGATTGGAGCTTTACTTTTCAAAGTCCTTGCATCTGACCCCAACAATTTTGTGAGACAGTTTATAGAAAAGGAAAATGATATTGGAAAGGACCTACTCAGGCATTCGGCCAAGGAAAAGGAAAGCTGGGTTCAAACCCAGGCCTCCTCTCTCCTAGTCCACCCCTCACAAGTTAACAAAAGTTATTAAATCAATGGTTCCTAATTTTGTTTCTTACTACCACATCATTTACACAAAAATCTTATTCGCATCAGTAATAGGTCTTATTTCTGACAGTGAGTCTCCTAGAAGCAAGGAGGGGAGGAACACTCAACCTCACCTACCAGATCAGGATAGGGGAATAGACTCTGAAAAAAAAAAAAAAAAACCCTAGAGATTTTCTCATGCTTCTCCCCACTTTCCCACTGTACTACTTTCAACCCCAATCATTTTTAATGGCCCAGGAATCACTGATTTCACAGTTGTATACTAGCTATCATAATTTTTTGCATGAGTAATAAGTCACCTCTCTCTTGATGCTGGAGAGCTGCCACTTACCAGTGTCCTTCCGGATCCTATAGAGAAGAAGATGTCCTTGTTTGGTGCCAACAAGAAGCCATTCCTCTGGAAGATAAGAGTGATGAGAAAGGTCAATCAGCTTTAGTTAAAACCCTATTTCTTGAGCTGGGGTTTGTAATCAGAAATCAAAGGGTCAAGAAAATGAATTGCTTTTGATAGCTGGTGCTTTGCAAAGCTAAGGAATATTTATAGTCAAGAAATGTTTGAAGGGACGCCTGGGTGGCTCAGTCGGTTAAGCGTCTGCCTTCGGCGCAGGTCATGATCCCAGGGTCCTGGGATCGAGTCCCGCATCAGGCTCCCTGCTCCGCGGGGAGCCTGCTTCTCCCTCTGCCTCTGCCTCTCTCTCTCTCTCTCTCTCTCTCATGAATAAATAAATAAAATCTTAAAAAAAAAAAAAAGAAATGTTTGAGAACCAACCCATCAAAAAAGTATCATCACTGATCCATTACTGATGCAAAATATCCCTGCCTTCAGTGTTTCAAAATTAAACTGACCAAAAATAGGATGAAAATTTATAAAATTATAAAATGGATAGTGTAAACATGAAACTAGGAAACTAATATCAGAAACAAAACTAAACGACATCCTTTAAAGGTTTAATGCTTTTACTTCAGGGAAAATAAGAAGTGCCAAGAATTCATTATTTTAAAAGATGGTCTAGCAGATAAAAACAAGTGTTGACAAAGAAGTGAAGAAATTGGAACCCTCACACGTTGTTGGCAGGAATATAAAATGGTGCGGTCACTCTGGAAGACCATCTGGTTGTTCCTCAAAAGATGATACACAGAGTTGTCATATGACCCAGCAATTCTACCCTTGGGCATATACACAAAAGAAATGAAAACATATGCCCACACAAAAACTTGTACACAAATGTTCAGAGCGACAGCATCTGTAACAGCCAAAAGGTAGAAACAACCCAAATGTCCATCAACTGATGAATGGATAAACAAAATGTGGCAAATCCATACAATGGAATATTAGCCAGCCAGTAAAAGGAACGAAGAGCTAATACATGCTATAATAGGGACGAACCTGACATTATGCTAAATGAAAGAAGCCAGACAAAAAAGGCTACATTATGACTCTATTTATATGAAATATCAGAATAGTCAAATCTATAGAGACAAAAAGATTAGTGGCTGCCTAAGGTTGGTGGGTTTACAGGAAAATGGGGGAATAAATACTAACGGGTATGGGTTTTTTTTTAGGGTGATGAAAATGTTCTAAAATTGTGGCAATACTTGGACAACTCTGTGAATGTACTAAAAACCACTTAACAGTACACTTTAACTGGGTGAATTGTATGATAGGTGAATTACATCTCAATAAAGCTCTTATAAAAAAGAGAGAGAGAGATGGTCTAGGCCAGTGGTTCTTCGGTATGTATCAGGATTATTTGAGGATTTGTTAAAACAGATTGCTGGGCCCTGCCCTCAGTTTCGGATTCAGTAGGTCTTGCAATGGGCCTGAAAACGTCCATTTATAACAAGTTCCCAGGTGATGCTAATGCTGTTTCAAGGACTACATTTTGGGAGACACTAGTCTATGCTCAGAGGCTCCAAAAAGGGTTTAAATAATTACCCTGATAGATCTGTATTAACTCATTAAGGGAAGGTAAGCATGTACAGACACTTCTGAGCTTTTGGATAGTGTAAAAGGTCATTCATCCCTTGTATAAACTCTCTTGATCGTCTACAAGATAAAATATTGGATAATGGTACAAACTGTTAACTTTATTGAGCATGTATTGCACTCCAGGAAATGCTAAGCACATAGCATATGTTACTTCATTAATCCTCACAACTATCCTTTGAGGTATGTTCTTCTTATAAATCCCCATTTTATAGATGAGGAAGTTGAGGCCTAGGGGATAAGTAATTTGTCCAGAGTCATACATGGAGGAAGATGTGTGTAGAAGCGTCAGGATGTAACCACAAGCTGTGATGCAATGTGATTACGAAGGCATCCTATGTCAAAAGAATGGGTGTTGGCCAGAGGTTGTCTGAAAGGCACTGGTTGTATTTATAAAAACAGGTCAGAAGCCTGTTTTTCCAGGTTGATGTCCTTAGTCTTCCAGAAAAATATAGTGATTCTGACTTCTTTCGTGTTTTAAAGCAAAGGCAGGACACAGAAAGTAAGACAGTGTGTGCTCTTAATGACATAAGAGAAATGAGAAACAACACTAGCTCTAAAGGAAGGTTGGAACACTACATCAAAAACTAATGATGTAATGTATGGTGATTACATAACATAATAAAAATAAATAAATAAATAAATAAATAAAGGAAGGTTGGTGATTTATGTTGGAGGAGAACATAGAAAGCAAAAGAAGCAAGGCTGGAGATTTATGTTGGAGCAGAACGTAGAAAGCAAAAGAAGCAAGTTCACAATGCTTGCTTTGTAAAAGATACTGTGCTTAGAGTTCTACTTATAGATATCACTGTATTGAGCAACTGGGAATACTGAAGTTGATTTTCAGGACACCCACTGCTATTTCAGATATAAATAAAATGAGGTAGAAATTTTTTTAACTCACTTGTAACATACTAAGAATCTATAACCAAAAGGCCAAAAGAATACTCACCATCTTCCCCATTCTTTCCTCCCTACTCTGCTCCCCAAATCCCTACCAGCTCCTGTTTTTGTCTCTTTTAACAGCCTCATCTTAACACTCAGGTGTGCAAGGCCTATCAATTTTACCTCTACAAGGTACCTCACAACAGCCATATCCCAGTCCCTCCAGGGACCCCTGTGATGGCCTCAACTGCTCTCACTATACGTGTTCTTCCACGTTTGCTGTACGTTACTTAGAGCACGTCTGTGATTCTGTCACACTGGGGCTTAAATCCTCATGAAGCTGCACTACCAAAATAATGAAGTCAAACTCATAAGCATGACATTCAAGGGTCTACTTTCCATTTTTATTGAAATGTTTACTTGCCAACAGATGTTTCTTATCAAATGTCTATTGGTCAGAAAACAGAATCAGACAAATTCATTAAAATTAACAAAATTTTTAATTGAGGTTTTATTTAACCCTTTTCACATTTTCATTTGAAGGTGCTCAGGAAAAAATGCATTTATCATACATGTAAAGTGTTGTAACAACTTTCCTTTAATTAGTAAAAGCACCACATCCACGTTCCTAATCCTCACACTCCCAAGGGAAAACAGCGCATCACCCCAGATGCACTAATGGCACACAACCTTGAAGAGACTTGCTTTGGTTAGAGAAGTCAGGGGTGGGGTGGGGGTGCGGCGCCTGGGTGGCTCAGTCGATTAAGGTCTGCCTTCGGCTCAAGTCCCGGGATCGAGCCCCGCACAGGCTCCCTGCTTACTGGAGAGCCTGCTTCTCCATCTGCCCCTCACCCACCTACTCCTGCTCTCTCTCTATCTCTGAAATAAATACATAAAAACTTTGAGAAAAAACATTAATTAAAAAAAGTCAGTGGGGGCTCGGGTGACCAGAGGACCCAACCCATGTTGGGTCTCCACATTCTATGACATGTCATCATATAATACAATCATGGATACAAAACACAGAGAATGAGAGACTTGCAGAGCCAACACAGAGTGGGGTAGACAGTCCCTTCTGAGATTCAACACAGCAAATCAGAAAGTGGAACACACTACAAAAACGGTGTAGTCTGTGGGTAACACATACATAAACAAATGTGAATCAGCCCTAGAGAATTCCTGACAGCCTAATCCTGAGCCACAAGGCTGGACTTTATTCCTCCTGCAAAGTGAGTAGGTGCTGGGCCATCTTGCTCATAATTACCCTAATGAAGCTCCATCGTCCAACAGTACAACCTAGTCCAAGCTCATGTGATGAACAATTCCATCCCTGGCCCAATGCTGACCACTGCAGGGAATACAGAAATGAAAAAGGTAGTGGTCACTTCCCTCTTCCGGGTCATAGGGCAAAGAATAGTGTTCCTTAAAGCATAAGCCTTTTTAGCTGCATCCAAATCACCTGAACTTATTAAAAAATGCACATTCCTGAGTGCTGTTCTCAGAGATTCTGACACAATAATTCTGTAGTGGTGACCTGAAATCTGCATTTTTTAAATCCAATTTTTTAATTATATGATGCATTTATGTAGTTTCAATGTTAAAACTGTGGGAAGTCTGGCTTCCATCCTTGTCCACTCTCCCTGTTTTCTCCCTCTGCTATAGGCAACCATCTTAGTCCTTTTTATCCTACCATTTCTTTGGAAAATAGAATGATTGTGTAGACACACATACAGATACACATACATACAAACATCTGCATTTTTTTTTACAGGTTCTGAATATACATTAAAGTTTGGGAACCAGGGTCCAGAATCAGACATAATTTACTGGATATGTGACCTTGGAAAAATTACTTAAATTCTCAGGTTATTCCTCTGCAAAATGGAGTTATTATTTCATAAAAGTTTAATAAAGATTAGTGCTCAATAAATGGAAGTTATTACTATTAATATCATCATCTATTCATTCATTCATTCCTTCATTCAACAGAAAGATTTAATGAATACCCATTATAAGGAACTATTCTAGGAACTACAAATAAAGCAATGTACAAAACAAAGCTCCTGCTCTGAAGGAATTTTCTAATATGGAGACAATAATATAACATAAAATAGCATTAGGCAGCAATCCATGAGAAGAAGAAAGATAAGGCTGAGGAAGAGAATAGCACCTTGTCTTTTATATAGCATCGTTAGGGAAGGTCTTGTTGATTTATGTGACATTTCAGCAGACATCTGAAGGAAATGAGGAATGAGGCATGTAATATTTAGAGCAAGAGAGTGCCAGGCGGAGGAAAAGAACAAGTGCAGAAGCCCCGAGGTAGGTACATACTTTGTGTGTTATGGAACAAGGAAGACTGTGTGACTAGTAGGAGAATGGAGCAAGGGGTAAGAGCATAGATGGGGTAGATGAGGGGAAGTAACCATAGGCCTGATTATGTCAGATGTAGAAAGCACAGCAAGGACTTTGGAACTTATTCTAGTTGTGACAGGAAGCTATGAAGGGTTCTGAGTAGAGGAGAGATGCGATCAGATTAAGTTTTCAAGGGATCACTCTTCCTCTGTGTGGATAAAAGATTGAAAGTGGCACAATGACACACAAACGGTGATCAGTCAGAGGACTACTACAGTAATTCAGATGAGAGAGGTGGTGCTTTCATCAGAACAGAAATAGTGCAGATGGAGAGAAGTGACTGGATTCTAGACTTATTCTGGAGGTGGAGCAGACAAGATTTGCATATGGACTGGATGTGGTGTATAAGAGAAATGAAGAATGATTCCAAAATCATCAGCAAAATGGGTAAACAGAAATGTCATTTGCTGAGATGTGGGATACAGGTGGACAAGCATGTTTTGGGAGAGTGGAATCAAGAACCATTAAGGCCATGCTATTAGACATCCATATGAAGGTGCAGAAAAAGCAGCTGGATTCTACAACTCTGGAGTTTAGGGAGAAGTCATCATCAGTATCCTCATTTCCATTTCCCAAGAGATGGATTATGGTGTCTCTCGAATATTGTCTAGCCCTGCATGATCTGGCTTCAGAAGGTTCCTGGATGAATTTTAGGTAAAAGGGGTAACAACTAGATATAGCAACATTCACTGCTGCTTAAGTCCAGAAACAGTTTTGAGTCAAGAGGTGGTAAGTAGCCTCCTGTAGCCCAATACCTACCATAGCATCCTAGAAGATAATAAGCATTTCTCATGTATGGTGGGAGATCAAGGTAGACAGAGGTACCTAGCATTTCCAAACTATCTTTCTGAAAAGCTCAAGTACAGGGAATCTTTACTGTGACAAAGTGGATTGGTGAGAGGCTGAGATAATGTACTATTAGTTCCATAGGGTATCAGTCAAGGATTCTGGCAAGCTAAGCAAAGCATTGTAAGCAGCTGCATTCACCCTTTCCAGAAGCGTATGTCCTAGGCTGAGGGGGGTACCCCTCCTCCATGTTTCTGTAATAGGCAGCATATGACTCCAGTATCATTTATCTTGTATCATAATCTGTTCCTATGACTTTGTCCCTCATTGTGTGTCCTAGGAGCACAGGCACTGTTTCTTACTCACCCTTTTATCCTTGTCTTTAGCAGAGAACCTGGTCCATATAAGCATTTAATACATATTTGATGACGAATTAGGGAAATGTGTCCCTTTGTGCAGTGTCAAGTCTTTCATTTTTTAAATTTCCTTTCTCCTCTATTTAAATTTTTGCTGAGCATTTAATAACAGAAAATGGAGGTTTTCTTGAGATATCTAGAGGAAGCAAGGTTCTCTCCTTAACCCAAGGGACTAGCACGGCTTACTGTGGGGGTGTGATTTTAAAGAAGCCCAGGGTTGCTAGAGGCAAGATTGTGCACATCAACATGAAGAGCTGTAGAGAAAGCACCCTACTGAAAAGGCTGTGAGGAAGTCTGCAAGACTGCCTGGGTGGCAATGTCCGTAAGTGATGCAGAAGATGCCAGCCACCACCAGACTCCACCAGGCCCATCTTGGGTACCTGACTCAGTATAAGATCTGATTAAGAGTTCTGAACCACCTTTTTATGGCCATTGATTTCTAGCAACTGGACATTAACAAGAAAGACTGAAATTATTTGTTTGGTCTTTCATGACTGTTATCAGACACAACCACTCTAAGAGCATAATGTTCATAATTAAGAGTCAAGGTTTAGACCCCTGAAACCATTTGTATTCTAGAGCATACAAGAGATGCCAGACCCTGCTTTCTGTACTGGCCAATCCCAAGAGGACTACACAAATTTTTAATAGGTTAGGTTTCATGACAGCCTCAAATGATGCTCTTCTACCTACATAGTTAGGTAGCTTGAGCACTTTGAACATAAGGCAATCAACCACTTGGCTAGACTGTTTAGAACAACAACGTGAGTTACCTACAGTAATGAGAAGTAAACAATTAGTGATCACTAAGGGAAAAAAGGCATATGGTGTTAACGCATTTAGTGCCCCCCAAATAGTGTTGCTTTTCATCTAGCAAACAACAGAATCATCTGGACAAGTCAGGCCCCGGGCAAGTTGAAAACTCCCCAGTGCCTGCCCCTCCAAACTGAAGACTTACTGGGAATCGAAAGGAGCCAAAGCTGAGCAGTCAATAAGAAAAGCTCTACCGAAAGCAAGAGTCGTACCTAAAATGACTGGGTCCCTGAGGATTGCCCAAACAGTCCCACTGCGCTCGCTGTCTACAATGCTACGCCCTCCCTCATCCCAGGTTTCTTTCGGACAGAGTCCGACCGGAGTTCATACAGTCAGATAGATGCCTGTCCACTTTCCCAGCCTTGTGAAAGGTCGGAACAGCTTCTGCGCTGACCCCGCCTCGGCCCCTCGGGCCCTCAGCTCACCCCAGGCAGCCAGACAGTCGATCTGCAGAGGCAGCTTTTCTAGTATTGGCACCGGCTCGAAGGCGTCGTGCATGGCGGCGAGCAGTCACCACAGCAGTCTCACCCGGAACGGGCCGGGCCGGTCCTGGGCCGGGAACCAGCCCAGTGAAAGGGCCAACCGTGAGGCCGGACCGAGACCCTAGCTACAGGCCGTACGACAACACAGCCATCAACACCGGACTTCCTTCCGGGCTAGACCCGCCTCTTCCGCAGAAGCCCCGCCCCTTCCGCCCCAGCGCCTTTGAGGGACGCGCCGGCGCTTGGGTCCCCGCCTTCCCCCGGGATCCAAGTCACGGAGCGAATTAGCGATATAGGATTTAACAAAAAAGGGGGAAACAAATCTTAAGACTGTTTCAGGCAGCGAATTTGGGCTTTGGCTTGCTAGCCAGGATGGAGATCTGCCATTTAGGAAATTAGCTGTGACGTTTAAGAAAACAAAGCCTCTGGAGATTATCTGCAAAAAGATGGTAGTGTTCCGCACTAACCTAGCGTTGTGGGCGCTTAGCAATTCCTGACCCACTCTCTATATAAACACCCAGTAAATGGTGGTTTTTGCATTACCATTATAATCTCAACCAGTTCAAGTATCTTACCCTTTTTTAAAGGTCGTTCTAGGGCAGTTCTCAAAGTTGATCCCTACACCAGTAGCATCAACACCGCCTGCGAACGTGTTAGAAATGCAGTCTCAGGCCTCATTCGTGCCCTACCGAATCAGAGCATCTGGAGTCGGGGGGTTCAGCAGTCTGTGTTTTAGTAAGTCCCCAAAGTGAGTCCATGCACTTTAAAATTTGAAAACCACCGCAATGAGGTGAATATGGCAACTCCACCCCCCCACTGCCCCCAGAGGAAATAGGAGGTAAGTCATAAAAGTAAGCATTTGGATCTAAAGCAAAAAATGTTAATGAAAAAAGGGGTGAGTCTATGATAAGAAGTAAAAAAAATGGCCTTGGTCAGTTTATTTATTACCCCCTCCTTCACTTCATTTTTATACAATGGCAGTTTCTTCACTTGTAAATTAGGATAGTTGTCCCATCTTTACCAAATGCTATGTCTGATAATCTGGTGAAATATTTTCAAAGTGTTAATACTAACACAAAAATTGCTAAATAAATCAAGTGTTGTGGCTGATTCTCACCACAGCTCACCCCAGGCAGCCAGACAGTCGATCTGCAGAGGCAGCAGAAAATTCAGAATTGTCAGCTGCTGTCCTTGAAGAAGGCCTAATACCTAATAGTTTCAGGCCCAAGGACTAGGAACTAAATAGATCAACATAATACTATAAATTACTTCAGAACCAGTTTTAAGAAATAATACACTGTATCTAATCACAGTGACATAACCCATTAAGAGAAAACAGAATTATCAAGTCCCAGCCTACATAATTTACTATACACTCCTGCTTAGCACAATATGATTTTTTCCCTAGCCTTAAGTCAACATCTACCCACCGTCAGAAAATATTTGACCAACTATCTTGCTGCATCACAACTATTTTTCACTTGCTAAGTTTCAGTATGGAAGAACAGAAGCACACAATAGTACCAATAGCCTTTTGCTAGTGGGTTAACCTGAGAATATAGTCAGTTCTTCATATTGTTCCTTTGATATATTGCCCAGGTGATTTTTTTTTTTTTAAATCACCACAGCAAACAGCTATAGAGAGATGTTAAATAAATGTAAACACTTTCACTATTTTATGAGTTAGTAAAGATTGCGGTCATGTGGTCCCTGGTTTCACAATAAGATGATGTAGAACAAAAACCATGGAAGGAAAATTCCCACAAGAGTTTAGGAGGAAGAAGGGTCTTTAGAGGCAAGTCCAAAAAAAAATGAGGAAAATATATTAATTTTGTTAAGACTTTTTTATATTAAAAAGTGGCATGAACTTTCTACGTAGAACAAAAATCTTGGGAAGGCAAAATTGGACAAAACCATTAAAACAGAAATATAGTGCTTCAAATGAATCCCATCACCTTGTGATGTCTCTTATAAACAGTCTCTAAACCAACACCAGGTATAAGAACGGTCAATCCTAAAGAATGAGCAGCAGTCCAGGGCCTCCACACTACTTCATGCAGGAAAAACTGTTTCAATTAAGCCAGAAGGACCTGTTTCCTTTGTATTAGCTCCTGCTTAAGCATTACAGTTCCTTTAGCAGGGCGCTCACTCACTCACTTAGATGGAGTGCCTCTTTGCATCTAGTGCAACACCCAGTGAATGGCATGAAGGCAAACAAAGCATTGCCTAGGATTCTGCAATGCCGCCGCCCTTGGAGGCTTACAAAACAGTAGTTAAAAGTTCTGGAGTGTGCACCACATTGCCAGCAATGGGATGTGTCACAATAGCAGATGTCAAGAGTTAAGCTAATATTTCTCTCTAAAGTACATCTGAAATAGAAAAATCTTTAATATACACCATTTGTAAACAAAATTGCACTTGATTTTTTTTAAATGATCTGAATCATACTGTAACAGGTTTCTTTCTTGCACACTCTTCTTTTTGTTCTAAATCATCGATAGAACCATGGCTCCTTAACTCAGGATTCTTTTTGTCTCCAAACTACCTCTGCAAGAAGTCTTGGCTTCTCAGGAAATGGAAAAATAATTAACAATTTCCCCCATCACCTATGTAACTCCCTAAATAAATAAAAATTATAGGAAGTTGCTCCTGGAGATTACATATTATGGCGTTGATGTCATAGTTCTTTAGAAGATGTTAAACTTTTTAGTTTGATAGATTAAACAATTTAAACATTAAGGAAGGCTCAGGAACAACACACATAAGTTGCATAAACATCCATGTCTGGGTGTGGGAAGAAAAGGGGCATCAATGTTGTAATAAAACACTTGTAGATTTTTCTCATCCTATGAACTTGTTTTCAGTAAGATGTTCTCCTTGTTCTGACACTTCTCACCAGCTCCAATGCACAAAGGTCAAGGAACAGATCAGGTTTCACTGCCTCCTTTAATTCCATGGAGGAGTGTAGAAGATTAACACAGAAGCTGATCTCTTCCCAGATATTGCCCATCTTCAACTGCACATCTTCCCATTTTTTCTTACTCCATTTTGGACCTTTCAAAGTGTGTGATCATTCGTTCCTAAGGAAAAAAGAAAAAGTTTTTTCTAAGCATTTTAAATGGTCTACATTCCAAATATCTTCTACAAAGATGACACACACACATTTCCCACAAGTACTTTTGCTTACGTCCATTAAACAGTTAGAAACGGTTCCTAACTGGGGTGCCTGGGTGGCTCAGCTGGTTAAGCATCCAACTCTTAATTTCGGCTCAGGTCATGATCTCAGGGCTGTGAGATCAAGCCCTACTTCAGGCTCCATACTGGGCGTGGAGCCTGCTTAGGATTCTCTCCCCACCCCCCCCCACCCCCTCTCTCTCTCTCTCGCCACCACACCCCGCTTGCACTCTTAAAAAAAGAAAGAAAGAAAGAAAGAAAGAGAGAGAGAGAGAGAGAGAAAGAGAGAGAGAAAGAAAGAAAGAAAAAGAAAGAAAGAAAAGAAAGAAAAGAGAAAGAAAGAAAAGAAAGAAAAGAAAAGAAAAGGAAAGAAAAGAAAAGAAAAGAAAAGAAAGAAAGAAAGAAATGGTTCCTAACTGTGAAGATTTTGAAACGTAAGATGTCCAGGCCCCACCTAAGATTAACTGAATCAAAATCTCTAGGTTTCTGGACATTAAATCACAGATCAAAAGGAACTATGTATTTGAGTCAAAGAAAATGAATAAATAAATATCTACTGAAGATTAAACTTAAATGAAAATGTGTACCTCCTCTGATTCACGAATTTAACTTGAAGAAAAAGTCAAGGATGTGGACAAAGATTTAGCCAGAAACATTTCTACTGCAAAACTCAAAATTATGACAAAATAGTAGAAAAAATTAAATGTCCAAAGATATAGGACTGCATAAACAAAATTATGGTATATCCTTATAATGAAATATTACATACTCATTAAAATTACATTTAAAAAAAAGCTCTAGAGATTTGTTGTATACAACAACGTGCATATAGTTAACACTTTACACTTAAGAATAATGAGGATGGTAGATTTTATGTATTTTCATAGTTTTTTTAAAAAAGCATGTTAAGGCAGAGCCTGGGTGGCTCAGTAGTTAAGCATCTGCCTTAGGCTCGGGTCATGATCCCAGAGTCCTGGGATCGAGCCCGCATCGGGCTCCCTGCTCTGTGGGAAGCCTGCTTCTCCCTCTCCCACTACCCCTGCTTGAGTTCCCTCTCTCGCTGTGTCTCTGTCAAATAAATGAATAAAATCTTAAAAATACCACCCAGGCATCCCCAAAATAAAAAGATGTTAAGAGGCATCTGGGTGGCTCAGTCTGTTGAGCATCCAAATCTTGGTTTTGCCTTAGGTCATGATCTCTGGGTCATGAGATTGAGCCCCATGTCAGGTTCTGCACTCAATAGGGAATCTGCTTGAGATTCTCTCTCCTTCTCCCTCAGCCCCTCCCCCGACTCATGCTCTTTCTAAAAATAAGTAAATCTAAAGAAATTAAAAAATAAAAAGCAGGTTAAAAATTATGTCTGATTAGAAAATAATACTTAGGGGTCTAAGTAGTGGTTCAGTCGGTTAAGCGTCTGCCTTCGGATCAGGTCATGATCCCAGGGTCCTGGAATTGAGCCCCATGTTGGGCTCCCTGCTCAGTGGGGAGTCTGCTTCTCTCTCTCCCTCTGCCCCTCTCTCTCCCTCTGCCCGTCCCCCCCAACTCATGCTCACGAGCAAGCTCGTTCTCACTCTCTCAAATAAATAAAATCTTAAAATAGTATTTATAGTATGCCATTTCAATTAAGAAAATTAATGTACTACCATTAAATTTCTTTACTTATGTAATTTTTTTTACCTTAGAGTTAATATTTTTCATTTTTGTTTTGCTTCATTTGCTAAAAGTACATTATCACAAATATACTGAACTCTGACAGAACTGTAAATATATTTTCAAAATGATCAATTACATCAGCTAATCTATCCTTTTCACTTTTTTTCTTAGAACTACTCCTCCTGAAGCTCTCTGGTCTGCTCCATTGTGGACTGGATGCCCTCCAAGACTGTTGCCCAGCTATCACTCTTGGAGTTTCTTACATCATCATCCTGGGAATTTATCCTTGCCTCTCTGTTGGACCCTTATTTCCTGGATCCCGAGTCTTTTTCTTTTTAGTTCTCTCATTTTGTAAAGAACACTTTCTACTACTTTTTTGAGACTGCACACATAGTATTTTATTTCCTGCATGACTAAAAACATCTTTATTTTACCCTCGTATCAACAGTTTAGGTGAATATACAATTCTAGGTTGAAAATAATTTTCCTTACAAATCAAAGACATTGTTCTATTATGTTCTAAATTGCAAAGTTGAGGCTGGAGATTCTGATGCCATTTTGATTCCTGGTCCTTTAGAACTTGTTTCTCTTATAATTCATTTAAGTTCTTATTCAGTTCCTGAAAGGTTTTCACACAGGGAAATATGAACAGATGGGTGAAGTCAATACCACCAAAAATACTATAATAAACCTGTATTGCCATAAAGAGCCCAACGGGGTTTTACATACTCAGCCTTCTCTGCCTGAAATATAGCGGTGGCTGGAGAGCTAAAGTCACAGGGAAGCCCCGAGGGCAAACTATTAGCAGATGCCCTCAAGAAGGAGATTTGGGAACTGCAGAATACACCATAGAAAGCAAAGTGTTACAAAGAAAGGTAAGTTTAATTCTGCATGATAGAGTTCTCAGTTATTTCAATGCACAGAACTGCTAAGGAATTTGACATTGTGTGCTACATCACACAGCAGGTCAGTGGGAAATGAACAATCATTTTTTAGCAGCCAATCCAAAACAATGAGTTAAAATCAGGCAGATGCTTTCAAAGGGCTTTCTAAAATCAAGAGGGTCTAGAATAACCTAATATTCAGAACGAAAGACATGTCCTCCAGTCTGATCATGTAACTTAGGAAAAGAAACAGGGGACGTGTATAGAAAGGAAACATTCTTGAATACTTGAGTTCTCATCTTAGTATTTCTATTCTCATCCTTTTTCAACTATACCAACTATAGTTCTTCAGGGCACTACTGAGTCAAATAAAATTCCCCTGAACAAAGGACCTATGATTTCCTATTAAATCATCAGACCCACAGTTTATGCACATGATTTGATTACTAACCTCATCTGAATCCAAAAGGGCTGGAAGTGCTCTGCAGAGAGAAAAACACCAAAATGAACAACATAAAGTCATAAATAGTTCATAAAGGAAAGAATTATGAATACAATTTAAAGCCTTTTTTATAATTATCTAGGATCTGCATCTTATTAATGGCCATTTCAGGGGAATAAAAGCATATACAAAAACAGAAGGTTACTGGAATTGTATAGAAAACAAACATGTTCTGCATTGTGACAAGGCCAATGTTTAATTAAAAACAGTCATGGGAAGGAACTAAAAAATTCCAAAGAATTCTCCCAATGATTTTGGGAAGATGTATTACAGCTAAATCTTTCTAAGGAGAAATGTCATCTGAACAATCCTGATTACTTTTGGTTGTATATCATTTGTAATTTTTATTTAACATCTTTTTAACATTTTTAATATTCTTTTTAAATAATTTAATCTATAAGCATTCTCATTATCATATTCTTCAGCTCATTCACTTAAAATAATAAAAGCAAGACTAACTGAAATAGGATTCTCATGGTAATGATTCAAAAACTTACACATCTGTCACAGAAGAAGGAACATTCTCTTCTACCCACTTCAAATCATCTTCCTGCTGGGAACATAATACCAGTTGTTACTAAAATGCCCCAAATAATACATGTCAAGTGAGGATATACAGAGGTCTCAAAATTTTTAAATTTAATCTTTTGGGCATTCTGAAGGAGTCTACTCACACAACAAATGGGACTGCTAATAATTTTAAAAACTATATAGTCCAATACGTTAAAAAACTATGTCAGTGAGATATAAAATGATATCTTTAAATGCTTTCTTCTCAGTGGTCTAATACCTAAGAATTTGCCTCATATAAGTTTTGCTCCTTAAAAATGAGTTTAATTCGGGCGCCTGGGTGGCTCAGTGGTTAAGCAACTGCCTTCGGCTCAGGTCATGATCCTGGAGTCCCAGGATTGAGTCCCGCATCGGGCTCCCTGCTCGGCAGGGAGCCTGCTTCTGCCTCTGACCCTCCCCACCTCATGCTCTTTCTCCCTATCTCATTCTCTCTCTCAAATAAATAAATAAAATCTTTAAAAAAAAAAAAAAGACTATTTCATTGTTTAAAAAAAAAAAAAGAGTTTAATTCTAAAGCCCTTAATGTAGACTGCATGTAACATTTTAAAACAAAACAAAACAAAAAACTGCTGAATGAAAAAAAATCTTGGGGGTGCCTGGGTGGTCAGTCATTAAGTGTCTGCCTTTGGCTCGGGTCATGATTCCAGGGTCCTGGGATCAAGCCCCACATAGGGCTCCCTACTCAGTGGGAAGCCTGCTTCTCCCTCTCCCACTCCCCCTGCTTCTGTTCCCTCTCTCCCTGGGTCTCTCTCTCTCAAATAAATAAATAAAATCTTCAAAAAAAAAATATTGATCTTTAACTACAAAAAATACCTTAGGTTATTAAAAGGACTATAACTTGCACTAATGAAAACAATTAAATAGAACCATCAGACTAGGGACGCCTGCCTGGGTGGCTCAGTCAGTTAAGCATCTGCCTTTGGCTCAGGTCATGATCCCAGAGTCCTGGGATTGAGTCCCACATTGGGTTCCTTGCTCAGCAGGGAGCCTGCTTCTACCTCTGCCTGCCGCTCCCCCTGCTTGTGCTCTCTCTCTCTGACAAATAAATAAAATCTTAAAAAAAAAAAAGAACCATCAGACTAGTCTGGTACCTTTTCAGGACACAATAGCAAACCATCTAGTTAAAAATTACTAGGTCTTAGAATCACTTGCTGTTTTTAAAAATGTAAATATAATATATATTAAAAGATCTTTTTATAAAGCAAGCTTAGTTAGAGCACAGATTTAAAAAATCATTAAGGCCTATGCATAATTACTTACCGCTTTGTTTACTTTACTATTTCCATTTGGTTCTTGTTTAGTACTTCTCATTTTCATTCCTTCTGTAAAGGGAAAACAAAGTAGATGGGTTAAGTATATTAATAGACCAGCAATGATTTCAAACATGAATTCACAACATTAAGTTTACTGAAACTGAATTATATAACAATGTTTCTCCATCTTTATGCTAGGAAGTTCCAAGCCAGATTTTCAGCTCCTCTAGTAAGCAAACTGGACATTTAATGTGCAATTATTTACTGAATTTACCACAGCTTCACCTGAAAATTTATACCCTTATTTTTGCTGTCCCCTAATACACCACAGACCAAACTGAGACACAGTTGACACCTAAGTAAAACGACTGTAAAATAATAAACTATATCCAAGTATCCTGATTTGGATACTCACAAACCGTTATACTTGCTCTACTCTATTTCTAAAAAACAGAAAATAATATTTAAAGCACAAATAAAATTTTAACACTACCAAAGCTTTCTTTTAGCATAGGTTCTTTTTGTTCATCCTCTTCCTCTTCCTCAGACAACGGTGAAAAGGCAAACCTGACCGAACAAAGATAGAACAGAAGGAAAAAACTTAGAAAACTACAAAAAATGCTCCACTAACTAGATTTTACAGGCCTTACTACTGAAACTGCAAGGAGTCATTCATAAAATTATTTCAGTGAAAGCAAAATAATTCTTCCTGTTCAGAAAGCTCTTGATTGCCTAAACGTGAGAAGCAGGACGGCATCACACTGATGAGTACAGGCTCAGCCACGTACTACTTATGACTCGAGACAAGTTACTCTCTGTACCTCAGTTTTCTCATCTGAAAATCGGGATAATGAAACACTACTCACAGAGGTGTTTTGAAAAAAGTAAACAAATCATTTCAAAAAATGCTTAGAACAATACCTCACACATAGTAAGCATTTATAAGCATATAAAATCACACAGAGGGAAGTAAATACTCATGTAATTTAAAATCTCAGACTTTGAATTCGTAGTTAAGAGACACAAGTCCTGACCTTTTATGTACCGGTAATTTTAAAATCTCAGTTTCCAAGTGGGGAGCTGAGAAGATGAAGGCCTCATCTTAAAATACCTTTCCTTTACAACTTTGAAGAGATTCAGCTGCCAGACAGGTAATTCTTTTACATATTTTTTTAAATTTTTATTTATTTGAGAGAGAGAAAGAAAGCAGGGGGAGGGGCAGAGGGAGAGAATCTTTCAAGCAGACTCCCCGCTGAGCATGGAGTCCATACATGGGGCTCAATCCCAGGACCCTGAGATCACAACCTAAGCCAAAACCGAGAGTCGGGATACTCAACTGAATGAGCCACCCAGGTACCCCCAGATAGGTAACTCTTAGAAAGCTTTAGCTTTGAACTCACTCTGTACTTACTGTTGCCTATTATCTTCATTCTACCTTGTTTTTAAAACTCCCTTTCATGAATTAAAAAAAACAAAACATAACTCTTTAAAAACTAGGAATAGGGACGCCTGGGTGCCTCAGTTGGTTAAGCATCTGCCTTTGGCTCAGGTCATGATCCCAGGATCCTGGGATGGGAGCCCCGCATCAGGCTCCTTGTTCAGCAGGGTGCCTGCTTCGCTCTCTGCCCCTCCCCCTGCTTGTACTCTCTCTCAAATAAATAAAATCTTAAAAAAAAAAAAAAAAAAGCTAGGAATAACAGGGAACACACCCATAACCTATTAAAGAATAACTAGCAAAAATTAACAGTAGATGCCAAAGTTAATGATACCTGAGAAGCACTTACTTTAAAGTCAGAATAAGATAAGGAGGCCCACTCTCAATGCCTCAATTCAGTATTATACAGGAGGGCCTAGCTAACGTAAGAAACAGCAATGAGGCAGCAGTATTATTTGGAAAAGAAGGAATAACAATTAATCTACTTGGAAAACCTAGAAATTATCAGAATTAAGAAGACAGAGACACCTGGGTGGCTCATCAGTTGGGCGTCTACCTTCAGCTGGGGTCATGATCCCAGGGTTCTGGGATCGAGTCCCATATCAGACTCCTTGCTCAGCAGAGAACCTGCTTCTCCCTCTGCCTGCTACTCCCCCTGCTTATGGTTGCACTCTCTTGCTCGCTCGCTCTCTAACAAATAAATAAAATTTAAAAAAAAGAACTAAAAAGACAATGTAGGAGGGTTGATGGGTATGATAAATACATAAAAATCAATAGCATTCAAAGGCTCCTGGCTGGCTCACCCCAACAGAGCATGTGATATATGCCCTCCTCCCAAGGGGGGAGGGCATATACCAAGACTTAAGAGGAAACTAAGATAAGCATACTACTGATGCAGGATCAGAGGAATAGAAGAAAAACAGAGAACCCAGAGCCAAACAATTCTTGATGAATAAAAGTTCAACTGTGAAATTTTGAAAAAATTATAGAATAACTTTAGACTTCACCTCAAGCCAGGAAAAAGTTTCTTAAACAAGACACAAAATATACATACATGAAGGGAAAAAAAAAAAAGACAAATTTGACTCCATACTTTCAAGTTTTTCTATGACCAAAAACACCATTAAAATGTCCAAAGATAATCAACAACTAGAAGAAAATACCTGGAATGCTTAGAACAAAATACTGGAATCTAGGTCCGACTGCCTGTAGCCTCCCTGAGGCATTCAGGGGCCATGTTTGTAGTCAGCACTGTGCTTCCCAGATAAGATTCCATCAGCTTGTGATAGACGATGAAACAAATAAACAATTTTCTAAATCTTTTTTTTTAAGATTTTATTTATTTGAGAGAGAAAGAGAGAGCGAGAGGACGAGGGCAGGACTGAAGAGGTTCCAGGAGAGTTCACCCAGGATGATTTAGCAGATGATGATGTCATGTTACTAGATGCTTGGGAACAGATTTTTATTTGGGTCGGCAAAGATGCCAATGAAGTTGAGAGAACAGAATCTCTGAAGTCTGCCAAAATGTATCTTGAGACAGACCCTCTGGAAGAGACAAGAGGACGCCAACTGTCATCGTAAAGCAGGGCCATGAGCCGGCCACATTCAAAGGCTGGTTCCTGGGCTGCGATTCCAGAAGGTGGTAAACTGGTTTTTGTAGGAAAAAAACAAATATTTTGGAGCCACTGTCCCATTGCTGTTTTGAGGGGAAGAAAGGTTTTTTGGTTTGTTTGGTTTTAGAAAATTAACCGGCCCTATGACTATTTTTTAATGCTTACTATTGGTTTGAAATTCTTTTCAAACTAGAATTTTCTTATGTTAGTATTTTAAAATAACCTGAAGGAAATTTTTGTTATGGACCAATGTTAACTCTGCTGGAAACTGACTTATACCTTTTTATATGACCTTTTTTTTTTTTTAAAGATTTTATTTATTTATTTGAGACAGAGAGAATGAGAGAGAGCATGAGAGGGGGGAGGGTCAGAGGGAGAAGCAGACTCCCTGCCGAGCAGGGAGCCCGATGCGGGACTCGACCCCGGGACTCCAGGATCACGACCTGAGCCGAAGGCAGTCTCTTAACCAACTGAGCCACCCAGGCGCCCTTTATATGACCTTTTAAAAGTGAAAAGCTGCACGTAATCTAGGGGAGTTCATCAGGGAATTTTATAATTCAAGAAACTTCAGCCAAACTTGTTCTTTAATATGCCAGAGAAGTAAGCCATAATGCCTTTGAGGTTATTCTCCTTTCCATGTGCTGTGTTCAAAAGAATTGTATATTTGCAGTGAGGTTTATGTTAAGATGGTTTAAAAGTTTGTTGTTATTTTCCTTCTTCAGCCAATGTGACTCTGATACCATTCACTCCTAAGCATCTTTTTCTGAGTAATTTTACCATTTTTGCCTTTTTAAAAGCCTTTGAAATAACAGTTTTTTCATGACAAAATAATTACAGTCTTATCCGGTTGGATGTATGTATTTGACAGTACATGTTTAATACCACAAAGGTTATGTATGAAAAAATTCACTAATGCTGTCTTTCATCATTAAAATGCATCTCTTTTGGAAAAAAAAAATACTGGAATCTAAAATATATAAGGAATTCCTACAAATCAATACAAAAATGATCAACAAGCTGATAAAAAAAAAATTCAGATATTAAAAACTGATTGACAGGATAACTAAATGACCAGTAAACACATAAAAGCCATAAAAAGTAATTCAGCCTTAAATGCAACATTTTAAAAATAACAGTGAATATCTCCTCTACCAGATGTGCAAAAATTAAATAATGGGGATATAGGAGGGAAGAGAACTCCTCTCGTACAACTGTTAGTATATATGCAATTTGCTTCAGGTTTTTTTTTAATGCAATCTGACTTTAATACTTTAAAAATTACAAATGTGCATGACCTTCACCCCAACAGTCCCAAGCCTACTCTATTTTCCTTTTTTTAGTTTTTAAAGAACACAAACATTAAATGTATAATAAAAAGGCTACTTTCATGGGATAAAATGGTATCACTTATTTTCTAAGCCTTTTATTGGTATGTCTGATTATAAAATGAGCTGTTCAGTTATGCTGCCTCATCCTTTTCCTCCTTGGTAATATGGGTGGGTAATATAAGCTCTTAACTGTCTAATCACAAAGGGGAGGGCGTGCCAAAGACATGGATGTACAGAAAAGAAAGACAGCCAATTCCTAAATAATTGAGATTTGCCAACAGCTGAACAAAGCAAATTCACATATAAATTTTTAATTCCAAAGTCTGTCACATAAATTTTCATTTTACCCTATTGTTATGAAGTGAGCTGGGCTACTGGCTATAAAAATTGTTCTTTCCTTCCTGACACTGGACAGGTGAGACTCTCATTATAAGTATCACTATCTATCCACTTCCCTTCTTTATTCATATACATACATATTATCAGATGTCAGAATTTAAAAATACCTCATATCAGGTGGTTCAATTCCCTCTTATTATATGAAGAGGAAACTAAGGCCCAGGCTAGTGAAAAGAGGCACCATGACAAAACTCACAATGCAAAAAGGAGAGCTGGACAGGAACCCATTCACTGAATTCCAGACCCAGTGAATATTTTTTTTTTTTTAAGATTTTATTTATTTGACAGAGAGAGTGCAAGTAGGCAGAGAGGCAGGCAGAGGGAGAGGGGGAAGCAGACCCTCCACTGAGCAGGGAGCCCAACGTGGGGCTCGATCCCAGGACGCTGGGATTATGACCTGAGCCAAAGGCAGCCACTTAACTGACTGAGCCACCCAGGTGCCCCTCAGTGAATATTCTTTACACTATCTGACACAGCCATGACACTGTCACCCATTCAATCACCCCTAACAGATGACATGGCCATTCAATGGTTAGCGATATAAATAAGAAGTGTCCAAGAACCTCTGGTTGTTTGCAGATGGTCGCCAGAGAACCATGATGACGAAGAGGATCATGGAGAACAGCAACCGCCAGATGGCGTCATCTACCCAAAGCTCCCGCCAATCCTACCAAAAGGGGGAGAAGTACATTTTTATACATAATCTTAACTCTTCACAAAGCCCTTGGCATAGAACAAGAATCAATTATTTATTCCTTCAACTTACATTTACTAGGAGCCTGCTATGTGCTAGGCACTGTGCTAAGTGCTAGGAATAAAAAATAAATGAACACTGTTTCTTCCCTGGTAGTGTTTATTGTTGCTAAAGAAAAGGCACAACTGAATGGAGCACTTTATTAATGCTTCATTATAGCTCTGAGAATCTTTAGGAAGGATTTTTATACAAGGTAAGAGAAAGTAACATGTTGTTACTTTTTATAGTTTTCATTTTTGTTTATTTTTAACAGCTTCCAAAGAAATGCTACTGGGCAGTCTCTGTGCTCCTATCTTAAGTACATGGCTTCTGCTCAGATTAGCATTATTCATACATACTTAGCGTTTAGGACTCTGGACTTCTTGTTAATAATTTTTAGTTAAGGCAAGACTGAGTTATGAAAAACTGTGATATCCTTTATAATGTTCTCCCCAATACTGGGATATATAGTCAGTCCTTTCTCTCCCACTGTCTGCCAAAAAACCCACAAAACAAACCTACCATATCAAGCTCTGTGATAATACAGAATACTTATGAGGAGGAAAGCATTTCTAACCCTGAGTGGAGCTAGCCCTAATTTCTTAAAAGGTGTGAACCTTACCACTGTCATTAACATCACTGTGTATGTATAAAACAGTACACTATTCATAAATGCATGTGCTTATAACTCACCGACTGACAAGTCACTATCCTGAACTTCATGGTTGTCCAGATGATAAACACAATAGATGCTAACAGGAAATGAAAAACCTGGTCAGAGTATGAATGTTAGTTTATACCCCCAATTATTTATCTGATTCTCATCAAGTGGAATCAAACACATCCATAACTCCCAATATATCACAATCATTCTCTCTCATTTATTTTAACACGTTTATTCAACACAAATTTACTTAACTGCTATAAGCAAGGCACACAATGCGTACTCTTGCCAACCCTTTCTGTACTTAAAGAATAGTTTTATTTATCATCTGGCTACTTTGGCAACCCTCAGAAGTGGAAAAGAAGGTATTAGAAACATGTCTTTTTCCAGCATTATCAATAATATGATTGTTTTCCCTTTCTTCATCTTTAGTAACTAAACGTTAATATTTCTTTGCCTGATCAGATGGAAAAAAAGGTTGATAAAATGACTGTAAGACAAACAGAATTATTGGTCCCAATCATAGGCCAGACCTCCCTAATCCTGGTACACAAGCCAAAAGGCAGGCAAATTAGCCTATGTGGGCTATAGTCTAACCTAATGTATATGCATAACGTATATGTTATGCATGTTTAATGACATATGTAAAGGCAATATAATAGCAACATACACTGATCTAAAATCCATATAAAATTCTGTATTTATTTCAATAAAACCAAATAAGCAAATATTAATGTCTTCTAAAAGAAATCTGAACGCATATGACCCTAATGCTAACTTGCCTCAAAAAAAAAAAAAGTTTCAGAATGGAGATAGGAAAGGGATATACCAAGAGTTAAAATTATATGTAATCAATTTCCAGCTATTAAAATAAGTGGTTGTCAAACTTTTTTGAACCAAAGACCCCTTCGAGAACTTGACAAAAGTGCAAGACCCCTTCCCTAAGTGAAACACACAAAACTTTCTATGTAATTTTAGAAAGCCCATCTCTGGCCTCTCAGGTTAAGAATCTTTGTTCTAAAGGAAATGCATTTAAACAGCAGGAAGCAAGTCCCCGACTTACCTGCCACTGCCAAGATAAGCGTGTTGGTAAAATGTCGGTACAAAGAGAGTTTTACAATGTTCCTCCGAAGTTTTAACAGCTTCATTGTTTGAGTCAAGCTAATAAATATGTGTTTGCAGGTCAAGGAAATCAACATTCAGAAAAAACAGTAAGCTAGTAAATTAATCCTTACATTTCTTTAAGGATCTGGGGTCATACTGACAGAGCCATGGACGCCAGGCCTTACAGCTCTCACTCTCAACTTTACAAACACTCCAGGCCCACCATGATTAGTAAGAAACTCTTCATTTTCAATGACACTTAAAGAGAGGACAGAACCAGGATAAAATGAGAATACAAAAGACAAGAAAAAAGAAGAGAGGAAAAATATAAAGGAGAAATAAAGATAGGAAACTTTCTAGAGAAACAAAGAAAAAGAAGCAAATGGAAGAAAATGAAATAAAAATGAGTAAGAGGCAAAACAACAGGAGTTAGCATCATCTCCTTTCTTCTTGTAAGGCAGTGGCTCTGTTCTCACTGTCCTAGCTAATCCAGTCTAGAGTCTTACATTCATGCCTACAACCTCCCAGAGTTCTACACTCAGTCCCTTTGTGCCATGCTAAGGAGGAACCTGCCATCACTGAGCTATCCTGAATTAAAAGGACCAGACAATTACAATTGCCTGAGAATCCCAGGCAGTTAGGCTCTAAAAGCAACAACTCTCTACTTTCAAGTCATTATCTCAAGTATAAACTGCTGCACAAAGATAGGGGAGATCTAATGACTACTATAGGCATTTATCTGCTATCTTATGTTCAACTTTCAGAATGAGGGGCAGATATGAAAGCAAGTGAGCTGGAGCTCACTCATGCACTTTAACAGAGCCCTCACTGCTACCTAATTATTGGGTCATCTTCTTGTATGGTCCAGTCTCTCTCCCTACTCCTCTCAATATGCATAGTAGAGATTCACAAAGATAGTGACCTAGAAAAGCTTTGGCCATTTGGACGCAGGACATTTCAATTTCAAACATTTTTGATACATGAAAATCCCCTCAAATTCACAAAATTACTATTTTATTTACACTCAGCCTTTTATAATAGTCACAGTTCATCAGGACAATAATACTGCACAATTGTACATAGGACCAAATAACACAAAAACCAAAATAAATTTTTAAAAATCTCCAAAAGATAAAAGTCCAAAAACCTGAATCCTTCATCCAACAGGCCAAGTCCCTAAATAAACAAATGTTTACTCTTGAAAAGCAGGAAGAAAAGATTATTCAAATAGAAACTTGTTTGTTAGCTGCTGGTTGACTTTTCCTATAAATGAAATAAGATTTATTTCAAAGAGTAAAGTCTTCAAATAATCCCAAGTCGCTTTTGAATGAGGGTATAAAACACTTATCCTGTAAAGGTTAAAATCTGCTCAATCTACTTAGAATTTTTCAAACAACCTCAAATAGTATAGTTCCTGAAACCATATTTTAAGAATCAAAATATTTACATAATTTTCAAAGCATTTAAGAACTGCCGAAGCTGAAAGAAACAGTAGGACCACAGCAGCCAGTGATTCTAACACTAAGTGAGGTACACAAATAAATCCAAAATCAAAGTGAAATACTCATTTAAAAAAAGGCCAGAAGCTTTTATCTTATTCTCAGTCTGCAGTCACCAACTTTTGATGAAATTTTTAAAATTAAAAACAAAATAACTGCTTACCTGAGCCCCCAGGTTGTTAGAATGAAAATACCCTATTCCCCAAAGTAAGCAGTAATCAACGAAACTGGCAAAAACCATTTGCAGAAAGATCAATGGAAACCCAACTCCAAGGAGAAAATGGACCGCCATCAAACAAGCCAATGAAAAGGATATCCACCAGCACAGGGCAGTGTCTAGGAAAGCCAAGGGGATAAAGGCCAAGGAAGCAAGATCAGTCTGGGCCTGCAGACAAAGAAAAAGAGGTGGTGAAAAAGAGATGTCTAGAGAGCACAGAGAAGAAACCAGCAAATGACTCTGCCTTTACATAATCATCTAGAATGATTCTGCATTCGAACTGAAAGAAAATAAGGAATAATACTTTGTACCTACATCATTCTTCCCTTCTGACAATCGATCACATAGAATACACAGCTATAAGCATTTCATACAAACTATTGATCACAATCTCAATACAATAAAACATGCTGCTAACTAATACAAGGCAACCACCACAGAGCTCCTAGCATGGCAAGTAAGGTCGTCCATGTTAAGAAGTGACCACACTGAAAAGTCGTGGTGTTACAAGCCCCCATCCCATCCTATCATCTCCCATCATTGTGATTTTGGCTACAAGTCTAATAAGAACCTTCTCATATTTCAAAGTACTGCAGCATTAATACACAATTTTAATTTCCAGAATTATAATACAATATAATTCTACAAATAAGAGCACACCCCAAAATAAAATGTAAGGCAAATATCTGTCCCAAAAACTATGCTGCTTGTTTCACGAGTTTATACATATAAGGTGCTATTTATATAACCGTGATTACCCAAACACCAGAGCATTATTGAAAGGATATCCATAAAATAATACAGGCATCAACTGCTGAGAGGGCCAGGTTTACAAACAGAGCCAAGGGATAAGAAAAATACTATAGCAGCAGAAAGAAAATGAAATTGACAGAGGGTTAAAGTTGCTAAAAGTTGAAGGAAATCACATAGAGGACAGTGTGATCTGAAAAACAAATATGTATCCATAAAATGTTTTATTTAAGGGGCAATTTATTACAAAACTTATTGAGCTCAGTAAGTCAAGTTTACAGCATTTACCACCTTGAATCTAATGGGTGATTACTGAGAGTGATTTTTAAATAAGTAACTACTGGAATGACCAGTTCTTCACATTAATCCAGCTTTAAGATAAACTGCTTTATCATTTTTATTTAGTGCTTTGGTTTCCCTCCCTGACAAAGGGTATGATTTTATAATTTCTCAAGAATGATGTGAAACAATTAGCTGCATTTTAGAAAAGCCTTTGAAACCCAAGTGCTGGTTAAGCAAAGAGCACTCTCACTTTAAAACAAAAAATAGAGGGTGCCTGGGTGGCGCAGTCGGTTGAGCATCTGACACTTGGTTTTGGCTCAGGTCCTAATCTCAGGGTTGTGAGATGGAGCCCCATATCAGGCTCCAAGCTCAGCGGAGTCTGCATGGGATTCTCTCTTCCTCTCCCTCTGCCCCTCCCCAACAAGCGTGTACGCATGCACTCTCTCTCAAATAAACAAATAAATCTTGAAAAAAGTAGATTTTTGAGCAAGATTACAATCTTTGCCACTTAATACAAGAATGAGAGCCCACTTTCTGGGAGGAGGAAATGAGTAAGTAGCAATTTGGGGACAGGCAGGAAAGCATTCATTCCTGGTCACACATTAAACTTATAAAGTTCTAACAGATTAAAAAGAAAATTTGAATTATACATACATTTTGAAAATCAGAGTTAAAGGTGATTTAGAAGAAAAAGTAAAGAAGCCCACAGACATTTCCAATTCACCCTCTCAAGACAAAAACAATGTATCTGAACTGACCATATACAACACTTAGATTAAGCAGTACTGACCCCAGTAACTCTGAGGACCCCTTCCATGCCAGAGAACAAAAGATAGAGGGCTCCTGCTACCACAACTTTGTGAAGAGTGACTCCAAGGCGAGGCCTAAACAGGAAGCAAAGAAAGAGTTGAGTACCAATGTCACAAACTCCAAAATAAGTAATAGCAACTCAGGTTAATTAAAATACAGGCCAACAACTTAACAGAGATAAGTCAGACATACTTGATCCACATGAGAAAAAAAAACTCAGAAGAACATATGGTCTTAAACCAAGCTAATACTAGAACTTTAGATCTGGTCCCTAGTTACTATATTAAAAACAAAACAAAACAAAACAAAAAAACTCTTTAATAGAGAATTCTGAAACATTCAATGGTATAATGAACCCCTCTATACCATCATCCAGTTCCAATAATCACTAAGCTATAGCCAACTGTGCCTCATTCAAACCCCATCCACTTCCTATCCTCCCATATTATCTTCAAGCAAATCCTAGATAGCATACCTTTTATTTGTATATATTTCAGCCTATGTTTTTAACCAATAAGGACTTTTTAAAAACATAACCACAATTCCATTATCAAATCTAAAAGTTTTAACAATATAAGCAAATACCCTACTGCAACTCATTAGATAAACTGTACATTTGTAAGCTCAGAATCCAACAAAATATGAAGTCTTTCAAGCACCTTCTGCTTGAAGAAAAAGTCTTGAATCCTTGACATTCAAAATGCCATTCAATCAGAATCTGCATTTTAACAAGATCTCCAGGTGATTCATTAGTGCACTGTAAGTTTGAGATGCACTGCCATAAATCATGTCTACTTACATCTAAGTAATATTTGTTCTTGTATTTTTTGTCATATGCTAGCAAAGCTCCATATGGGCAAGGATTTTTCTCCCCACTGGTTACCTTAGAAACCTAGGCCACGCCCTGGCATATAGGAAGCATTCAAATATTTGTGAAATGAATTAAACAATTTAAAAAATGAAATCCACTCCATCCCCCTAATCCCACTGAAAACAAAACTCCTTTAAATGAATAAATTTAAAAAATTAAAACCCATTTCTTTAATACCACTTAAAGCAAGACTCCTTGAAATAATTGTCTATACCTGGCTAGTTCCAATTCCTCTGCTTCTATTCTTTCTTGAAATCACTCGAGGCAAGCTTTTATCCTAGCACTTCATCAACACCATCTTATTAAGGTCACTTATATCTTCCATGTAGTTCAACCCAATAGTCATCATTTAACCCTCTGGACACAATCACTCCCTCCGTGAAACAGTCTTTGGGTTTACCTCTCACCACAACAGTCCTTCTCAAATTCCTCTAATTCTGTTTCATCTCATTGAATTCTAAATAACTGAAAATGTTCAAGGGCTCCATCCTTTGACCTCTTGTCTATATACACTTACTTCCTCAGTGATTGCATCCCACTCTCATGGCTTTAAGTAAACAGCTATATTCTGATGACTCCCAAATTCATATCTCTATCCTACTCTCTCCCCTTTATTGCCCCATTTGGTTATCTAACTGAACTCCTAATCTTGCCTCTACTCCAAACTTATTCCACCTAAGATGCTCCTGAACTTATAAATTCCATCCTTTCGGGGCGCCTGGGTGGCTCAGTCGTTAAGCGTCTGCCTTCGGCTCAGGTCATGATCCCAGAGTCCTGGGATCAAGCCCCGCGCATCGTGCTCCCTGCTTGGCAGGAAGCCTGCTTCTCCCTCTCCCATTCCCCCTGCTTGTGTTCTCTCGCTATGTCTGTCACATAAATAATTAAATCTTAAAATAATAATAATAATAATTTTCAGACTTTCAGAGTAACACTCTCACAAAAAATGTGATTTCAAAAACATTTGGGAAGATTAAAAGTAACTAAGTTCACTCTAAAAGTTTGATGTTTTAATGTCATTCTCTACATTGCAGACTTTGCTGCATACGCTCAAGTTCTCAGAAGTGAAATAAAACACTTAACATTTTCTAGCTTTTGCAAATCTACAAAATTTTAGATACCTGTCTTACTGCAGAACTATTTCTTATATCAATTCTTTCAGAATTACAATGGGATCCTGCAATACTGTTTCAATTTAATCAGTGTTTTAATATGTCCTTTCCATATAAAAAGTTAATACTTACTTAACTATGCCATATCCCAGGCTGACTATGATGACCAGGGTTCGAGCCAGTGAGCGTTTAACTGCTGAAAGCAGCTCTGCAAGGATCAGGGCACCTTGAACTATGAGAAAGAAGAAAGAGGGAAAGAGTGCTATAATCTAGGTTTGGGAAAAGGCGTGACTCCAGAACCAGAATGTGGATCTAGATAACTAATGCCCTTCAGAATAACCATTGGAATTAGTCCTGTTCAAAGAAAAATACCTCTCCTGCAATTCTTGTAAGTACACAAGCTGATTTCACTTACCTTGCTCATGTGAATAGCAATCTGGGTGCACTCAAATCACCTTCCCTCCCCAACCCCACTTCACTAAAACCTCAACAGAATACCTCACCTACACGGACAGTTTATAACACCTACGGAACTTTTCCCCCATTTTTAAAAACTGGGGAATACACATTGAAAAAATATATATACACTGAAAAGCACAAAACACAAACACATGCAGTTTTCAAATTATTTTCACATCTACTATTTTCAAGCCTTTTCAAAGATAGGGAAAGCTCTGATCAGTAATCTTACAACAATAACCATTAACAATTAAATGGTCTGAGGAGAGAGAGCCAAAGCTAATCACAAAAAACTTCAGTACAATATAATTTCTGTCATTACCTGTTTACTTTAGTGAACCATAAGCACCCTTCTATTTTCTTGGTATTACTATATTTTACCAATTCTTAGAGGCACTTCTCCCTCATATTTTAAAATCTCTGAAATCATAGTAGATCTTATCATCAATGACATCTTACTATTAAGTTAGTAGTATTTATTTCCCTCCTTAGGGGTATAATATAATAATGGTGCCTTAAAAATCAATGGCAATTGAGATTCAATGATGGTGATAATCTTACCCAAAATGGCCACTACTGTTGTAACTTGTGTGGATGTATTTCAGTACAATCACTCTTAAATCACTGAACCCGTAAGTTATGAGATTAAAAACAAAAGTTACAATCATAATGATTATGCTTAGCTTATTATTACTTAATAATAATTAAGTAACTGAAAAGTTAAACCCACTTAATGACTATTGACCTGAGGAAAACTCACGTCTTACCTGCCCATCATTCACAGACGGGGAAACATTTTTTGGTTACATACCTGATTCTCCTTTGTATCGGACATTCTGAAATTCTGCATAGAAGACAGCTTTCTCAAGCATTCCCAGGAAGATGACAGCACCAATCCAAAACTGAATTCTTAGGAGATCTCTCCAATAGCAGGCAGACCACGCCAGCCACAGAACACCAAACAGGACATATACAATACACATCACCATGAAAAACTGTCATCCAAATGGGTAAGAAATAAAAAGGAGGATTAGGGCCAAGAGCCAATTTAGAATTAATACATAGTCTTAAATTATATTAAAAAATACGTATTCTACCTCCTACTTTAAGAATAATTATTTTATTTCTTTGAAGTTCAATACTACCACAAAAAAATTATCTCCTCTTGCACAGAGAGAAACTACCTAAGGACCTATCATTAAGAGTAACTGTTCTTCTGCATTAAAAGTGCCTTTTCATTACATAAATGAAGAGAACACTTAAAGAGGAAAAAAAGACATGGCAGGGTTAGGATACAACTGAAAGCAATGAAACACAATGTGGGAAAACTATGAAAGGCAAAAGAAGAAAGAAATGAACAAAGGAAATCTGAAAACAGAGTAAGACTATTCCCATGGACACAGACATACACACGACCTAAGTGTCATCATTTAGTTACTTTAAATGTGATCAGAAACTACAGGGTGGTAAGAAGTGCCCCACTCTGGATTCTAGAAAGAATGTGTGATCTGAAATTATCTTTGAGGTACTTTCCAATTCTGAAATTCCTCAAGTCATCAACCTCTTCATTCTACAGATGAGATGAGGTACAGAGTGATTCACTGACACTCTCAAGGTCATATTTTAGTAAGAAGTACGAAACTACAAAGCAGTCTTTTCTGAACTGTTCAGGAACAATTCTTCAAAGAAAAATATTGCCACAAAACATGGACAATCTTTCAAGCTAAACTCATGTAATGTTAAGGTTAAGAATATAAGTCCACTTACAATCATCAAGGGATATTCTTCAAGCGTGAGGTATTCATAGGGACCCTTCACTTCAACAGTCACTGCCAAAACACAGTCCTCAGAATTAATGTAAAGGATGCAGAAATTAAACAAAAACATAGCATAAAATTCGTCTGATGAAATTAATGAAAAGTCCACCGGGTTATTTACTTTTAACCATTTCAATTCTGGTGATTAATACATTTATAGAGCACTCTGAAATTCCTGAGGTGTTCTCATGGTTCATGCTGTGTCCTGCACAGGCCTCCATGCCTCTGCTCCCAGTTCCCAGACACACATCCTGTAAAGACTAGATTGAAGGTATTTCCTCCACAAACCCCAACTGGAACCACAGCCCAGCTCCTCTAAATTCCAAACACATTTCATACATACTTTTTCTTACAACACATCATTAATGTGCTTTGAAAAATAAAGGATTTCATTCCTTCATTCTGCTATCCTCTTTGTCTTCTATCTATCCCTACCTATATTTTCCTATTTATTACTTTATTTACCTACTTCAATTTTATGTGACTTTGCTACATTAATGTATCATTTGCAGAAAATACTTTTTTTTTAAGATTTTTATTTGACAGAGAGAGAGAGCAAAAACAAGCAGGGGGAGTGGGAGAGGGAGAAGCAGGCTCCCCACTGAGCAGGGAGCCCAACGTGGGGCTCGATCCCAGGACCATTGGATCATGACCTGAGCTGAAGGTAGCCGCTTAACTGACTGAGCCACCCAGGCACCCCTCATTTTCAGAAAATACTTAATAACAACAAAGTGGTTTATTTTTACAAAGTATTTAATAACAAGAATGTGAAAAACAGATTTGCCTTACTGAAGCAAAACTATGACTTTTAAAATTGTAATTGATAAAGCTATTTTAGGTCTGATTTGATACTTATGTGAGAAGTGTTAGTCTGTGAAGACAGACTAATAATTGCCTATTCTACAAAAATTTCCTAGTTTTTACCAAGCAAAAAAGACATGCCATTATTAAAAGTAAACCAACAACAACAAAAAAGTAAACCAGGTCCAACATTCGTATGAACAAAGGGAGCACCCCATAATAGCAATCATAAAAACTTTAAGCACACTGGTTATTAAACCTATACCTTCTTAATTTAATAAAATAGCAAATCAAATAATTAGTGAATATTTATATATCCTTTGCTTATTCTACGTCAGGGGTCAGCAAAATACAGCACATGGGCAAATTTGGTCGCCCACTTTTTATAAATAAAGTTTCATTGGAAAACAGCCACATCCATTCACTTACATATTATCTATGGTTGCATTCACACAACAATGGCAGAGTTGGGTAGCTGTAGTAGAGACAACATTTATTATCTGGCTCTTTAAGAAAATTTGGCTAACACTTGCTCTATGCTAACATATAAAATACATTTACTAAGCACTTACTATGTGACACACACTACAGAAAACAGAGGAGATAAAAAGATGAATAAGATGTCTTCCACCATCTAGTGGATTACCTGATAGAAGGGAGAGAAAGTAGGAAAGCAAGACAGAGAACTGCCCCTCTGAGCCAGACCTAGAAGGATGAGTGTGTATTTCCCAGAACAAAGTAAAAAGCCATCTGGGCAGAAGAAATAACATGAACAAAGACAGGTGTGAAAATACATGATATCTATTTAAAGAACATGTAGTCTGAGACTGCACCTAGTAGCAAAAGGTAAACTGGGACAAGCTGCAGAGTTTTATAAGCCTTGCTGTACAAGATGGACATTTTACAGGCAATGGGGAGACATTAAGGTCTTAATGAAGGCAAAAAAGATGACAAAACTGTTCCAGAGAATTCTAGGAACTTCACATGGCATAGTTAAGTCCATGCTTTAAAGTACCTTCTTCTTGGGGCACCTGGGTGGCTCAGTCGGTTAAGCATCTGCCTTTGGCTCAGGTTACGATCCCTGGATCCTGGGATCGAGTCCTGCATTGGGCTCCCTGCTCAGTGGGGAGTCTGCTTCTGCCTCTCCCCTCCACCCCCCCCAACTCATGCTTTCTCTCTTGTGCTTGCTCTAATAAATAAATAAAATCTCTTTAAAAAAAAATAAATAAATAAAGTACCTTCTTCTTAGCTCCAAACAACAGATGGATAAAACAAAACAAAATAAGGACATAAGCTCAAAAACAAGATAAATACCTCCAAATATCAAAACTGAACAAAAGCTCAGAACAGTTTAAGAGGCTGAAGCTATGGTCATGTTTGACTCTGGGCCTGAAAAGCAAGCTATGGTAGTTGGGAGTGCATTTCCTATGGGATCACCAAAACTAGTAGGATTCTAAGGAAAAGGAGGAGCAGAGCCAGATTTGATGCATGAAGAGGCTGAAGTGGAATGGAATAGGGCTTCTTTTCCATCCTTTTCAAAGAAAGAAGGTTGAAAGTAAATGTTGGCAACTACTGCGTTAGACTAGTACTCTTTAGAAAGCTATGGGCCTAGAAATACAGGATACATATACATCTTGGGTCCAGAAACTGTGCAGGGCCACCCGCTGGTTTACCTAGAACTGCTATATCCCATAGAACTATAGAGCATAAAACCCATTTCTGGATTGGGAATTAAAAGCATTCAATGCAACAATCTATAAAAAAAATTTTTTTTTAATTAAGTCAAAAGAAATAATGAAATAGAAAAGAAAGATACAGTTGGGAAAACTAACAAAAGCTGGTTCACTGGGATAAAAATAGAGCAAAATACAATTCTACAAAGATTTTTTTAAGAAGTTAAAAGGGAAGATAAAAGCAATATTAAGAATGAAAAAGCTGCAGATACAGATTTTTTGGTAAAGAAGTACTATTCATAACTTTATGCCAATAAAATGTGAAATCTTGAATGACAGGACAGTTTCTCAAAAACAAAAAAAACATCGACTCAAGTAAAAACAGAATAACTAAAAAAACTTATTACTATTAAAGAAAATTAATCAGTCATTAAAATCTATGTAAGGGAGGGAAAAAAAGAACATCAGGCCAAAACACTATTGTAAGTTCTACAAAACATTCAAAAAATGGATAATCCTACCCATACAAAAACTACTCCACAGAATTTGATAAATAGGGGACATTCTCCAATTCATTGAATAAGACCAGCATAACCTGGATGCCAAAACCCATAGATGACAGTATGAGAAAAGACACTATGAACAAAACTTCCAAATAAAATCCTGTAAAACACAAGTCAGCTATGTATATATGTATATGAGTGTGTGTTTGTGTATCAAGACCAAATACTGGCATCTCAGAAATTCAAGAACGGGTTTTTAAAAATTTTTTTTTAAGATTTTATTTAGTTTATTTGAGAGAGAGAGAGGGAACATGAGCAAGAAAGGGGCAGAGGGAGAAGGAGAAGCAGAGTCCCCGCTGAGGAGGGAACCCAACACTGGGCTCAATCGTAGGGACCTGGGCTGAAGGCAGACACTTAACTAACTGAGCCACCCAGGTGCCCCCAAGAATGGTTTAACATTAGAAAAATCGGTTAATATAATGCAACAATAAACAGATCAGTGGGGGAATCTATATGATCATTTTAATCAATACAATCAAAGCACTTGATAAAACTTAGCATTCATTCTCCATACTAAAAAAAAAAGGCAGAAAAACACACTTAGTAAATGAGGAAAAGAAAGAAACATCCTTAACCAAACAGAATATTCTGAAAAGTCCACAGTGAACATAATTAATGGTGAAATGTGCTAAGAGAGACAATAAAGTCAGGAGCAAGATAAGGATGGTCATCATCATTGTTTCATTCAATATTCTACTCCAGAAAGGAGGGGAGGGAAGAAAACTACAAAGTAGGAAGAAACATAAAAAAAGAAACTACAGAAAATAAGACTGGTTAGTTAAGTGACCACGAAATTCCAAGTAAGAGATGATTCCAGGAACTGGGTAAGAGCAGAAAGGAGAATACTAAGAAAAACTGAGACACTAAAAAATTACCAAAGTCAATTAATTCAAAAATTTCCAAGTTTTGACTTGGTAACCAAGTTTTGACGAGTCTAGTTCAGAATACTGAGAACATAATACCAATTATGAATCTTAAAAGTAGGAGGATCAAATGAAGGGAAAATGAAGTCTGGTATCTATAATACATAACAAGAAAGCGTTAAGTGAAGTGCCTAAGACTGTGTCTGGTACACAACACACCTTTTTTTTTTTTTTTTTAAGATTTTATTTATTCATTTGCTAGAGAGAAAGGGAAAGAGCGCACAAGCAGGGGGAGCAGCAGGCAGAGAAGCAGGCTCCCTGCTGAGCAAGGAGCCCGACGGGGGGCTCGATCCCAGGACCCTTAACGGACTGAGCTACCCAGGCACCCTCACAACATTCTTAATTATTCCCTCCATTAAAGCAATTTTACACTACCCATCAAGCATGACACAACTAGATAAGATGAATGGTAAAAAGGAACAAAATGTACTTACTGGTAAAAAGATTACTAAGTGAATTTTCTTTTGAGGATTCCTTTGAGGAGGAAATGCCAATATGTACAATAAAAATGTATGGTGCATCTTGCCAAGTTTTCAGTGGATCATGCATTGCCTGGAGAAATAAAAAAAAAAAAAGACATCCATCTACAAATCTTAAGAACTAAGAGCACATGTTAATACGAAAATCGTCTTCTGGAATGTGCCCAGAAACACAGCTGAGTTCTTCACTCTGATTCATTAAAAGAGTAGGCACAACAAAACAAACAGGCCTACAGTGCATACAATAAAGTATGTTAGACTACAAATTATTGAAAGGACATTTTATATCTTGTTATGCACAAAAATCACGTATAAACATATTTTTTTTTACAAGGAAAACCTCAGCTAAAAATTACTAAATTGAATCTGTTTCATTAAGCCATGCTAGGATACTTGGTTATATTTTAAACAGATAAAGTAAGATTTAAATCACCTCAAAACAAAAACGCCCATGTTGACAGTGAATTATATTATAAACACTAACTCCTGAATTTAATTCCCTTTGTTCAATGTCATTCTCAAGACTACCAGAATTTCTACAGAAAAGGACTCACATATTTATCAAAAATTTAATCATTGGGGCACCTGGGTGGCTCAGATGGTTAAGTGTCTGCCTTTGGCTCAGGTCATGATCCCAGGGTCCCACATCAGGCTCCCTACTGAGCTCCCTGCCACATCAGGCTCCCTGCTCAGCATTTGATAAAAAGCAGGGAGCCTGCTTCTCCCTCTCCCTCTGCCTGCTGCTTCCCCGGCTTGTACACTCTCTCTGCCAAAAATAAATAAAAAATCTTTAAAAAAAAAATTTTATCATGGCTAGTCTATGTGGAATCACTGTCCCTCATAATAAAGGAAGTGGAGGGAACAGCCTCCATGTTTACAAAACTAGTCACTTGGGAAGAATCTGTTCCAAGGCCAGTCAGTTTATACATAGCCCAAGCAAAAAGCCTTCAAAAGATTTGTTGCCATACTTGCTAGATGGACTATGGACCCTCACAACCACAAGATTAAAACACAAAGATTAAGGAGATAAACACAGAAAATTACTGGCCTCTTCCTTGTGTGAAAGGAGGTATTGCTACTTAGACTTACAATTTATTACCTTCTGGTCTTAAAATTAAAAGAAACTTTTACCCAGACACCTTTGGGTAAGCTTCATTGATCTATGAAACCCCTCAACGTGAATAACAGATTTTACATATTTATGTGTTTTCCCGTGGAGCCACAGGTTTTCTCAAATGTTCAAATTATCCTACAACCCAAGAAAAAGCCAAAACAAGAATTCAAAAATTATATTCCAGGGGCGACTGGGTGGCTTAGTCGGTTAAGCGACTGCCTTCAGCTCAGGTCATGATCCCGGAGTCCTGGGATTGAGTCCCACATCGGGCTCCCTGCTCGGTGGGGAGCCTGCTTCTCCCTCTGCCTGCCGCCCCCCCTGCTTGTGCTCTCTCTTTCTCTGTCAAGCAAATAAATAAAAAATCTTTAAAAAAAAAAAATTATATTCCACGATACATATCCGAAGTGTCAAAGTAGATTAAATGATTCTACAGCTATAATACATTTACTAGGTTATCTTAGTAACTTAAGAACATAAATGCCATGCTGAATCACATATTGATTTATCTCTGCCTAAAGGCCCCTTTCTGACAAAATTAAGGAGCAATTTATGAGAAAAATTTAAAGCTTCAAAGTTATAGGTACATCATGTCCTTTACCCATAATTCTTTTTTTTTTAATATTTTATTTATTTATTCATGAGTCAGAGAGAGAGAGAGAGAGGGGCAGAGGCAGAGGGAGAAGCAGGCTCCCTGCCTAGCAGGAAGCCCGATGCGGGACTCGATCCCAGGACCCTGGGATCATGACCTGAGCCGAAGGCAGACACTTAACCATCTGAGCCATCCAGGCACCCCCCTTTACCCATAATTAACTGAACTTTCCCTGAACTTACATGTGCGTTAACCAATAAAACTTAATTTGGCGTAATAAGCTGCTCTGGTACTAATTTTATCTAACTCTGGGATATACATATTTTGAGCCTGTAAAAATAACCATATGCCAAGTTTTGTCTTGGTAACCAACTTTGACAAGTCTAGTTCAGAATACTGAGAACATAATACCAATTAAGAATCTTAAAAGATATGCCCAGCACTCTTCTCACAGGTTTAACATTATAGTCCTTAATCCTCACAACAACCACATATGATAGGTACTATTATTAGCTCCTTCATAATTGTCCTTTAAGAGGTGAATGGATAAAATAAACTGTGGTACATTCAAGTAATGGAATATTATTTAGCACTAAAAAGAAATGAATTATCAAGCAATGAGATCGCAGGGAGAAACCTTAAACTCAAAATACTAAGCGAAAGAAGCCAATCTGAAAAGGCTATATATCACACAATTCCAACTATAAGACATCCTAGAAAATGCAAAACTATGGAGACAGGAAAAGAAAACAACAAAAATCTATCAGGGGCACCTGGGTGGCTCAGTCAGTTAAGCATCTGATTCTTGATTTCAGCTCAGGTCATGATCTCAGGGTCATGAGATTGAGCCCCAGATGGGGCTCCACACTCAGCAGGAAGTCAGCTTGAGATTCTCTTACCCTTTCTCTCTGTCCCCCCCATCCCACTCTCTCAAATAAGTAAATCTTTAAAGAAAAAATCAATGACTGCCCGGGGCTTGAAGGGAGAGATGACTAGATGGGGGGAGCACTGAGGATTTTTAGGGCAATGAAACTATTCTCTATATTATAATGGTGTTTATCTGTCATTTTACATTTGATTAAAAACACTATACAACAAAAGGAACTAACACTTATGTTAACTATGGACTTTGGTTGATAACAATGTGTCAATGCTGATTCATCAATTGTAACAAATGTGCCACACTGGCTGGTGCAAGATGGGGATGGGGGACTCTGAGTGTGCATTTGTGGAGGAGTTATGTGGGAACCTTGCCTTTTGCTCTATTTTGTTATGAATCTAAAGCTGCTCTAAAAAAGAAAATATACTAATTTAAAAAACATTACAGTGGTAAATGTATCACATTACTGCTTAAATCAAACCATAAAACTGAATTAATAAAGACATTAAATCTTCTTAGGAAAAAAGAACAGAGAAAGGCCCCTTTGTCTAAAAAACATGTTTTCTGAGAGCTTTAATAAAAGGGGGTAGTGCTGAACTTGTGACTGCCCTTTAAATAGGATTATCAGGGCCGCCTGGGGGGCTCAGTTGGTTAAGCATCTGCCTTCAGTTCAGGCCATGATCCCAGCATGCTGGGATCAAGCCCCATGTCGGTCTCCCTGAACCTGCTTCTCCCTCTCCCCCTGCTCATTCTCGAGCTCCAGTAAATAAGATCTTTTTAAATAAATGAATGAATGAATGAATGAATAAATAAAGGATTATTAAAGTATTCTCTTAGGCCCAATTTTCAGGTCGAATGATCAAAGGACAGATAAATCTCTGACTTTTTATTATAATCTGACTAAATATCTCTAAATATTACTTGTGATATTCAACAGGGTCATCTTTCAGCCAGCTTTAATCACTAGGAACAGGGCTCAAGCCTTGAGTAGAATTTAAAAGTATGCTCTGCACAGGGGCAGCCTGGCTGACTCAGTTGGTGTAGCATGTGACTCTTGATCTTGGGGTTGTGAGTTCGAGCCCATTGTTGGGTGTAGAGATTATTTAAAAATAAATACAAAATCTTTAAAAAAATAAAAGTATGCTATACACAAAATAAATGTTTGGCTTCAACAGTAATTTTTTAAAAATACAATTTACAACAATTTAACCTGACAAACTGCATAAAATCTGTTTTAAATTATAATAGCCATTGTTTGTGAGCCAAGAGGGAAACTCAATCCAATTTTCTTGGGACAATAAATTGCTATAATTTTTCTCTAGAGTACACTGACAAAATACAAAAAAAAACTTATAAACTGTGCATACACTTGGACCTAGCAATTCCACCTCTAGGATTTTAGGCTAAGAAAATATTATAAAAGTGCACAGGGGTGCCTGGGTGGCTCAGTCAGTTAACCATGTTCAACTCTTGATCTCAACTTAGGTCTTGATCTCAGGGTTCTGAGTTCAAGCCCCAGTGCGAAGCCTACTTTAAAAAAAAAAAAAATGTGCACATAGATACAGCTACACATTATGAATTTGGAAACAAAACAATATACATCGTAAAATGAAATAGTATGCAACCATGAAAAAAGTAAAAGAGCACTCAATGTACCAATCTATTAAGTGAAAACAAATTACACAGCAGGATATATAATATGATCTCACTTTGGTCAATATGCATGTGTTCTGTGTAATCACACTGAACTGCTAGAAAATAAAATTACAAGGGATTTTTACTTTTAAGTTATATAAGCAACATGTTTGCCAACATGGAAGTCTTTTGAAATCAGAATATAAAAATTTTTTTAAATCTTCAAAATTAATCACTGAAGTGCTGTTTAAAATTGCAAAATAATGAAACACATAAATGTCTAACAACAGATAGTTTGCTAACAAACTGCAATGTATTCATACAATGAAATACTCTGCAGTGACTTAAATTATGATGTCATAACGATATTTACTAAACTGGAAGGATGTCCATGTTACACTGCCAAGCTAAAAAAAAAAGTTACAACATAATACAAATTGTAGGATTCCCATTATTAAATAAATATAAGCATGCTCAGAGACAAAAGACTATAAAGTAAATATATTTAAACTCTATCAGTGTATGGTAGTATTACAGATAATTATTTTCTTTGCATTTATGTATGTTTTCTAAATTTTTGAACAGATTAGCAATAAGAAAAAAAACCAACATTGTTAAAAAAAAAAAAAAATGTAATGAGTTCTGCAGTGCCAAACTCATCTTTAGGTTAAAATTCTATAACTGTAAGTCAGGGCAGGAAAAGTGGGGACACTTCCAGAATGGCAGAATGAGGACCTCTGAAAATGCACTCACCCCTAAAAGCAACAAGAACACGGGCAAAAATTATCTAAATCAACATTTCTGCAAGTCCAGAAATTAGCTAAAGACTTGCGCCAACCCTAAATGTGTTACCTTAAGAAAAACAGCTGGGTCTCATTAAGAAAAGCAAGCCTGTGGTGTTTTTGTTCATCCTAATCCCATCTCCCTCTTCCAAGCACCTTAAAACCAAAGTTCTCGCAACTGTAACGGCTGTGAAAAACAGCAGTTTGGCAGCCACTGGAAAAAACAGAACAAGTTTGGAGATGCCCTAAAACTGTCTGGCAGGTGCTGAAAAGCTCCTTTCCCAGGTCTTATCTTTTATATGACCTAATCCAGCCTCATTCAGTGGAAAGGATCCTATACTCAGGACACTGTCAAAGGCACTCAGCAGCAACTGTGATAGATCACAACTGTCCCCCCAGCTGATGTTAGTAGGCTGGGCTATCAAGAGGCTGACTAAAAACTTAAAAGGAAAAACTGGAAATGAGATGACCATAGGGGCTTTGAAAAGCTCCAAAATATTCCTGAAAATCTACAAGGCTACAAGCACATGCAGATTTGTGCACATATATGCGGAGCTATACACATACACTTAAGAGAGGCCTGAGAAGGCCCTAATCACTCACCTCTGACTGATCTTAAGGTTCTGCACAAGAAGGAAGTAAAAGTTAAGACAGAGTTTTAAATTGTGAAAGAAGCCAGACACAAGACCACAAACTGCATGATTCAATTTATATAAAAATGAATAGAACAGCCAAATTCGTAGACAGAATAGTGGTTGCCTAGGGCTGGGACAAGGGTGGAAAGAAAAGTGACCACTAATGGCTTTGCCATATTCAAAACAGTGACTTTCTGGGGTGATGGAATTAGATCCTGATTGGTGGTTGCACAACTTGTGACTATACTATACAAAACACTGAATTATAGGTTTTAAAAGGCTGAATTCTGAGATGTGTATGTCTGAATAAAGTAATTATAAAATCTAAAACTTTAATCAGTTTTGTAAAAAGCATGATCCAACATGGTTAACAGTCTTATTTCCTCTATATTTTTAAGAGGTAAAGTTTTGAGGAATTAGTTATCGTGAATTAGAAAGTAAATTATGAAAATAAAGGCATATTTATCATTTTCAATCTTATTTCAATTTTCCAAACTGTCTTCCACTTATATTCTATCATAAGATAACTTTAGATGGAGTTTGAGGTTCTTTCTTAAAAGGTTCTTCCTATTTATGAGTCATATTTATCAGGTGATAATTACAAAAACAACAGATTGTAGCAAATAGGGAAAATTCAGGAAACACATAAAATAAAAATTGCTCATATTATCCACAACGACCATTATTAACATTTTGGTGTTTAAAGTTCATTTATTTTTTTTTAGTAATCTCTACACCCAAGGTGGGATACAAACTGACAAATCCAAAGATTAAGAGTCACATGCTCTACTGACTCAGCCAGGCAGGCGCCCCAACATGGTGTTTAAACTTCCATTCTTAAGTTTCTTTTTTAAATGGTACGATACCAAGATAATTCAAAACACATAAAACTAAGAAAACTGAAATATGTGCTCAATGCCCCAAATTCCCTACCATACTTACAGTTTTGTCTCCAGTAAGGGTAAGATTTGTTCCATTCTCCTTAGCCTTTAAACATTAAAAAAGGAAAATTAATTCAGAATTTTTACTTCACTCTCAGAAATATATAACAATGAAAACAATTACCTCCTGTTTTTCTCCTAAGAGAGGCAATCGCACAAAATCCCCAGAAAAGCTCTATGAAAGAAACATAACATTAAAGAAATATAATAGTAAAGGCATAGTTCAAAATCCACAGAAATGGTTAAAGCAAAACTTACTGTAACAGTAAATAATATGGCACTGACAGACAAAAGATTTCCAATTAACCATAAACAAGTGAATAAAGCCCTGCAGAGAACTAGAAAATAGTATCAGACTAAACTGGCCACTCAATTTTTCTATTAAGAATTAAAGATTTTTAAGAATTAAAAAAAACCTTAAATAGAAGGTATATGCTTAGGATGGAGAGATCTTATGGTTCCCTCTCTTGCTACAGATGAGAAAAATATGGCTCAACATTATAAAGCTTTAGATGCAGAAATGGGATTTGAACGTAGGATTTTTAACTCTTATGCTCCTTCCACCACCACACACTCATGCCTAAAAAAAACTACACTAATTACCTTTCTTATCAGTTATCAGCAGATGAGGCATTCTCCTTCCTGAGTAATTAGGACACGTATTTCAACTCTGTTACATTAGACTGGAGGAGGAGAGGTAAGCTTACCAATAGGGGTATATGCCAAGACCCTGGAAAGATTATAGCAGATCTCAAAGTGAACCTTGGGCAACAGTATACAACAGGTAGCTTCCCATGATCAAATCCAAGAAAGGCCAATCAATCCTCCCAGGCTAGAAAACTAACAGAAAGCCGCTTACTCAACATTCCACTGTTTCTAGATTTCTTATTCTTCCACCATTTTAAAGGTATCTTCTTTTTCCTCCAAATCCATAAAATCTAAGCTATAACAAGAACTCAGTTATCAATTGTTATAGTTCAATTATCAGTTACTTCATTTGCTTATCAATCACTAATTATTAAGTTAAGGCCTTCTTATAAATCAACTTTACTTCTAGTAAGTGGACAGAAAACCTAGCTTTTGGTGAACTCTGCCTCTACAAGGCAATTTGCTAAATATTCAAAAGCAATAAACACAGTAAGGACAAAAAGGCTATAGTTAACAATAACTATTTTCAACACCCATAAAATGTATAATTTTTCTATCAAAAAATTGATGCTAGATCCTATTTCTACGAAAAAAAATTTTAGAATATAAATTCCACTTACATGATTACATATGTGAAAGCATTAAAAACACAACATTATTCAACTCTTCTCCTTTACTCAAGAAAAGGTGTGGGGGGTACCTGGGTGGCTCAGTTGGTTAAGCAACTGCCTTGGGCTGAGGTCATGATCCTGGAGTTCCAGGATCGAGTTCCACATCAGGCTCCCTGCTCAGTGGGGAGTCTGCTTCTCCCTCTGACCCTACCCCTTCTTGTGCAGTCTCTCTCTCTCTCATTGTCTCTCTCAAATAAATGAATAAAATCTTTAAAAAAAAAAAAAAGTGTGAAATTCAACTCTGAGTTCAGATCTGTAGCAATAAAATCTAGAAACACTGATTTTTCTGAGAACGTATCAATTAGATGAGATGACAAGAGAACTGAAAATTGAATGTTTCAAATGCCCATCAGTGGATGAATATATATATATATACACATACACACACACACATATGGTATGTATGTATGTACATATATACACACACACAATTTGTCCTTAAAAAAGAATTAAATTCTGATACATGCTATATGGATGAACCTTGAGAACATTTCACCAAGGGAAAGAAGCCAAACAAATATTGTATGATTCCACTCCTTTTAAGTACCTAATATACTGAAATTCATGGAGACAAAGTAGAATAGTTGTTACCAGGGATGGGGGGAGGGGAGTGTTATTGTTTAAAGGTTATGAAGTGTCAGTTTGGGATGATGAAAATTCTGGAGATGGCTATTGATAGTTGCCCAATAATGCAAATGTACTTAATGCCCCTGAATGGCACACTTAAAAATGGTTAAGATGGTGGCAAATTTTTTTTTCTACCATAAAAAAAAATAGGGATTTGCTTTTTACACACAAAAGAAAGCACATCCTCTTTTTAATGAGATAAATACTAAGTGGCTGACTATGCAACTTTGGAACATGCTTCTAAGTTAGTTCTGTAAGAACAAAGAATTGGGAAGTGGGAAATGGGGAATCACCAAAAATACACATATTACACATTTCACCTCTTCTATTTCTCTCCAACCACTATCAAACATTACCTGTGTTTTAAAGAGTTCACTGCAGTTCTGGAACAACTTTGATGATGTTTGGTATTTCCCAGACAAACCTTTTTTTTCCTTAAGGTTTTCCAAATATGTCTCCACTTCTTCTGCCTATAAAAACAGAAAAATACAAAGTATACAACTTACTTTTCACAAGTAAGGTATTTAGAAGATAACAAATAGATTGCCTATAGGACAGATACATGCTTGGATTTGCTATTTTAAAAGTTAACAGCATCAGATAAAAACTGTGTAATAGTATCCAAGAATCTCACAGTTTTAGACTCTAAAGTACAGAATTCTAGTCCATTGCTCACAAAGAGGACTTCTTCTAAAAATTCTAGGAAGATCTGGAAAATGTCAGAGTCCAGAAGGTTTTGTCACAAGAAAATATATTTACAAGAGTTAATAAACTAAACTGCCAACACCAACAAAAAGATATACTTGTGCTCATAAGCTAAGATAGAGCACAAAACTGCTGTAGCTATTCATAGCCCACTGTTGATATTCTGAAAAAACTCATCATTTCTGTGGCTGCATCTATCAGTTCTGTGATTTTTCTCCTATACCTATATTCCTAATCTTCCCCTTTTTTTCCTAAGCTCCAGTTTTACATCTCCAACTATCTGCATGTCATTTCCATAATTGTCCTGTGGCAACCCAACATAATTTTTACATTCTTAACTTATCTTACCTATAAAGACCAGATCTGCTAAGCTCTTGACCAGTTTATTCCAAGTATCAAATGTATGAAGGGTTTTTTTTAAGAAGATAATTTTTTTTTCAGATTTTATTTATTTATTTGACAGAGAGAGGGACAGCAAGAGAGGAAACACAAGCAGGGGGAGTGGGAAAGGGAGAAGCAGGCATCCCGCTGAGCAGGAGCCAGATGCAGGGCTCGAGCCAAAGGCAGATGCCCAAAGACTGAGCCACCCAGATGCCCCAAATGTATGAAGTTTTTAACTATAAATTCAATTAGTGATTAAGAGGAAAAGATCAATAATGCTTCAAACTATACTCTGGACATATTATCATTTCTCTCTAAATTCTTCAGTCCTTTTAGTCTTCCTCTCCCTACCACTCCTATCCAATGTTGTACAAAAGCAAAAAACAATCACCAACACCACAAAAAAGGTAATGTAAAACCCTAACACAAGGCAGAAATCAAAACGCTTAAGGTTTGAAAAACCAACTAGATGGTGGACATTTTTTAAAGACCAGTTAGAGTATCTTCAGAAAGGAAAAAAGAAATAAATGGAGACTAGAAACAGAATGGAAAAGGCCTGAAATATCCATCTTGGAACCATATATCTTCAGTGCCCAAGTACAGTGTACTATGTCAACTCTGAAATGAGGTCTAAAACTATTTCCACACTACTAATAATAAAATAATATGCTATTTCCCTTGTACTGATAATGCAAAAGTAATGATAGGTAAAATTGCTGCCCCGTATCAGGAACCAAGGCAGTGGCATCTAATTGTACCAGTAGTCGGGACGCCTGAGTGGCTCAGTCGGTTAACTGTACCAGTAGTCATCACAATCGATCACATACAGCTTAAAAAAAAAAAAAAAAAAGCCAGTTTTACATAAAAATGTCCTTAATGAAACAGTAAAAACTATTAACGTTATTAAATCTGGACTTTTGAGTTTGTGCATTTTTTTAATATTCTATGAGCCAAAATGGGAAATATGCAAAATATTATAAATGAGATAAAACACTTTACAACTGTTTTGACTTATAACCTGAACTATCCACTTTTTTCATTTGCCTGAAAGAATAACCGACAAGGGGCGCCTGGGTGGCTCAGTCATTAAGCATCTGCCTTTGGCTCGGGTCATGATCCCAGGGTCCTGGGATCAAGCCTGCGTCAGGCTCCCTGCTCAGTGGGAAGCCTGCTTCTCCCTCTCCCACTCCCCTTGCTTGTGTTCCTTCTCTCGCTGTGTCTCTCTCTGTCAAATAAAATCTTAAAAAAAAAAAAAAAAAAAGAATAACTGACAAACTACAGTAATTCAGATTTGGTTATCTGGGAGATACTTTCTTGAAAATGGGCAAAGGGAGGCTGTTACTTCAAGGAAGACAACCGAGAGTACTCTTTGCCAATGATAAAATTTGAGCTTTCAAATTGTTCTTCCTCACAATGAGCTTAACAGTGTCCAATACTTAAGAAGGAGTTTCTGATGTGACAGGAGGGTAATATTAGCAAACATAACTTCGGGGTGCCTGGGTGGCTCAGTCATTATGCATCTGCCTTCGGCTCAGGTCACGAACCGAGGGTCCTGGGACTGAGCCCCACGTAGGGCTCCCTGCTCAGCGGGGAGCCTGCTTCTCCCTCTGCCTGCCCCTCCCCCTGTTTGTGCACACTCTCTTTCTGACAAATAAATAAAATCTTTAAAAAAAAAAACAAAAAAATATATAATTTCAACTTAATTGTAGAATGAGTTAGTATTTTAAAGATTTATGAAATTCAGTCAAGCAGTCTTTTTGAAATAACCAAAATCAGACGCAGATAAAAGACCAAAGTGCATGACACACCAACTTATTTAAATACAAAAGAGTAAGAATAAAGTTCACTGATATGGTTTCAGATTCCACATTGCCACCAACCTTTAAGAAACTCTACTTGTTATGTTTTGGTATAGAATCAAAGAACACTATCCACAATTATCTGAAAACACTATTAAAATATCATTCCCTTTTCTAACTATGTATCTGTATGAGGCCACATTTTGTACATATACTTCAACCAAAATAATATATCACAATAAACTGAGTGAAGAAGATATAAGAATTCAGCTGTCTTCTATTATATCCAACATTAAATGAAGGGCTTTGCAAAAATACAAAATAATACCTCTTCTGTGTTTTTTTGGAAAAAATTATTTTTCATTAAAAAAATTTTTGTATTAACATGCAATGCCTTGTTACTGCTATCTTAAAATAAATTAATAAATATATCTGTATTTTCTGTTTTAATTTCTAATACAGTAACCTACATGAACAAAAGACTTTTTGGGAACTGCAGTAATTTTTTTTAAGGAATGCTTCATGAATTGGGTGTCATCCTGTGCAGAGGCCATGCTAATCTTCTCTGTATTGTTCCAATTTTAGTATATGTGCTTGTTAGAAGGTGGAGGAGGAACAATAAAGTATTCCACAAACTGAGAAAGTATTTTGAGACAAGAAAACGAAGGAGGCAACTCTCTACAGTTTATGCAGAGTTTTATTCAGGGTAACTTACTGACGGGGAGGAAAATGGGCAGAGGACAATTCACAGCAGTTGCAGAGTTATTCTCTGCAAAATCCAGACCTTAGTCAATAGATATTATACAGTGAGCGGACACATAGGAGGGCACTGTAGTGAGATCAAAGGATTCCCATGCACCTGCAAAGAGCTTGCATTGCACTTAATTAACAGCTAATCATTAATTAGATCTTGTGGCACCATCTGTGCATCAGGAAAGGTAAAGACTATGTTCTCTCTAACAGATTCATGAAGGCCAAAACAAGCCTCCCCCAATCCTGGCTTTGGTAGGCATTCCCCCCCTTTTAAAATTTTTTATTTATTTATTAAATTCAATTAATTAACATATAGTGTATTATTGGTTTCAGAGATAGAGTTCAGTGATTCATCAGTCTTATATAATACCAGTACTCATATATCACATGCCCTCCTTAATGCCCATTACCCAGTTTCCCTAGCCCCCCACCCCTTCCCCTCCAGCAACCCTCAGTTTGTTTCCTAGAGTTAAGAGTCTCTTATGGTTGGGCGCCTAGGTGGCTCAGTTGGTTAAGCGACTGCCTTCAGCTCACGTCATGATCCTGGAGTCCTGGGATCAAGTCCCGCATTGGGCTCCCTGCTCAGCGGGGAGTTCTGCTTCTCCCTCTACCCTTCACCCCGCTCATGCTCTCTCCCACTCTCTCTCTCTCAAATAATAAAAATAAATAAAATCTTTAAACAAAAAAGGTTTGCCTTATGGTTTGCCTCCCTCTCTGATTTCATCTTGTTTTATTTTTCCCTCCCTTCCCCTACGATCCTGTTTTGCTTCTTAAATTCCACATATGAGATCATGTAATTGTCTTTCTCTGACTTATTTCACTTAACATAATACCCTCTAGTTCCATCCACATTGTTGCAAATGGCAAGATTTCCCTTTTTTGATGGCTGAGTAATATTCCATTGTGTATATATATACCACATCTTCTTTATCCATTCATCTGTTGATGGACATCTGGGCTCTTTCCTTCATTTGGCTATTGTGGATATTGCTGCTATAGACACTGGGGTGCATGTGCCCCTTCGAATCACTATATTTGTATCCTTTGGATAAATACCTAGTAGTACAATGGCTGGGTTGTAGGGTAGCTCTACTTTCAACCTTTTGAGGAACCTCCCTACTGTTTTCCAGAGTGCTGCACCAGCTTGCATTCCCACCAACAGTGTAGGAGGGTTCCCCTTTCTCCATATCCTCACCAACACCTGTCATTTCCTGACTTGTTCATTTTAGCCATTCTGACTGGTATAAGGTGGTATCTCATGGTTTTGATTTGTATTTCCCTGATGCTGAGTGATGTTGAGCATTTTTTCATGAGTCTGTTGGCCATTTGTATGTCTTCTTTGGAGAAATGTGGTTCATGTGTTCTGTCCATTTCTTGACTGGATTATTTGTTCTCTGGGTGTTGAGTTTGATAATAGATTTTTGGATATTTCTAAGGTTATGTTATAATAATCTCCAAGGGGCCTGAAACACATAGCCCCACAAGAGAAGCAACTAAACAAACATAAACAAAATGGAGGGCCAAAGATGGGATTCAGTACTGTCAGCATTCCTACAGTGCTGCCAAAGTGAGCAGAAGTCTGCAGTAAATTTTAAGGGTTGAGACCAAAAAGTTTGAGAATTGCTAGCACAGTAGGTTTGCAAACTGGGAAGCACAGAAGATTCTAATTTCAGCTCTTCTCCTGCTAGCTACATGACACTCCTTCCTCTATAAGGTAGGACAGGATATTTAAAGTCCAAGAAAGTCTGTTAATTTTATATTCCTTACCTTGAAGTTGTATATTTCATTGTAACAATCAGCACTTTTCAGATACCAGGTTATATTCAAAGACACATCACAAGGTTCTCCGTCAACTATAAAAGAAGAAAACTTTGTGAATAAAGATGATTCCCAAAGCATTTTTCCTAAACTGTTACACATTCTATTTTTCCTGCTAAATTTAGATACTCAAAGACCATCTCTTCTCCCAACACAAGGTACTGAAGTAATATACGTAAAAAGAAGTGGATATTCTTCAGATAAAAGTACTGTTGTTCACAAAAGAAGTTTCTGACCTGCTTAAATGTGTCTACTTTTATGCCTTAAAACCTCAATTTCTGGTTCTCTGTTGCAAAAAACCTGGAAGTGATACAGCAGTCCTAAGTTAAAACCACTCTTCTATTATCATTCAAATATTTACTGAGCAGAGCACTTAAGTATACAAAGCTACATGACACTGTTAGGCTAGAGAACAGGACTCTGTAGGAGGCTACATTCTAGTTGGAGAAACAAGGAATAACATTAGGGACATCATAAGGCAGTATTCAAAAGAGTTCCACTGAGGGAAAAATTAATGGCTTAGACCTTGAAAGATATCAAAACTAGACAGAAAGAAAAAAGGAAAAAAAGCAAACCTGGCTGGGGAAGGCAGGAAGACCAAAAGCAAAAATGAAAGACTCTTTCCAAAACCCACCTTAAGAGAGGCCTCAACGAACCTCATGAGTCAGAGCCTCATAACTAATTAAACAGTTTGGAAAGAGTATCCTAGTGGACCAAGGCATTAGTCTGAAAATTTGAGAGCATAAATCTGACTATATCACTGATCAGCTGTCCCACCTGGAAGTCAGTTTATCTTTGATTCCAGCTGTGTTACAGAAAATATACTAGAAGATACCTGCCTTATACAAATGTGACAAAGATAAACATGACTGCATCTAGGAATCTATTTTTGGTTCTTAACAAAAGGTCCACACCTAAAATTATTACCTTTCCCTTTTCTTTGTTTTAAATTGTTTTCTCAAATTAATTTTCAAGTGACATACTTTTACGAGGGTCAATTAAAATACACAAAACTCTGATGTGCTAAATAGAATTTATGGAAATGATAAAAAGGATATTTGTGATCTCACTGTTAACTATTCAGAAGAACCATACAAAGATGGGATTAACTCAACAGAGCCAATAAGAAAATCCCCTAAACAGAAGATCTGCAGAAAGACTTGGCTGAAAAAATGCTATGTATGTTAAAAGACACCATTCAGAACTTTGAATGGATGGCATTAAGAGACGAAAATGGTCCTGGCAATTTCATGGAAAGCTATATACGATAGCCCTAAAGTATACAATCAGAGACAAGGTAAATGTGAGAAAGCAGAGAAGTAACAAAATGAAAGACAATGTAATTTTTAAGGAGCCTCAAATTCTCCCAAAAAATGAAATGTAAACACTGCAAAATAATGCAGCTTGTGTAAGTTGGCAAAGCACCAGCTGATCAAAATACAGGTGAGAAAAGACTATACATGATAAAAAGGCAGACCGGCATGCAGGCTGTCAGGCTATTCAAAAAAACCAAATACTGTTATCCCTAAAAGTTACTCTTATCTAGCACATCAACCTCACAAGACAGACCAGTTTATTTCAGTAATCTGATTTAAACCAAATTTAAGTCATCAGTCAAGAGATTGTATTTTCATAGACATAGTCTATTCTTTATAGAAATTTTACTGGCCCCCTTCACTCCTGTTAGACTGTAAGCTCAGTAAGAGAGAGGGCCTTTTCTATCACTTCCCTGCTGTTTAAAACAATGCCTGGCACATAATAGGTTTTTAATAACTACTTACTAAATGATTAAAACAAAATCATCCAACTACAACTTACAACTTTGCACTTTCATGGAGAAAGACATGCAAAGAAGCACACACGGATGATCTGAACTTCTATCCCTGATCCCGAAACAGAGCTATCCATGATCACTTACCCTAAAATAAAGCCAGTTTCAAAAATAAAAGGAAGCCTTTCTTTAATATGCAACAGGATATTCTGGATTCAGATACAGTGGTTTTCTCACTGGACAGACTGGTTTTGTTCTATAATAATCCCTATACCCCGGTAATATCTTTGAGCTTCCTCTTCCAAAGATCCAAATAGTAAAATACTCCTTCTGTAAACAAAGGTTTACTGAACATATTCATTCAGAGCCAAAGGTCTGACAAACCTAAGTCATGTGTTCAGTAAACATCTAACAAGCACACAAAAGCAAAGTCAGTGGTATCTCTAACACAGGACAGATTAAAACACCATGCAGACAATCAAACAACATAATTTGTCTAACTGTATATAGTAAACACCAGAGAAACAAGAGAAGAAAACAAAGTTCACACAAGTATTCTGAAAATTACTCACTGAAAAGACCTTAATTACACTACAATGTTTATGCCTAGATAGTGCCAGACTATTAAATTTTAAAGTTCATGTTTAGAGTAGGTCAGAGATAGAAACTAGGTAATTTAAAAAGTTTAAGGATCGCTTAAAAACTCAAATAAAAACTTCATGAAATGCAAAAACTCACATTTCAGGAAGATAGTGGTATTTTTGAACAGGATCTTTCCAAAACTAAAATAATTTTTCCCCTGCAAAGATAAAGGAGAGAAAGATAATTAGCATCAGCTCACTTTAATTCCCAAGGCAGAATTGTTATAAAAACCTAAATTTATAAAATGTTTAAGTTAGTTTTCTTAACAACAAAAAATACATCAACATCCTTCCTTTTAGTAAAATTCAACCATATCCAAACTGCAGTTTTGTAGCTTGGTGCAGACACAATCTTTTCCCCCCCCGCAAGCCATGAAGCAAGGACTCTAGGAGAGAAGCTGACAGAAATCCCAACTTAAATCTTCATGGGAGGTACTCCTTAATTAGTTTATTCCCTTTACTCACTAATCACTGTTCAGAATAATCCAATCATTTCTTCAAATAAACTACTGTATGAGCAGACAAGACGAATTTAACTAGTAACCATTTCAGCAACAACACCTGAAAGTCAGAACCTGAAGATCTTCACCAAATGAACAAAAGCTATAATGCTTGCTATGTAAAAGCTCAAATAAGATTTGGACATTACAACCAGTGAGCAGAGCAGAACGAAACAAAAAGGCCACCGTGGTTTCAAAAGGACAAAATGCTTTTTGGCATTTCCTGGGTGCATCTGATTTGCTGGCTCGCAGGACTATAGCTCTTACTCAAATGAGGTTTAAAGGAGGGGGTGGGGGGACAGAAAGGGTCAACCTATCTAGTAAATTGTCCAAAAGAAAGACTACCTTTACCATATCAAATTTTAGAATACAATTTCTTCCATTTCAGCCATTCTCATGTTAGAATACATTTTATAAATGCCTAGGCTTCCTAATCACACAGCAAAGCTTAGAATAACCACTGCAAAGTTCCAATGAAATCAAACAACTTCGTAAGTAGAATCACCCAGTAATAAAGAAGTGCAGAGCAAAAAAAGAAAGACACCAACTTCAGATCGCTCTCATCCAACTCGGGGTCACTGGATTCTGTGAAACTTCGGCTGAAAGGGAAACCGTTCTCTACCTATTCATCAACTTTCCCGTCTCAAATAAAGCATTCAAAGTTCCGACTTAGCTGATAAGAAACCGCTCCACCATTCTCCTCCGCTCCTGAAGTGGCCCTGGCACTCCCGCTAACCTACCCACAGAAGTGCACGGCTTTCCACTCCAAGGAGGTGGGTCCCTGCTAACCAGCGACACAGACGCTCCAGGTAATTCCACCCCTTCGGAAGCGGACTTTTGCGAAACCTTCATGGACCCCTAGGGCCGCCGTAGCCCCACCCCTTGTTCCTCCAGGCTCAGTTGCTTCTGAAGTGAACACTCACCGACGGTATCGGAATGTGCCACTTGGATCGGTCGGCAGCGGCGACAGGTGCCGGTCCTACACCGAGGAGCGACAATGGGGACGGCTGAGCCCCCAAAAGAAGAAGAATGACAGGCAGCACCTGAAGCCACGCAGCCGCCGCCATCTTCACAGCCGTGGAGCGCCTACCGAAAGCATTTCACCTTCTTCCGGTTCGCCCCGCCCTCTTCCGGCTCTGCTCTGGGGGCGGGAATATCCGGGTCCTCGAAACCTCGCGGTGCTTGTTTGTTTTGCCACCCAGCAGCCCCTCCCTAAGCCAGCCGTCACGACCTCGTGTGAGTTTTAGACCGTACAGCGCAGGCGTAGTCCCGTGGTAACCCGGTCACCTTGGAGCGTTAGGATGTTCACCAAAAGCCGCCTCCGCTTCGGTCGGCTCTTCTCTCTCCCGGCCCTTAAAGGGCCTGGGGACCAAGCAAGCACCCAGTGTAGCGTTTGGCTCTCTCCTCCTCTCGTTCGCCCCAGCCTGTCATCCCTTCTAGATCAAAGTCAGTCGCTGGGGCCAGAAGTCTGGGAAAGCCGTAAGTCCGCCTGTTTGGCGCGTAGTAGTGAGTTCTCGGTTTTCTGGAGATATTTAAGCAAAGACTGGAATTTGGCAGTGGTAGAGTATAAGCACTTACTGAACTGTTTGGACTGTAGTAGATATGCCCTTTATAAAGACCGTTCTGTATAAAGTATGATGCTGCAGAATTTGACCGGGGAACATCAATCTTCAGCACAGAGCCGGCCAGCACTTTCTATTAAAAACTGAAAGAGTGGGTCAGTTTTCAGTACCTGTGGCGTCACGGTCACTGAGATAAACCTGCAGAAATTTGGCCTGGGTCGGGCAAGCGGTCTCGGTACTTCCTGGTTCTCACGCTCTTGACTTTTATCCTCTAGGGCTCTTTGAGTACACGCCCCCTCCACTGCAAAGACAGTGTTGGTTCCTAATGAAAGCAGTTCTTCGTCGGGCGCTCGTAACCAAGAAAAAGTGGCCAACTAAATCCCTCGAAACGCAAGTTTGGGCCTGGAAAACCCAGTAGTAAGTGCAGATTTGCTACTCCTTAAGGACCTGGAGAGGACTCCGTTTCCCAGGACCTGACAGTGGTGAAGTCCTGGTTGTAATTTAGAAAAACGTCCAATCGGCGTTTTAAAAAAGACTGCCCTTGGCCTTGCCCTGAGCGCTGCAAGTCAGTCGGATTGACTGGGAAGCCATGGAAGCTGCTGGGAAAGAGGAAATCAGGTAAAGGCCCAGTGGTGGTCCTGCAGGGACTGAATCCAGACAGCAGGGGATAGATAGTAGCTGAAAGCAACATTCTGGTGTTGAAGGTTTTACTGATTGTTTGAATGGCCTCTTATTTGCATGTTTCATATTTATGTACTTTATCATTTTTTCTCAATTCCCCAGGGAATTAGTTGATATTAATAGCCCCTCAAAATACTTTCAGGATGGTTCACAAAACAGTTGAAGAGTTGTGATCAGAACTGTAACATGAGAATTTCAAGCATGTTGCTTTCCATGTTCAGCTGTACCCCCATCTTCCTATATTATTACTGAGCTCATTCTTCAAAGCTGGAAAGCAAAGACTGCAAATTTCTCTAATCTTTGCACAGTTGATTAAAAGAAACAGTGACAAAGACTGCATCAGTGAAGGATTTGATGACTTCCAAGAAAATAATTTAGTACAGCCAAGTGTATCTGTGTGGGCTTGTTTTCTTAATATCTTGAAATTTGTGTTCAATCATAGTTTCCTACATATTCATAGACATGCTGACTACAGCTGTATTCAGCAACATGTCTGCTTGAAGGCCAGTGTGTTTCCCCCTCCTTACAGCCTATGGTTGTTTTAATCATACGGAGGCTAATTTATTTTTTAAAGATTTTATTTTTAAGAAATTTCTATACCCAACACGGGGCTCTCGAACTCAGAACCCCGAGATCAAGATGCTGCATGGACTGACTAATCCAGCCAGGTGCCACTGGACGCTAATTTAAATACATATTCTCTAGTAGCAATATGCATGTATCTTATTCATGTTCTATTCCAGAAACAGCTGTTCTGGGAACTTGGTTTTAGAAAGCATTGGCTCCTAATTGCCAGCATCATCTTAAAAAGCAAAAAATTTTCCTTCTACATCTGTTTCTATTATTCTCCTCCTTGCATATACCTCTGTTAAAGCATTTGTCAGGTTGATTTGTGCTTGTTGGTTAGGCTCTTGTAGGAAACTCAGACACATCTCTTCATATCTTCCTTAGAGCCCAGCACTCAGTAGGAATATTCTGAAAATATTTTATTGAATAAATAAGTGGGTAGATTTTTTTTTTCATTTGGGTTTTTTGTGTGTTTTTGCTTCTGATTTTATTGTTGTAGTCATAGCCTTCAGCCATTATTTTAAAAGAACTCTTCCTTGTAAGTGACAATACTCTTTTTCCAGTGCTTTCAGAGTAATCCCAGAACTTGATGTTTTGTTGTTTATCTTGTGTGATTTACAAAAAGATGTTATTCTGCAGCACAGCGGCTATCGTGTTATGTTATGGCCATGACACAGTTTTGCATTGCAGAAGTTTATTACCTGCGTTCATGCTATAGTTAGAGCAGGAACAAAAATTGGATTCACAGACCTTATAGAAAATATGTTTCTTAAAATGTCTTTTTATTTAGTGTTGAAGATGAAGCTGTGGATAAAAACATTTTCAAAGATTGCAGCAAGATTGCTTTCTACAGGTAAGGAGAGGAAATGTATTACCTAGATCAAAACATTTCAATATTGCAATGTTTATAGGCTTTTTAAGGAAAGGGTCAATTAGGAAATGTAATCATTAAGAAATTCATCAGACAGGAGACATTCACCTTTATACACTTACTTTGTCTTATTTAAATTTCTCAATAAATACATATTTTAAAAGTGTTTATGTATTTGAATAGATAATACTTTTACAGGTTTCAGAAGTCAAATAATATAAAAAGATATACTTTGAAAAGTGTTACTCCCATGCCTGTCCCCTATCACCCCATTCCACATCTTGTCCCTCTAAGTAACCAGATTTATTAATTTCTTATTTATCCTCCCAGTATTTCTTTTTGTAAATACATACATCCTTATATCACTGCCTTTCTTATACCAAGTAGCTTCCTATATATGCTGTTGTGTCCTTTTTTTTCTGCTTTATAGTTTATTCTGAAGAGCTCTGCATGAGTATATAGAGATTGCCCTCTCTATTTATAGCTGTATAGTATGTACTATGATTTATTCAGTCTCCTTCCTATTGGTAGATCCTTGAGTTTTTAATCTTTTAGCTATAAAATCATGCCATAATGAAAAGCTATACATATGTCATTTCCTACACCTATAAGTGTATTTATAGGATTAATTTCCAGGAATGGTATTACTGCATCAAAGAATAGATACATTTAAAATTATACCTATTACCAGAGGCCCCCTCCCCCATAGGGATTGTACCGTTTTGTACTCCCATCACCACTATATAAGATTACCTATTTCCCCAGAGCTTCAAAAAAAAATTTCTTTAAAATCTTTCTGTTGAGTGTCTTTCCGTGATCCTAAACCTGAAACCACCAAAAATTGTATCCTATGTTACAACTTTCTAATTAATTCACACTACTCTAAAGGAAGAAAATCAGATCACCTAAATTCTGAATAGGTACCTTAGAGGGAATTCTATAGGAAACTCTTGGTCATTTTGTTAAGTCATTGGATTATATTGGATTTCCATTAGAATTTATTGAGTTTCTATTGAAGTGTACATTTCATGGAAAGAGGAAGGAAAATTAACAAGCTAATAAATGTCATCTATGAAAACTGCCCCACCTTCTCAATAAAGTGGACAAAATGCCATCCTTGGGCAGTGCTATGTTGAACAATTTCATTCGTATTATTCTTATTAGTACTAATTTTATTGGCACTGTAATAACAAAGTACTCTTGTTAGTACTTTATTAGAGTACTAATACTGCCTGGACCCAGTTCATTTACCATCATAGTGAAGTTTAATGACTTCCACATGATAATATAGTCTTTTGGATGCTGACAGTCACAAATAATTCTCAGGTATTTGTATTCTGTATATCGGCAGGCGTCAGAAACAGCAGCTCTCCAGGAGAGCCACCTATCAGGCATCACTAGACTCAGCCACAATAGGCAAAGACAGCACCAAGTTCCAAATCATCAGCGAAACAACCAAGGTGAGAGAGAAGTATTTCCTACAGAGAATTATTTGTTTCTATATTAAGTTGGGTTTGAATGAAGTAAATTTCCACAAAGGCTAATTAAAACTACGTATGCTTCAAAAATAAACTTCGTTAGGGAAGTAATGTCATCTACAGTAATAATGTAACATTATCTACACTAATGTAGATAAAGCAATGTTATATACATGAATACTACTTTAACAGTAATGTGAATGTTAACTTATAGATTGCCTGTGTATCACATGCTTTCCTAGATGTTTTACAAATGTTATTTCCTTTTAATTCGTCCTAATAATACAGAAAAGTGACTAGAAAGTCACCTGCTCAAAGTCATGCAGCTGGTAATCAGAGTTTTCACCTGCATCTGTCAACTCTATCAAGTACCCATGTTCTGTTACTATTAGACAGTGTGCACTTGAGCGTGCAGCCTGAGCAAGGTACAGATTCAGTGACTGTCCAAACCTCAAAATGTGGGTGGGCCAGGGGAACAAGGGACTATATAGTTGAAAACCTAAGTCACAAATGTTCCATCTCCTAAACTGCTTCACTAGCAGATCACCCTAGTTATTACATACTGAAAGGATTAGAGCAGTATATTAAGTACTTTTTCTCACTTGTCAAGTCATCATGCTACTTCGGATGGGCCAGTCACAGAGGAAGTGCTATATGGGCTGAGCCAGGAAGTGTGACCGTGCACAAGTACCCATGCTCCTAGCCTGATCCTCACTTCCAGAGCCTCCCTGTCTTCTTAGAAGCTTCAGATGCTTCTAAGCCCTCTCAAACCAATATGACTTAATTGGTAGTTCATGTAACTAAAAGACATACTTAAAGCCATGCAGTCTAGGTTCCCTAATAGGTGACTGAGAAGAAATCCCCCCTTTTCCTGCAAAGTTGTGAGAGATCTCCCTGTGGCATAGTTC